CTTTGTGATGATTCTCCAATTGTCGAATTGACAGAGATCCAACTATTTCCCATGCTATTTTCCCTCAGGCAACAAAAAAATAATTTTGAGGCGTTTTTTAGTCCAATTATTTGCCATCTGCTGTCTTGTTATTGTAGTTCATTACCGTACTGTATTTTTTGGTGTTATATTTTATTGTGATTTTGCATTCCTTTTACTGCTGAATAATTACTTGATAGCATGCAATCTTGATATGTGGCTTTAGTGTTTTGGGGTTGCCATACGTCTGGGAAAACCAGGACATGTCCTCTTTCAGGGGGGCGCCAACATGCCTCTCTGGGGAGGATTCTTACATTTTAAAGGAAATGTCCAGGGTTAGTTTTTTTGGGGGGGCGGAGGGGGTTGGGGCTCAAGCTCGGGTTTTCCTCTTTTTTGCTCTTCAAAATATGGCAACCCTAAATTACTTCCCCCCAATGCATAACTTGTTTCTAATCTTTGTTTTTAATTGGTATTTTAATGACTGTCTATTGTAAACCATTTAGAGGCCTTTGTTCTAGTAAGCGGCATATAAATGTTGATTTAATAAACATGCTGCTGATTTTATCTATGTGTAAAGGTGGGGTTTAAGTGCTAATAATAACAACTAAAAAAAAAATCAACTGTGGGAAAGTAAAGCGTTTTGCATATTCTCAGAGGCACTCTTATCTTTTCCTGTTTGGCTTCTTTGTGAGATCTGTGTCATATGAATTACCAACAAGGCTTTTCTGCATCACAACTTCTGCGTGCATCACTTGACCTCCAAACTGGCAATGCCTAGGAGCCATTTCCTGAAAGAAAAGGTTCTATGCAGCATGAAACCAGGGTCAGCGCTGGCAAATTCTCCCTGAGTCAGGATTTGGAGCTTCTGCTGAGTCAGAACAATTTTATCAAATTAGGGATGGGGGATTTATAGATTCTGCCTGGTCTCTGTCAGATTCGGAGCAGTTTCCTCTTTACTGCTATGTTTGGCTTTCTTTCTTTCTTTTTTAACATTATGCATATTGGATACCTGCACACATGCATAAACCAATTTGAGCTGCACTGCATCATGGACTTCGTAGTATACAGCTGCTGCTCTGCAAGGGTACAGTGTAGCTCTCATGTGGACTAAATTAACTTGTAAATTAAAAAAATATTTCTCTGCCATGTAAATGGAATTAATTGATCTAGTCTGGGGAGGAACAGACACAGCTGGATTCAAGAATTCATTTGGATGTTTGTTCAAACAATGCGGAATGTGACAACCAAAATCTCATTTGTAGTCTCAGCAGCACAATTACATTCAAATGTGTATTGTCGGCTCTAACCACTCCAAAAGTGTAATATGGATACGATTCTCCTCCCCTCTAGAACTTGTAACACGAAACAGTGCTTAAGGTTTTTTAAAAAATACTTGCCAAGTACTCATGCAAGTGCTGGTTATGACTTAATGAATTAAGGTAACCAAATGCATCCAGATGTGAATGGCACAGCTTAAACAAATAGATTTGAGAGTGTCCCTTCTAGTTTTTAATCATTACCCACCAACATACAAAAAGACAAGCAAACATTGGATGACAACTGTTCAAAGAACGCCTAGCAATCAGTAAATTGATTTTACAAGCAAAAACAATAGAGATCTTTTGACCATCACTGTGCATTTCCAGTATGGAAGAATTACCGTATTTTTCGCTCTATAGGACGCACCCAACCATAGGACACACCTTGTTTTAGAGGGGGAGAACAAGAAATGAAAAAATCTCCCCCGCTCTGCGCAGCGCCCCTTCAGAGAAGCGGCAGGAGAAACGGAGCCCCTTCCATTTCTCTTCCCACTTAGCTGAAGGGGCGCTGCGCCTTAGCTGAAGGGGCACCTATCCTTCAGCGAAAGGAACCCGAAGTCTCCAGAGCACAGCAGGAGCTCCCACTGTGCTCCGGAGGCTTCAGGCGGCTATCTTTGAAGCCTGGAGAGCGAGAGGGGTCGGTGCGCACCGACTCCTCTTGCTCTCCAGGCTTCAGCAAAAGCAACGCAAAGCCTCCGGAGCACTGTGGGAGCGCTCCCACTGCGCTTCAGAGGCTTCGCGTTGCTATCGCTGAAGCCAAGGAGCCTGCATTCGCTCCACAAGACACACACACATTTCCCCTTAATTTTTGGAGGGGAAACTGTGTGTCTTATAGAGCGAAAAATACGGTATGGCTTTCAAGTATCAGAGGTGGCATGCCAGTCGCTGGGGAACAAAAGTGGGGTGAGTGCTCGTCTGCTCATGTCCTGCTAGTGAACTTCACGCCAGTATTTGGTAGGCCATTGTGAGAATGCTGGACTAGATAAACTTTTGGTCTGGGAAAGAAAACAGGTAACGTACACCAGGTAAACAGATGCCCCTCTCCTCTCTGGTGTGCACACCAGTGTGCAAATACAACTTGAAATGCACCAGGGAGAAGCACCCTCACTGCGTTTTAAGATGGTAATCTGCACATAGCCTTAGATCAGATTTAATCTTCTTGTAGGGCTGGGTGAGGCCTCTGTCAGAAATCCCAGAAAGTCACTGTGTGGAGTTTGCCCGTTCGTTTGAAAATGTCTGTACAGGGGGAGAGAAAGAGTTAATAAGTAGACCAATAGAAAAGCCAGAGGCGGAGCCTATCTGTTTATAAAAGGGCTTAGCCTGAGGTTTGGGTTGGTTGGTTTTAGTGGGTTGGTTCGTTGGGAAAGGCAGTTGGGAAAGCAGTTGGCAAACAGTTGGAATTAGAGAGACAGTTAGTGCAGTTGGTTCTTGTGTGAGGGGAGGTAGAAGAGTTAGAGACAAGATAAAAATAAGAGTAAGAAGGTAAAGAGTAACAACGTTTTGAATGCAGTTAAAGTTTATTTGTGTCTGCAATAAACTACCCTCTTCTTTGTTAACTTAAGAACCTGACTGAGACTAAGTGATTTACCGGGGAGGACCTGGTTGGTGGCAGCGGATTAGTGGTGTACAGGTCAATAGTCCATGAGACGACCAGGGGCTCCGTACGAACGCCACACACTGAAACTTGAGGGTTCATGTCAGGGGGCTGTCAGGGGGAACAGGTTCCTCAACAGATCAGAAGGGAGACTCAAAGTAAAGTTAGCTGTTCTATTTAGGAAATCAGTATACAACCGAGATCTCACAGGCCATGGCTGCCTCCATGAAGACATTGCCAAGGCTGGCTCTGGACACTTGCTAGCGCTTCTCTTCCAGATGTCTTCCCAGCAGACGCAAACTCTGGCAGGAAGGAGGTGGCTCCCCGCTTGGGGTTTTCTAGCTTTCCATTCAGCTACATGTAAAGTTCTGCATGACATTGGAGTCAAAGGGGGAGGGGAGCTCAATGCAGAGGGACTGGGCAGCTGCTGTGAGTTGTCGCAGTGTCTGGCCCCTCCCTGTCCTGAGATCCTGAGCTTGAAACATGTCCCATTGCACCCAAGTCCTGTTCTTGGAGGGCTCCCTGCCTCTGTCTCTTCGTGTTCATTCAAGCCTCCTGTGTCTCCCACCTCCCGGCTTCCTCCCTCCTCTGATCTGTGTCCTGTGTCTGATCTGACCCACCACCACTGCCCTGGGTCTGAGCCTTCCTCTGTGGCTTCCCTAGGAGCTTCCTCAGCTGGATCATCTTACTACTCTTGGTCATCCAGTCATCCCCCTGACCGTGCACAATGAGCTGGATGGACTACTCTCATCATCCCCAGCTGTGGACCACGCTCCCTGGGGCTGATGGGAATTGGAGTCCAGCAACATCCTGAGGGCCACAAGATCCATAAGTCTAAGCGGCCTGGACCCTGCCCATTGAATGCCCATTGCAGTGCTGTGGCTTGAGATGTTCTAGGTACATTGCATTGCATCCCATCCTATCTGTATATGACAAGCAGAAGACGACGAAAAAAGGGGAAAACTGAAGTTGGGGGGATAGGGATAGGGTTACATGGCCACCTGGCAGGCTACATTTTTATTTTGTCTTCTTATTGGCTTATGTGTCACAGAAAGATGTGCCTCCTCTCTGCTCCCCCCACCACAACCGTTCGGCTGAGGAGGAGCCTCCGAGACGGATGCATTTCTTCATTTCCTCACACACCATCTGCCTGTTGTTTATTCGATCTCCATCTGTTACCTGAGATTTTGCTTCTGCGTGTTTCTAAAGGCTTATTACTAAACACAAGCACGCTACAAACAGCAAAAAAAAAAAGAGGTCTATTTAGCAATGAGGTTCTTTTAGTCTCATCTTTATAACCTCCCTTTCTTGGACAAATGTTGTTGTTGTTGTTGTTGTTGTTGTTGTTGTTGTTGTTGTTGTTGTTGTTTTTCCTCCCCCTCCCAAGCCCACCATCACTCCTCTTCAGCCATGATTATTTAAAGTCTGCCATGCAGCGTTCATCTATAATTTATTTATTTATTTGTTTGAATATTTATGACCCTCATAACATATATCGAGGTGGCTTACAGAATAAATACTCATCAACAGGTAGCTGCAAATTCTGATTTTAAAACATCAGTAAAACAGCAAGAGACGTGTGTTGGCTAAATGGCAGGGGGGAATCAAATTGCGAAGGCGTGTCTAAAAAGTACCGTTTTTTAAGAGACGTCTGAAAAAAGGCAGAGACGGTTCCTGCTGAACCTCTACTGGCAGGGAGTTCCATCATCATCATCTTCATCATTTTATGTGTATGACGCCTTTCCATAGTTAAAACAGTGCTCAAGGTGGCTTACAACATGACAAGATTTACATAATTACCAATATAACAAAAGTCATAAGCAATAAATAAAACACATCAAAAAGTATGCAACCAAATGGAAAACAATTTCCACATAAACCATAAAATCTAAAACTAAGAATACAACATTAATATCAATCACCATTTAAAATGACATAGATAAAAAATAAAAGCAATTTAAAAAACAAAAACAAAAATCGGAGCCCTCTTTGCCCAGCAGCAGCAGCAGCAGCAGCAGTCCTTTATGGAGCCTGTCAGCCCGCCACCCCCCCCCGCCCCAAGCCAGGTGGAGAGAAGAAGGGCAGGGCCCTCAGGTTCCCAGCAGGTCAGTCCTCAAAGGAGGCGTCATTGCAGAGTATGAAATTTCTGATTCAGAACCTTATCAAGAAAGTTGAAGTCAAAGATGCAGCCACCTCCTGGAACATAAGGAAAACCTTGAAAGCATTCAGATTAAAGAGAGCGAGCATTTCCAGGAAAGAGAAGCAATGTATACACAAAATGTCCGACCTGCACCCCTGAGGCACCTGCCACTCGGGTCTCGCTGAGGGGCCGGTGAGCGCGTCACTCCCTGCCTGACTCTCTTCCTTCCCTCAGGTGAGTTTCGGCACTGCCGGCCCCTCCCCACCCCGCACTTCCCGGCATCCTCTGTGAGAGAGAGACTGAGGTTAGCGAACAGACGCCTTCTGTCACAGGCCCCGCCCACTTCACGTGCTTGGGTTCTGGAACTCTAGGGAGGGAGGACCGTTGAAGAGGAGTCCAAGTCCGTTGGATGACTCAGAGAGAGACGGTTGCCTGTTTAGATCAGGGGTTGTCAACCTGGTCCATACCACTCACTAGTGGGCGTTTCAGGATTCTGAGTGGGCGGCACAAGCTGAATCCTCCTTCCATTGTACACTGGTGGGCAGTAATGAAATTTTACCATCAAAAAAGATACGTTAGTGGGCAGTAGGTATAAAAAGGTTGACTACCCCTGGTCTAGATCCTTTTCGAAATGGGCTGTTTCTTGTCGAGAGACTGAGAGAGTGAGCAACTCCCCATCACCACCAATCTTTTTCTGTAGCTCTTCATTTTGGGGGAGGCATTCTGTTTTTCTAGTTCCTCAACTGTCTTTTTAAGTACCAATATTTTTCCACGACTTGCAGCTCTCTTTTGCTTGGATATTCCTTCTTGGATTTCATCTCCTGGTAATTGCTTTTTGAGTTGTGTTGTTAAGGATATTACTTTGGCTTTGTTTTGCAGCTTTAATTTGGAAATCTTGGTTTTCAGTTGCTTCTTTTTCTTTCTTTAATTGTTGTTCTTTAAGGCATAACTCATTATCCTTTTCCCTGACAAGTTCTTTTGAGTCATGCTACCAGCTGTTCATTTTGTACCAGCTTTTCTGTCAAATCGGTCACTGACATGCTTGCTGCTTGAAATGGGCCATGAGCTCCAGATTTAGTAGCTGAAACATCACCGTTGCCCCTTTTCAGCATAGTTTTAAAAGCATAGTTCCAGAGGGCATGGCCTGCCACAAGAAAAGCTCAGTCCCTAGTGAAGGCCAGCTGAACCTCAGGGGTGTGGGAACCACCAGAAGTGCCCCATGAGAGGATCTTGGTGATCAAGGTGGGAAATACAGGATCAGACCGTCCTCAAGGGATTGCTCCAAAAGCAATTATTCTCTTGGGATTGCATGTGAAACGTGGGGAATGCGAGGAACCTCAGACCAGAAGGCTGGACCTTGGGACACCTTCCAGGCCAGTGATGGCCAAACTTGGCCCTCCATCTGTTTTGGGACTACAATTCCCAACATCCCTGACCACTGGTCCTGTTAGCTAAGGATGATGGGAGTTGTAGTCCCAAAATAGCTGGAGGGCCAAGTTTGGCCATCACTGCTCTAGGCCATACACGCTCCCCTGTCATGAACCAGGAGAACAGCAGCATAAAGGTGAAATGACCTCCACCTGCAGCTAGTCAGCCTTCAAGGACACAGAGGAGAAGGCGCTGATGAGAACCAGCTGGCTTCAGCCTTCTTAAGCAGAGCTCCCAGCAGCAGACAGATGCTGGAAACAACGCCTGTGGTTCCCGGTTCTACCTTGTTGCTTCTTGTTCGCCATCTGGACCCTTGGCTTCATGATCATCAGATTCCCCGACCGCTGGATGGTCTGACTATGTGGATTGTTGTTTGCCCAACCCTTGGAACAGACTTAACATTGCATGCCGACTCTGCCAAACCTATATCGGAGACTCTTCTGTTTGTTTGGCCTCACACACTGCTGAGTTCTACACACTGTTGCTCAAGCATATCCGGCACCGTGGTGCAAAGATCCCCCCGCAACTCCAAAACAAGGGAGGGGGTGGTGGTTGGCACTTGTCGTAGCTTCCAAATCAGGCACAAGAATAGCCCCACATGCAATGTATTACAGTACTCCAGGTGTGAAGTTACTAGTGTGTGGGCTGCTGTGGGAAGGCTATTCCTGTCCTGGACTGGCCATAGCTGGTGAACCAACCCAAGCCACCGGCTGGGAGTAATAGGTGGTCCAAGCCACTGATGTAATCATGTGGTACAGAAGATGCCTTTCCTGAAGGAAGACTTTGGATTTGATATCCCACTTTATCACTACCCTAAGGAGTCTCAAAGCAGCTCCTTTCCCTTCCTCCCCCACAACAAACACTCTGTGAGGTGAGTGAGGCTGAGAGACTTCAGAGGAGTGTGACTAGCCCAAGGTCACCCAGCAGCTGCATGTGGAGGAGCAGAGACATGAACCCAGTTCACCAGATTACGAGTCTACTACGCTTAACGACTACACCACACTGGGTCCCAGGAAGGTGTGTGCAAGTGGATGCCCCCATACCACTGCTTCCTGGCTGCGAAGAAGTCTTCAGTCTAAAAGTTGGCAACCCCTGTTGTAGATAATACTGAGTCTATAAGAATAAAAGAAAATTATTATAAATTAGCTTGGAGATGGTATTTAACACCAGTCAGATTAAATCAAATAAACAAGGAATATTCGATGTTATGTTGGAGGGGATGCCAGGAAACCGGGAATTACGCTCACATGTGGTGGGGGTGTAAATATGTACAATTTTTCTGGCAAAGGATGTTTAAGGAGATAACAGAAATCACTGGGTTAAAGCTGACCGAAAGTCCAGAGGTAGCATTATTATCAGTTTACGATGGGGTGGAAGTTTCGCAGGCTATGAAGGACTCGCTCACAAATTTATTGAAAGCTGCACAAATTATGATAGATAGGAAGTGGAAGGGGCAAGCAGAATATAAAATGGCAGAATGGTATAAAGAGGCGTGGGATATAGCTATTAATGGTAAATTAACATGTGTCATTAAGGTAAGATAGGGAATATACAGGAGAAATGGTTTTGAGGAGATACGGAGGGTGTTTGTAGAAGTACTGTTAAAACAGAAAGGGGTCAAACAATCACAAGAGGTCTTGAAGTTTTGGGAGGTTGGGTAGTTACAATGGAATGGTCTTGGGGGTGGGGTGCACGTTTTTATTCTTAATTATTTATGATTAGTACTTTGTCAAAATAAAAAATAAAAACAAAAAATTGGGAGGGGGTGGAGATAATACTGAGCTACATAGACCTAGCCTGTGGTTTGATATAAGGCAGCTTCCTAAGCGCTGACAAAGATTGCACAAAACCATGAATTTGCAAAAGAAGCACAATGGCATTCCATCCTCGTTCTTTGCTGAGCTTTGGGTGTGTGTGTGTTTTTATTTAAGATAATGCCTCGCTGCTAAACAACAATGGGAGGTGAAAAATAAAGAGGGGAATCCTGTCTCTGATCATTTTCTGTCCACCTCCAACAAATATTTAACTGTTAACATAGCTCTCAGATTATGCCTCACATCTTCAGGAAATGTCAGCTCACTAGTCACACAGCTGACCTCTCCAGCATTCCTGACATTGCTTCCGTCAAGCTTTCCTGGCCGAGATCCATAAACAGTCAATTTAGCTGACATGAAGAGGGTTCCTCTTGACACCTCAGGTTAGAATTCAGGCAAGGTTTTGCTAATCTAGGTCATAAAACATTTTCTTAGCTTGTTGTTCTTAAAAAGGTGCCCAGAATGAGCTCCACTTCCCTCCTGATCTAATGATATCAGTCTGTCAGAGCTAAATGGGAAGAGGACCAGCCCGGCTTTTCCCTCAAATTGCCCTCTGATTTGTTTGTTTTCACAAATCATCTGTTGTGATTGTGACAGACCAGTTTTTATCTGAACATCCAAGTGTCCCTATTTTCCAACAACATCCCTGATTTAGAGAAGCTGCTCCAGTTTCTGATTTGATCCTGGAATGTCCCGCTTTTCCTTAGGATGTCCCTGTGTAGGTTATCTGAAGGCAATTCTGTATAGGGAAGTTTTTAAAAAGGTTTTATGTTATTATATATGTTGGAAGCTGCCCAGAGTGGCTGGGGCAACCTGGTAAGATGTGTGGGGTATAAATTGTAAAATTATCATTATGGAATGGGATGGCCATATTTTCGCTGGATAGATGTTAGAGGGTATGAAAAAATATTTTATTATTTGTATCCTACCTGTCTGACTGGGTTGCCCCAGCCACTCTGGGCAGCTTCCAAGAAAATATAAAAACACAGCAAGACACTTAAACATTTACAAATTGCCTATACAGGGTTGCCTTCAGATGTCTTCTAAAACCCTGTGATAAGAATTTTAAGGTCTTAGATATGTAATAAATGTTCATAAATATACCAAGCAAACATGTACATAAATATATAAACCATATGTCTGAAAACCCCACAGAAAAAAAGGCCTGAACAAACTTACCTCAATTATTTCTCTGCAAGGTCAAAGTGGGAAACCGCCCCATTGTCTTTTTCCTTCACAAATCCTGTCTTAAGGGCATATTTAAGATACGAACAGGGTGTGAGCCTGTGACCTGGCTCAGGAACTAAGTATTTATCATTACAAAAGACTGGCCAGGCTCCCCAGGTTATCCAATCAAATGACCATTAAACAGGTAACCTGGCAGACAGGAGGTAAACAAAGCACTCAGATTTCTGCTGTAGACCACCCTTTCTGTGATGTAGGTATGATGTATCTGGGGGGGGGGTCTTGAGCTACACCCCTTCTGTGATGTATGTATGATGTTTCTGGGGGTGGTCTTGATCTACAGGGTGGCTGTTTCAAAAGTCTATATAAGGGCTTTTACACCATTATTCGGGATTCCTCCTCCCTCCTGCGTGTGGTGAATGAGGACCCTGTTGCAACTGATCAATAAAGATCAGGCTTACTAGCTGCTTTGCTTCTCAATATTTTCTGGTGCTCTTGGATACCCCATAAGGGAAAAAGGGCAGATTTTTTGTTTACAACAACCCCAAGAACACTTCATGCAAATTAACTTTAATGGAGCCCATCAAATGATTCACCACTGTCTACGGAACTGTTTTATGCATAAAACTTTTTTTTTAAAAAAAGAAATCTTCACATGCAAGGTGCAAATTGAAAGATGAACTTCAGGAGCAACATAGATGAGCTAATACACATGTGAACTTGTTTTTCAGTTATTTGGCAAGGCAGGCCGAAATTCAACTAGTGAAGCTGTTCTCTGCATATACAACTCCCCTATCAATGTGTTGTGATGGACTTCCAACTGCTATGCATAAAGAGTATAGACTAGAGAGCCTTTTCCTGGGAAGCAGGTAGCAAGTAGACTGCTCTATTAAAGGTAAAGGGACCCCTGACCATTAGGTCCAGTCATGACTGACTCTAGGGTTGCAGCGCTCATCTCGCTTTATTGGCCGAGGGAGCCGGCGTACAGATTCCGGGTCATGTGCCCAGCATGACTAAGCCGCTTCTGGCAAACCAGAACAGCACACAGAAACGCCGTTTACCTTACCTTACCTTACCTATTTATCTACTTGCACTTTGAGGTGCTTTTGAACTGCTAGGTTGGCAGGAGCAGGGACCGAGCAACGGGAGCTCACCCTGTCGCGGGGATTCAAACCGCCGACCTTCTGATCGGCAAGTCCTAGGCTCTGTGGTTTAACCCACAGCGCCACCCGCATCCCTAGACTGCTCCATTATCCTGTGCAAAAAACAAACAAACTGCTTGTCGAAAGTAACTTGGTGGGAGACAAAGCAGCCAAGAGAATTGGCCAAGAAGGTGACAATAGAGATCAAGACCACCAAGGGAGTCTGTGGTTGAGCTGCAATTTACACCCAGGTCAAAAGTCAACAATCTCTCTCTTCGCCCACACTGGCTTTCTATATATCCTGTTCAACAGACAATTTCACCCTAAGCAGAAAAACATGGATTTATTATTATTTGGGGTGGGGTGGGGGGGTGTAAAATGAATGCTACAGAAAATGAGAAAGGTCCTTATAAATTTGTGAATTGCACCGTCTTGTGTACGAGGGTCTGGCTGCCCAGTGCAAGAGCTGAGGTGGATCACTACTTCGCAAAGTGCTGCTATTATCAAGCTGCTTTAAGGAAAACTGATAACTGGAGAACAAAAGGATGAATAAGATCCATCTTTCCTGGGAGGCGGCAAACCTCATGGCTTTGCTCTGAAAATAGAATGGGTTGCTAGGCAGAGAATTCTGTAATCAGAAAAGCTTCTGATAACTGAAGGAAGGGGGATATTTGGTATAGTTTTTGTTTTTTTTAAAGATGCCTGCAGTGATCCCCTTAAACCAGGGGTGGCTAAACAGTGGGCCTTCAGACATAGTTGGACTACAACTCCCATCATCCTTGCTCATTCGCCATGCTTGCTGGGGGTGATGGGGGCTGGAGTCCAGTGGCATCTGAACGACCACTTACTCGAAGCTTGTGTTGTCACACTCGAACAGGCTAGAGAGGCAGAGAATCCCATCTCCTTGGAACTGCATACCTTCAGGTGCCTCATCGCTTCCTGATTCTGTTTACTGACCTTGCAATTTAATGTGACAGAATCTTAGAACCTTAAAAAAGAAGACAAAACCTGTGTACACACCGTACATTTAAAGCCACCACTACCCCAAGGATCCTGGGAGATGTAGTTTAAGGGTACTGTGAATAATAATAATAATAATAATAATAATAATAATATCTTTATTGTCATTGCCCCCTTCGGGGACAACGAAATTACTTGACTGCTCCATAAAAACTCTAATTAATCAATACAGTATAATACAGCAAGGGAGATTAGATGACTTTCAAAGTCCAGGCTTCCCATTCAGGGCCGAGATCGCTCTGGAGAAGAAGCTGTTCTTAAGACGGCTCGTTCTTGTCTTCATCGTCCTGTATCTCCGTCCCGACGGCAAGAGCTCGAAGAGACAGTGACCAGGATGCGATGGATCTTTTACTATGTCCAGTGCCTTCCTATGGCACCTTGTGGCATAAATCTGCTCTAAGGTGGAGAGTGGGCAGCCAACAATGCTCTCTGCTGCCTTAACAACCCTGCACAACCCCATCCTGTCCTGGGTAGTACAGCTTCCATACCACACACATAAGCCATAAGCCATTATAGTTTGCTAAGGAGTAAACTACAGTTCCCAAGATTATTTCAGTGTACAAGCAAAGGAATGTGCTTTAAACGTATGGCGTTTATGCAGCCAGAGGAGGTGAGATGTTAGCAATCTAAAACATCCATGAAATTGTTGAGCATCTTCTTTTGAACAATTTAATGCTCAACAAACATAAGAAAAGCTGTTTGCTTTCGGATTGCATTGGTGAGCTAGTAAGCAACACATAGCCTCACCACGCCGTCGCAAAACAGCAGGTAAGAAAGCTTTCAAAAATGAAATGAAAATGGTAGTTCAAGGCATACAGGATACAGCATTGACCGTATTGGTCCCTCGGGCAGGGGAAGGAACGATGCGTGTCAGTTGCCGCTTAGGAAAAATCCCGGGTTAAAATAATACAGGTGAAGAGGAAAAAACTCCACGGGTCACGGAGCCTGAACATGGCCTATGTTTCCAAGCCGTCCTGGCTCTGCGCTTAATGGCACCTTTTGCTGTGTGTGTCTCTGGAACGTCAGAGCTGCTCCCTGTAGCCTCTCAGGAAGTTGTGTGAGGTTCTTTCACAGTCCATCTTTCAAATGACCCCATTGGTCTGGGTGCAAAAGGAAGACACAGGGAGAGACCACATGCCCCCAGCTGCCCTGTTGCTGATGGGGAAGAGATTAAGCTGAGAAGCTGAGCATCTCTGTCTCCTTCTCTCTCTCTCTCTTTTACAAAATTGCAGCAGTTAAAAGGAATGTTTTCCTTGACAACCCCCCTACTAAACTGGGATTAACTTCAAGGCTGCAAAGTGGCAACAGCTCCAGAGTGACCAGTAATCAAGACAATAGACAATGCTGCTTTCTTTAATCTCAGGCCTGTTGAAACAGCCCCTTGACAGGTGATGGATTAGCAGAAATACACAACTTCCTAATGTCTTCATAGAAACACTGTATGGTTTATCTTCAGGCACACTGAGGCCATTATTTTGCCTCTTGCAGGGCCTTCCTTCCTTAATCCTACTCTTTTCCTTTTGCTGTGGATTCCTTCTCCTTGGTTTACCCTTCTCTCTCTCTCTCCCTCTTTCCAAGGCCGCTAGAATCCCCTTAATCAGCATCTAGCCGGCTGCTGTCACAGCAGGAAAATGGATAGGATCTGCATTGCAGATGAATCGCCAGAGAGCCAGATTAAAGCTGTTTCGACTGACTGAGGCTGGGGCTGGGGCATCCTCCTTTGCGAATGTTGTCGCTGGAGGCACTTTCCTTTGTCTTCAGCTCTGTGTGTGCAGTCTCTCTCTCTGTGTGTGTATGCAGTTTGATGCTTTCAGCTGTTGGTGCCAGCCAGTTATACTGCAGCGGACAGATGGTGCAGGCTTATCCCCACAGAGCAGCCACACAGCACCACCAAGCTAGATATCAATAAAAAAGCGGATGTAACTCTGGACGGGCGATCGGCATGGCTGCTGGACAAAGGGAGTTCAAAAGGCGAAGCTGTTCTCAACCAAAGCCAAGACAAACGGTATCAGGCTAATGCAGGCTGCCTATAGGAGGAGAACCTTGTTGTAAACAAAATCTGCCCTTCTTCTCTTATGGGGTATCCAAGAGCCCGTATAGAGTCCATAAGTGGGTTCCCTATTGGTAGGAGAAAATAACAGAGGGCAACCAGAGAATATTGAGAAGCAAAGCAGCTAGTAAGCCTGGTCTTTATTAAAGCTGTTGCAACAGGGTGCTCCCCTCACACGCAGGAGGACGGAGGAGGACCCAGAACAAAGGTGTGCCTGCCCTTATATAGACATTTAAATTCCCTGCCCTGGAGCTCAAGACCACTCCTCCATACATCACACATACATCACAGAAGAGGTGTAACCCAAGACACCCACACACAAACATCATACCTACATCACAAAAGGCGGTCTACAACAGAAATTTGAATGTTGTTGTTTTTCCTGTCTGCCAGGTTATCTGATAATGCCTTATCTGATTGCCTTTCCTGGTAGTCTGCCCATTCCTTTGAGATGGTGATTACCCAATTCCTAAGATAATGGGAAGGTCCCCTCACCCCCCCCCCTTGCAGAGGAAACATTTGGTCGGTTTGGGAGTCAAAATGGTTTCAGGGCGGGTCTTCCTGTGCTGCTCCAGACATGTGGTCCACATATCTATGCATGTGCTTGGTTGGTACATTTATGAACATTTATTATATATATATATAAGACCTTAATTTTTTTATTACAAGCTCCACATCTGGGTCTTCTTCTTTGGTGATCACTCGTAGCCGAGTAAGATTGTCTTCCATGAACAGTGAGTCTGTAAGTGACTCAGGAGGTCAATTCTGGATCCACGCATCCTTCCACAGTGGGGGACATAGGTTTCCGGGAGGGAATTGATCACAGTAAGGGTTTGCCAAGCATGCCTTCCTCTTAGCACATTTCTCCCTTTCATCCTGAGTTTGAGCATCTTCAAAGCCCATGACACCTTTGGTAAAGGCTGTTCTCCAATTGGAGCGCTCGCAGGCCAGTGTTTCCCATTTGTCAGTGCTTATCCTACATTTTTTTAGATTCGCCTTGACAACGTCTAAACCTCTTTTGTCGACCACCAGCATTATGCTTTCCATTCTTAAGTTGGGAAAAGAGTAGTTGCTTTTGGAAGACGATAATCAAGCATCCAAATAACACAAGCAGTCCAACAAAGTTGGTGTTGTGTTACAATATTTCTAAGGTCTCAGATATAGAATAAATATTCATGAATGCACACATATCTAAATATATAAACCATGTGGCTGAAATAGTACAGGAGAAGCCATTTTGACTTTCCCAATGACCTAAAATATTCCTCTGCAGTAAGGGTTTCTATATAAAAACAACTCGACAGTTTTGCAGGTGTCAGGTATTTTACATTCTGAAATATGGCACCCTATGATTACAAGAATGAGGAACAAATTTTAAATACAAAAATATTCAACTTGGGAATCTTAGGAGCAATTATTCAGGTTTTGCATCCTATACTGCCATCCGTGGAAGGAGCATAGCACTGAAGGCATTTTGAGTTCAGTGGCCATGCTATGGGTTGTATTCAACATGGTGCCAAGTTGAATGTGCCGTCAGCGCAAGGTTTTCTCTTTGTGCAATGGGACATTCTCCCCCTCTTCTTCCATCCCTTCCCACTCCAAATCTGTTCTGGGGTCCCCCCCCCAACCTTCTGGAAGAGATTTGGGGGCAGTGCAGAGCATGCAGAGGGAGAGGAGAGGGGGAAATCTCCTTGCACTAGCACATAAGATTAGTTTAAGGGTACCAGATTTTTTTCAGTGAATCCGGGGACACTTTAAATAAATAAATACCACACGTTCGGGACGTTGATGCTGCAGCGAGGGAGGTGGCAGAGGGGCGGCCGCTACCTTGACCTCAACTGCCACATTTCCCCGAGGCTTATATCTCCTTTCTCCATGAGCCTGGGCAGCCCCTGAGTTGTTGGTTCTTCGGTAGTGGTGGAGGTGAGGAAGTGATACACAGTGGGTCAGGCATGGAAGCATAGCTGTCAAGTGTCCCTTATTTGGAGGGACAGTCCCTTATTCCAGCGCCATGTCCCGCTGCTGTCCCTTATTGATGGATGTCCCTTAAATGATGTCCCTTAAATTTCAAAGGAAGCAGTTCCTCTCCCCCCCTCCCTGCCGGCCAGGGAGGAGGGAGGCTCCAACTGTGTTGCTTGGCTGTGTTTCTCACCCAATAAGAAGTCTAAGAACGACTGGGGGTGGAGCTTGCATGCCTTGTGCTGATCAAATCGGCTGCGTTGCCTGGGGACTCGCCTTTGCTCATCGCTTCCCAGCGGAGAGGTGACGGTGGTTTTCCTTGAGGCTTCATTTGGTTGCTGGCTGGGCTTTCTGCCTTTGGCTCAGAGGGGCTCAGAAGTTGAACATACCTGTACTGAGTGCTTGGATCGGAATCGGATGGATACGTCATCGACGGCCCACTCACCCTTGCCGGCAAAAAGGTCTGTCTGGAGCGGGGGCACATGGTGGGGTAAAGGAAAGGAGATCTCGTGGGAAGGGGGGATTTTGAATTTGTTTTGGAGGCTCCTTCGATTGACTTATGGGGGGAAAGAAAGGAGATGGTTGACTAAAATGGTGGGCGACTGGCGATCTCGTGGCAAGGGGGGGAGGCTTTGTGTGTGTGGCTAGTTAATGCAAGCTGAGGGGGGGGGGGTTGAATGCTGGACGCCATTTTGTTGCACGTGCTGCTGCAAACTTTGCAGTGCAAAGCCAGGCCGGGGAGCCATCTTAAGTTGAGGCTGCATAGGCCTTGTGGTGCATGTGATTCAGATTCTATTCAGTTGAACCTCTGGCTACAAAGTTGGTTGGACAGTGTTCTCAAAGCTACCAACATGAGTTTGACCAGACTGCAGGAGGACAGGAAGACTGTAGTGCCTGGAACAGGTGAGGCTGCAGGTCCCTTATTTTGGCTGCTGGTCCCTTATTTTCATTATCTGTAAGTTGACAGCTATGCATGGAAGGCGGAGAAGGAGGGCTGAGAGCGGTTGCGACGGTGAGGCTCGGGCCGCGCGATGCCTTCCTTCCCATCGGAGCAGTCCCAATCCCATTCGTACTTGCTTGCAAGCAGGAGGGCATGGGGATCCCTCAGCTGGGAAGGGAGGCTTCCCGTTGCCTAACTGAGAGATCCCTGCCCACTCCTGCTTGCACACAAGTAGGAGTTGGGAGGCTGCTCCGATAGGCAGCATGAAACCTCCCTTCACAGCTTAGTTGCTGGGGTCAGGGAAGATGGAGGCAGCCCGGAAGCTGCATCTCAGAGCCCCTGCACCACCATCATATGGGGACTTCTGAGCAGCTCCTGAAGCCAGCCAGAGCCAACTGCTCCAGGCTGCTGAGACTGCTGCTGCTGCGTTTCCCGGGGACATTAGATGAAATCCACGGACATTCCGGGAATGGAATTTGTCCGGGGACTTATTTGCAAATCCAGGGACTGTCCCTGGAAAACGGGGAAGTTTGGTAACCCTATCTTAGTTAAATGCCGTCCCATACTTCCAGAAAATCAAAGTGGGATACCTTATGCTTTCAGAAGCATAGCAGTAGGATTACTCATGCAGCCTTACTTCAAATTATATATTAGATAATATTAGTAGTACAGGAAGCTTGCAACTTAAGTGCACTTAACTTGTACACATTCAGCGATTGGCAAAAAAAGGAGGTGGAAAGGGGATAGGTGTCCAGGGGAAAGGATTTTGGCACAATTCAAACAGGAAAGGGTTTAGGTGATTGCAAACAAGCCAGGTACTTACATGAGTATAAAGAGTAAGAGTAAAACAGGAATGAGACATTAAAATATTTGTACATTTATTTGTTATTAAAATTTACCTACTGTTATTTTCTGTGTCACTTTAAACTGTTTTTTTTTTAGCTGATTTTATTGCATTCTGCCCTGAGACATGTGTGATTGAATTAATTAATAATGCAAGATATTTTTAGGGATCTAGATCGATACTCTTGCCAGGAACTGGATAATGTACCACAAAAAGTGTCTCTCAGTATGAGCTAATCAGCTTTTATTACATCCCTCATATGCAGCTGAAAACTGAAAGCTTTATAGAACTTCATGGGCCAAAATGAACCACTATTATTAATTCGCGTCTCATCCTATTTTTAACATTTTATGAGCGTTCTGGCCACGTTACAACCTGGAGAACTTTCCGGGCCTCGTTTCCTGCCACAAAGGAGAATGTGACCACAACCTCACCCCTACGCTTGCCTTTGTCACATTATTCTGGGAGCGGTGAGCTTTTCGGATGGCCACATTAGGAATGTTGGAAAAGTGATGGAAGCACGAGTCAGAAAACGGGAGCTGCGGAAACAAGGCATAACACTGTTATAGGAATTCTAAGGTCTTATATATATATAAAATAAATGTTCATAAATGTACAAGGCAAACACATACATAAGTATATAAACCATGTGTCTGAAACAGTACAGGAGAACAATCCTGAAGCCATTTTGACTCTCCCAAATTGACCTCAAATATTTCTCTGCAAGGAGGCAGGAAATGGGAAAAGCTTTCCAATTGTAGGGGCTTATAAAAGGTAAAGGGACCCCTGACCATTAGGTCCAGTCGTGGCCGACTCTGGGGTTGCTGCGCTCATCTCGCTTTATTGGCCGAGGGAGCCAATACAGCTTCTGGGTCATGTGACCAGCATGACAAAGCTGCTTCTGGTGAACCAGAGCAGTGCACGTAAACGCCATTTACCTTCCCGCTGGAGCGGTACCTATTTATCTACTTGCACTTTTGACGCACTTTCAAACTGCTAGGTTGGCAGGAGCAGGGACCGAGCAACAGGCGCTCACCCCATCGCGGGGATTCGAACTGCCAACCTTCTGATTGGCAAGTCCTGGGCTCTATGGTTTAACCCACAGCGCCACCCACGTCCTTGTAGGGGCTTATACCTCCCTGTAAATACAGTCTGGCAAGTATCTGTTAAGCTGAGCACACTATCAATAGGAGTAAGAGATTCAGAAACTATTTACCATCTCAAAGGAATGGCCAGGCTACCCAGAAAAGGCAAAGAGATAAAGCATTATCAGGTATCCTGGCAGACAGGAGAGAAGCAACACACTCAAATTTCTGCTGGGGACCACCTCTTTCTGTGATGTATGTATGATGTTTTCGGAGGTGGTCTTCAGCTACAGGGAGACAATTTCAAAAGTCTATATAAAAGTTTGCACACCAATGTTCTGGGATGTCCCTCTCCTCCCTGCTTGGGGTGAGCAGGGGACCCTGTTGCAACAGTTTAATAAAGATCAGGCTTACTAGCTGCTTTGCTTCTCAATACAGTGGTACCTCGGATTAAGAACTTAATTTGTTCTGGAGGCCCGTTCTTAACCTGAAACTGTTCTTAATCTGAAGCACCACTTTAGCTAATGGGGCCTCCTGCTGCCACTGCGCTGCTGCTGCATGATTTCTGTTCTCATCCTGAAGCAAAGTTCTTAACCCGAGGTAATATTTCTGGATTAGCGGAATCTGTAACCTGAAGTGTATGTAACCTGAAGAGTCTGTAACCCGAGGTACCACTATACTCTCTGGTTGGCTTCTGTTATTTTCTTCTACCGATAGAGAACCTCCATAAGGACTCTGTATGGGCTCTTGGATACCCCATAAGGGATAAAGTAGCAGTTTTTTCTTAGAACAATACAACATGGCTGCCACAGAAAAAGAGACAGGGCCACAAAAAAGTGGGGATGACCCCTATCTGCTCTCTCATCAGTGAGAAAAGACTCCTATTTTAGTTACCACCACACAAAGCTTTGTACACCTCAGTGTTGTTCAGAACAGAAGGGAGGGTGGGCAGGGTTTTTTGGCAGTTTTCCTTTTAAAAAAAGGTAGAAACTTCTCTTTGTCCCCCCCAAAACAGTTCAACAACTTTTGTGTCCGGATTTTCACTTTTTGAAATATGGCAACCCTGGTTTAAGGGGCACACTTAATGTAGACAAGGCTGAGCCCAAAGAAACAGGAACTGAACATGAAGAACAAACAGTATCTCACATAAACTATATTTTTCAGGGGACATTTGTTGGTGTTTGCAACGTAATTTCATTGGGAATATATTTCACAAAGAATAGATGGTGTCGGGGAAAGGAGCTGACAATTGGGAGTTGCTAGGTTATTTCTGTGAGTTCTTTCTTAATACTTGTTCTTCAAGTAAAAAGATATTATTGTTATTATTATTTATTTATTATTATTATTCCACTCATCTGACTGGATTTCTAGCCACTCTGGGCAGCTCCCAACAGGATATTAAAAGCACCAAACGTGAAAAAACTTCCCTAAACATGGTTGCCTTCTAAACAGTGCAATGACTTTTGTGATTCAAGAGCTGAAGTACCTGTGGGTGCTTTTTTCCAGCTCAGTGTGTTAGACGCAGCAGAGTGGTGCTCGCAAATAATTCCCTCGAGCGCTTTTCAGAGCAGAAGTGTTAACACTTAAAACATGGCCAGAGTCCAACTCGGTAACTGTACCGCATACACGCCCAAGTATAATTTCAGCTGCAATGAGAAATCTCCTTTGTATCCGCCAGAATTAAACCAGCGAGGTTTCGCTCAGGAGCAATCCTGTGGCCATCAATCAAAACACATCAAAATTAAATGAGAGTAAGGTTACTCCTGATAAGGCAATAGCTCTTCATAAATAGGGTTGCCAGAATCTTACCAGGAAGGAGGCTCTATGCGCCTTTTAACTGCTGACAAACATTTTCCCTTCAGTTTTGTGGTGGGGAAAGTTTCAGCTGTCATTATATCTGCCTGTTAAGTCAATCTGGATTCTTTGATCATTTCTGCATTGTCTTTATCCTGAAGAGTGCTCTCGTTATTAAACAAGCCCTTGTAACATGGGAGGTGCCATGAACATGGAAGCCCGTGCTGGATTTAAAAGTGTAGAATTGGCTGGTTAAGGGAAATAGTTGACACAAACATTGAGATTTGAATTATCACTTCAAACGTTCAGGGCTGCTGTTTTCATTCATTTTAGAAGCGGGGAACGGATGACCCTCCTTATGTTGCTATTCAGCTGTTGTTGGACTACAACTCCCATCATCCCTAGCAAGGGATGATGGGAGTTGTAGTCCAACAACAGCTGGAGACCCAAGGTTGAGAAACACTGCTAAACTACAGCTCCCATCATCCCTGACCATTGGCCATACAGGCTTGGGGCTGATGGGGTTTGAAGTCCAAAAGACGTCTGAAGGGCCTGGGGTTGTCCTCTCTTGCTATCCAGATAAGCTTAATGTAGGGAAATTTGGAGGCTGCCATGGATGGTTGCAGTTTTCAAACACATATCATTATGAAGAAGCAGACCTATGTGTGATTTTTTTGGACTTATAGGCCTTCTTGGTAGTGGCGCCCGCCTGTGGAACGCCCTCCCACCAGATGTCAAAGAGATAAATAACTACCAAACTTTTAGAAGACATCTAAAGGCAGCCCTGTTTAGGGAAGCTTTTAATGTTTAATAGGTTATTGTATTTCAGTGTTTTGTTGGAAGCCGCCCAGAGTGGCTGGGGGGACCCAGCCAGATGGGCGGGGTATAAATAATAAATTATTATTATTATCTAGACGTCTAGGTCTAGACTTCAGGTCTATGCAGGTGAAGCGGATCTTCTTTGCTAAGGCAAGACACCAAGGGTTTTCATTCTTCTCCCTGTATTACAATATCGCTGTGTGGCTTGGACAAAGAGAATGGGTCACACGGAACGTCGTCCAGAGAAGCCAGAAGCAACAAGTACCAGTCATTTAAACCCTTGCTCTCATTTTCCAGTCAAATGTCGACAGCTGCAAGGACAGGTGAAGAGCATATCTGGTTTGCCAGCTAGCAGCTGATGCCGCTGGGCGGGAGCCAGACGATTACATTTTATGTGTGTGTCGGTCCATGCTTTCTTGGGCTCTCTGGGCCATTCCTATGCTAAGAGTGAGCAAGCTGACAGAATGCCTTTATTCTATTTGCATCTGTGAGTGCCCACACATTTTTTCCCCCCAGCGGGCAGAGGAGATGATCCCAAACAGCTGAAACTGCTAGCCTCAAAGAAGCTCAGTTTTGCTTAAGAGTTGTAAAATAGCCAGGGACAAGTACTGTATATACCACGGGCGGGCAGGGTGGGTGGGGAGTGAGCAGAAAGTAGATTGGGATCTACCAGCAAATATTTGGGTGGTTTGCAGAAGATTGGCAACAGCTTCTGACTCCTCAGTTGTTCAGCAATGGCAACAACAATTAGGCATTGAAATTAGGTATTAGGTACAGTGGTACCTTTGGTTACATACTTAATTCGTTCTGGAGGTCCGTTCTTAACCTGAAACTGTTCTTAACCCAGTGGCGTAGCGTGGGTTGTCAGCACCCGGGGCAAGGCAAGTAATTTGCGCCCCCTAACCCCTAACCCACCGGGCGCCAGGTAGGGGCAGAGAGCTGCGAGTGCGAGCGCGCCCCCCCCAGATGTTGCGCCCGGTGTGGCCGGCTCCCCCTGCACCCCCACGCTACGCCACTGTCTTAACCTGAGGTACCACTTTAGCTAATGGGGCCTCCCACTGCTGCCACAGCGCAATTTCTGTTCTCATCGTGAAGCAAAGTTCTTAACCCGAAGTAATATTTCTGGGTTAGCGGAGTCTGTAACCAGAAGCGTATGTAACCTGAAGCGTATGTAACCCGAGGTACCACTGTATTAGGTATTACAATTAGGTATTGAAATGAAGAAAGCTTGGCTTAACCAGAAGTGGAGTGTGTGACTTCACAAATAGCATTCTGGTATTCAGAACCAATCACAGTTAATTATCCTGGCTTGGAGGGTACTCATAGGCACTCTCTTTTTCCAGTTCTACCTGTATCTTTTGCAACATGCCTTGGATGGTAGATCTTTGGGTTCCAGCAGTGTAATTTTTCTAGAAGAAGAGGTGCTGGAACTCACCATGAACACCTCCCTCATTTTCTTAGAATGTCAATGGCACCTACCTGAGAGGTGCTGGAACTGAGTTACGGTGAGTTCCGGCTTTTAAAAAAGCCCTGGTTTCTAGTAAGAAGAAGTTCCCAATTAGATCTGCCAAGCCTGAAATTTGTCCACCCCTTCTCTATACCAAAAGCATTGCTTGTGGTATCCGACATCAGGGACTGTGAAATCCGTAGCGCATAGGTGCCATTTGGTCAGAACAGTCTGGAATGCAAATTTGCTTCATTTACCTCCAAGCGTCCAAATCAGGTACATTTCCCGCTGCTGAAACTGCTGTTCCCGTTTCCCCATTCATCAAAGTAGTGGCAGATGGTGTCAGCGTTTATGAATTAAGCAGCCTTTCAAGCACAGCCAGACATTAAGGTGGAATATTTCCTGGACTGTCAAGCTTGCTATAAAATTTGTCACCTTCTTTGCCCTGTAGCTGTTAGCCGGGTTGTTTTGTTTTATGATAAAATCCTTGAACTCCTAAGTGAAAGCAGATTTGCTACAAAGGCCAGTAATTAAGCACATTAAAGCTAGCTACTGAGAGATACAAAATATGAGCACACCAATTCTGTTCTGAAAACGAGCTTCTGTGAAATGCAGCTCTTTGATTCTGCATAGTCCCGTTTTGTTATTTGTAGAAGGCTTAAAAGAGGGGGCTAGACAGTACCACATCTATCAATTAGACATCACATGTGGGGCCTTCAACAAAATGTTGCAGTATATTCACACCCCCTGAGTGCTCCTGTTCAGGGTTCTAGCCAGGCAGGCCTTCCTCTGGGATACCTTTAAGCCCAGCATGGGTCCCCCACTGTTGTTGAACTAGAAATCCCACCATCCCTAGCTAGCAGGACCAGTGGTCAGGGATGATGGGAGTTGTAGCTAAACAACAGCTAGGGACCCAAGTTTGAGAAATATTGTCGTAAGCTGTCAAAAGCTCAAGCAAGCAAATTTATTCTCTTTCCATTTCCCTCTTGGTGGTTTGTTTGGTTTTGTGTGTGTGTGTTTGGTACTTTTGCAAAACTGATACTCTGCTTCATTAGTGGTTCCACTTTGTTGCCATGTTTGTTGGTGCTTACTACCTGAACTTGCTATTGGTGGGAACAAGGAGCTGTGTGTAAGCTATCCAGAATTGGCCTCCACAGTTGCCTACAGACACATTATTAAGACTGTATTTGTGGAAGACAATATTACTCGGCTGCGAGTAATAACAGAAGAAGAAGAAGAAGAAGAAGAAGAAGAAGAAGAAGAAGAAGAAGAAGAATCTACAGGAAGGCACTCGCAGTTTAGGCCACAAGCAATGAGCATCTCTCAAGAAATCCTTTGCATGTGCTCATGCTGCTTCTGAGCATCAGTGGGGGGGGGGGCAAGGGATTTTGCACCAAGTCTTTGCTTCCAAGTCCTCCAAGTCTTTGGTTTTAGTACAGAGACCTGTAAAAGTAACCCTGTAAATATGCAGTGTCAATATATTTATCAAAAATAAATTTTGTCAGCAGCATTATCCAAGCAGACAACTAGGGTGCAATAACGTCCACAAACCACAAGCAGTTTTGTTCCATTGTTGTTGCTAAAAAAAGAAGGGTGCACCAAGGGGTGAAGCAGGTGTAGCAACAGCAATGGGATCTCAGGAGAGATGATCAGAGGATTACAGTGTTCTGCCTACTGAAAACGATTCTAAGGGCTCTAATAATAAGAATAATAGTAATAATAATATGCCGCCCATCTGACTGGGTTGCCCCAGCCACTCTGGGTGGCTCCCAACAAAATATTAAAAACACAATAAAACATTAACCCTTAAAAACTTCCCTGAACAGGGCTGCCTTCAAGTGTCTTTTAGAAGTCAACCTTGACATTTCCTTGACAGTGCGGGCACCACTACCAAGAAGGCCCTCTGCCTGGTTCCCTGTAATTTCACTTCTTGCAGTGAGGAAACCGCCAGAAGGCCCTCAGAGGAGGACCTCAGTGTCCGGGCTGAACAATGGGGGTGGAGATGCTCCTTCAGGTATACTGGGCCAAGGCCATTTAGGGCTTTAAAAGGTCAGCACCAATACTTTGAATTGTGCTTGGAAAAGTACTGGGAGCCAGTGTAGATCCTTTAGGACCGGTGGCCAGATCTGTTGTCTTTACCTTATGTGAAAGGGCGCCACAGAACATAGCCATTGCAACTCTCTGGAGTTGGTATTTTTTAAGAGGAGGTTGACTTTAGCGGGCAGACTTGCTTTCTAGGGGAGCCCCCTGACTGCTACGACTGACCATCTTGTCAAGATTCCCATGTCTGCTTTCCCAAAACAGGTTCCAAAACACTTTTGACACAGCAATGTGTCCCAGCTGCATCAGACCCTAGAGGAATGAAAGATGGCTGTGACATCAAGGGAGAAGCATGTGGCTGTTCCAAACCTGCTCAAAGTTATGTAGGGAGAACTCGAGATAAATTCACTCCTGTATTTTCAGCAAAACCTTGAAAATAGTCCTGACGTACTTACCGGGGAAAATAAGAAATCAAGATAACAAACTTTTTATGAAAGAATGGTTTCTTGAATATTTTACAAACAAACTGCAAACAGATAAGAACATTGGCAGGATTATTGTAATAACCTACAGCTTTATTTTTCTGAAATAATTTTTAATTTGATTTTACAAGTGTAGAGTTATAACAATACAAAATGCATATCCAAATTTAGAGATTTCTCCGAATCTCTAGACTTCCCATCTTCCCCTTCATTGGTCTCATTATAAACCTTTTCAACAGCATATTATTTCATCATCCAAATTTTATGTCTCTCCATTTTATCCATAATATCTTCTATATTACAGGTATCTGAAGAAGTGTGCATGCACATGAAAGCTCATACCAATAACAAATTTAGTTGGTCTCTAAAGTGCTACTGGAAGGATTTTTTTTATTTTGTTTTTTACATTACAAGTTTTATTGTAATCCTGCAAATGTTCTCTTCTGGTCTCTCAAGTAAATTATAAATTTCCCCCCTTCTTTATTGAAGTTTTGGTCTTCTTGGTTCCTGAACTTTCTGGTTAGTTTTGCCATTTCGGCATTGTCCAACAGGTTAGATTGCCATTCTTCTCTGCTAGGGACTGTGTCTTCTTTCCATCTCTGATCTAGTGTAACCTGCAGCTTTATAAGAGTATACATTTAAAGTAGATCAACAAATGATTAAATTAATTTGGAATATGCAGGGTAGGGACTTTGTCTTCTTTCCATCTCTGGGCTAGTGTAACCTGCAGCTTTATAACAGTATACATTTAAAGTAGATCAATAAATGATTAAGTTAAGTTAATTTGGGATATGCAGAAAATATAAAAAAATAAATTTAAGGAACCGCAGAAAGAGAGGGAAGGATGTTGAGTTTCGAAATGTTAAAATGATTGTAAAATTATTAAAATGTATAAAATTGAAAATAAAAAAAATAAAATTAAAATAAATAAATAAAATAGCCCTGACTTTCTTTTATTTCCTGTAAGTTGTCACCTTGTCCAAGGGTGGACTTTGGTAATCTTTCATAGTATGGCACCCTGTACAAGGCCAAAATTTGGTGCCCCAAAATGGTCTTCAATCAAGGATCTTCTCAGTTTTGCACCCCCTTGGCTCAACACCCTGTGCAGAGGAACCATCTGCGCCACCCTAAACCCAACACTAACTTGTCTCCTTCTTTACTGGAACAGCACCCTTTTTTGTCATTATTTGAACTTTTGATAATAGCTTACTCCCTGGTGCTACAGAACAGGGATGCGGAAGCTTTTTGCCCTCTAGATGTTGCTGGAGTCAAAGTCCCATCAACCCCAGCCAGCACGGCCAATGGTCAGGGATGATGACAGGGGATGGAGTCCAAAAACATCTGGAGGCTCTAGAATGGCTACATTAAAAATAAAAAGGCACTGATGTAGACTTTAGCAAGAGCTGAAAATAGAAGACCCTTTATTTCTACACAGCACATAATACACTAAATTATTATGTCAAAGCAATATCACAGCAGCATGCCAGACAGTTTTGTTGGAACTCACAAAAAAATGTTCCGTTGCTTTCCTTTCCTAGGTCACTCGTATTCCCATTTCACAGCCTGATTTTGCTGCATAAAGGGCAAGGAAGTTTGCCGAACAGAGAGACCTTAAGAGTCTACAATATCAAACAGAGAGATGACCTTAAAGGAAAACATATTCTTTCTTGGTTGGGGCAGCGGTGGGGCTGAGGGACGCACACAGGGAAAACTATCCCAAACAGAAGTATGGTTTCTTTGCCACCCTTGGTTATTTTACTCACCTATCTCTGCTTCTGCGGCAACACATGTTTCACATGAATCTATATTGAGATGAATTTTAACCTACAAATAACTAGATACAGCTACGCAGGAGGGAATTCCTCCAGGATGATGTCAAGTTTCTTAAGCAGTCAAATTAAAAATAGCACATAAAACCTGACCAGTCATCTTGGCTCTGAATCCAACCAACACATTTGGGAAACATTATCGGGCTTATCAGGGGGAAACATATCACAGTAAATCTGCTTCTGTTTAAACACCATTTTATTATTCATTTTTGACATTTTCCTTTTTTCTTCAACCAGTTCCTCCTTCGCCCCCAGCAGATAAACATTAAGCCTCAGTTGAAATGCAAAACAACAGTGAAAGATTTCCTCCATGCTGCCCATACTCCCTCCTTCCCCCAAAAAAGTTCCACTTTGAAGTATATATGAATTGAAAAAGTTACCATTTAGATAGAAGCTCTAAGCTTCTAGGAAATGCAAAGCTAAAATGTTTTGAGGTGGACTACTACTCAACCGCTCCCTGATGTTTGATGGGAAATGGATAAAATGGATTAAAAGTAACCCATGTTATGCATACAGTAAATTATGGAGTACAAATCGCTATAGCACGAGACAAGGATCCAATAGGATCTCGTGCTCTTCTACGTCAACAACAGATTTTTCTTAAAAGCGTGTATACTGCAAACTCTCAACCTACATGATAAAAGTGCATCAAGCCAACTGACGCAGACCAGACAAAATATTGATCGTAGCTAATATAGAAGGCTTACATTGTAAGAATTTTTCTGCAGGCAAATGTGGGCTGGTGAGAATACAGCCATTTTCAGGGTAAACAGCCTTCCGTCCCCTATATTAAAAACCACTGATCTGTGCTAATTTCATGACAGCTGAAAATGTCCGTGCCTTGACACATGCCAGTTAGATAGTTAAGATAGTTTTACTGGGTCAAAATTTGTAGCTAGCAGCAAAAAATCCTAACTGGGTGTGTATGTTCAGGGGGTGGGAAAGATGATAAAAATTGATGGGGAAATGAGACCACTTCATCAATATCTTACCACATCCTTTCATGATGCATGTCATGTGAAACCAGGACTGAATCTACACCTATATTTTTTAAAAACCGCTGTGAAAATGCTTTTCTAAAAAAGTTTTAATATATATATAGAATCTGCCTTTAGCTCACCGTCACCATCTAGTGTCACATTTGTATAATGCACTTAAAACACACTTAAAGGTAAAGGTAAAGGGACCCCTGACCATTAGCTCCAGCCGCGGACAACTCTGGGGTTGCGGCGCTCATCTTGCTTTATTGGCCGAGGGATCCGGCGTACAGCTTCCTGGTCTAAGCCACTTCTGGCAAACCAGAGCAGCACACGGAAACACCGTTTACCTTCCCATCGGAGTGGTACCTATTTATCTACTTGCACTTAGATGTGCTTTTGAACTGCTAGGTTGGCAGGAGCTGGGACCGAGCCACGGGAGCTCACCCCGTCACGGCGATTCGAACCGCCTACCTTCTGATCGGCAAGTCCTAGGCTCTGTGGTTTAACCCACGCTACCGACGTCCCTTAAAAACGCACTTAAAACGTTCTATTTGCAGCTGTATATCTGAGTCCCTGCTCCCAGATTATCTTCCTGTGCGGAGAGCCTTGCACTATGCAGTGAGGATCACACACCTAGACACTTCTGTTATTGCGCACAATGAAAACAGGGTCTAGGTGTGCAGGAATCCCACACACCTACTGCCGAGAACCTCGCACTTCAGCACAGATTCTCTACCTTGGTGTTGCTCCCTGTTCACACTTCCCCGCTCTGAGTGTGCCAGTATTGCCAAGAGCAAGAAAACACAACAACAGTTGCTTCCACTCGCTTTGCCCTCGCGGGCAGTCTCGGCCTGAAGGCACAAGGCAAATGAACTTGCAATGGTGGCAGTGACAAGATGGTAGACCCCACAAAAGATCTGGAGCTTGCAGTGTGTGTGAAGGCCTATTCCAGAGGTTTGGGGGTCCACGGCTCCCTTGACCAACTGCATTCTTTCTGCGGCACTCCTGTGGGGCTCAGGAGCCCAGTTCTGTCACCCCTTGCCTGCAGAGCTGGCAGCCTCTCACCCTTTTTCAGACTCCCTCCCTTGTGGAGTGTTCCCTCAGCCTCCTCTCCTTTCCTTGGGAGTCCTCTGGGCAGCAGCTGCTGCTGCCCCTGGTCTCTGAGCTGCCCCCCCTGCCCCAAAGAGAGGTGCCTCAAGGGCCTGGGACTTGTCTGTCCATTCCCAACAGCAAGGGCTGGCTGGCTGGGCTCCCTTGCCCGCTTACTTGCTTATTCCGAGGCCACCTCAGCTCCTGGCAACCAGCACCCCCTGACCAGCCCCAGAGGTACCATTCGCTTGGAGCCAGGGCTGCTGCAACAAACAGCCACACAAGCCTTTGGGAGGCAGAGACGCAAGAGGGCATCAGAGGAGGGAGAGAAGAGGGGACAGAGGCCAGTGTTGCCTGCAGCACCCCTGACCATCATTCAAGGTACCCCAGGGTGCTGCGGCACACTGTTGAAAACCACTGGCTTAATCTATGTAATCATTACCCCAAGAAAGTGGGGTCAATGGTCACCTGAAACAGACCTTTATGACTAGGTTCCTATTCCAATATGGCCTCTAACATGTCAATTATACACAAGCCAATCATAGGGCACGTTTTGTAACACCACCATCGCAAACTCTATGCATGTATAGCTACAGATAAATAAGCAATGCCACTGGATTTTAGTCATTGTATTTGAATTTGATCCAGAACAAATATGGATAACTTTGTGATGATTTCAGACCATTGGTTTACCTCTTAAAAATGTGGGGTTTCCCCCCACACTCAGCCCAAAGCAGCAATTCACATGTGATCAGATCATGGAAAAAGCTTGATGTTACCATCTTGTATGAGAACCAATTCAACAGACCTCGATAATGCATTTCTTGAAGTTCTGAAATTTGAAAATAAACTTGCAGCGGCACAGCCAAGTGGGTACTTGATACTAACAAGCTTTAGATGAAAGTTCTTTTTTTCTCGGTACGTCATTTGTGTTTTATCCATCCATCGAATTATATATTATAAAGTAACATTCCAAATAGATAACTCTTCATTAAGAAGCAATATAAGATTCACCTCAAACCTCTGAAATAAAATTGCAACCATCAAACAATAGCTTTTTGAACTTTTTTTTATTACACAGAAGGCAAATAACTCTCTTCTTTTGGCTTTTATAAACAGAACTCCATTGTTAAAACATTAATTCCAAATACAGTTAAAATCAGTCCTCAACCATGAATAAAATTAAGGAAATCTGTCACATCTACTGCATGTGTCTAGAGCTGTGCACTGTCAATTTCCCCCGATAGGGAATATGTTACTTTGGGCATGTATGTACATTTGTATGTAATTTGAGCAATGAACCTACTTAGGATGTGTGCTGACCACATCTTGTCCTGGGTTGAGCAAAGGAAAAGAACAGGGCTACACATTTGCAGCAGAGCCTGGCTGTGCACAAATGTGATTGGCTGGAACCAGTGATGACCCTTCGCCGCCTCAGAGCCATTTTCAACTTTTTAAAAATAGAAAGTTGGATGGTCTGCCTAAAATATAGGAAAAGGGGCAAGAGATTTGGTGACTTGAGTTTCCAGTTCACTGAGGGGTGCAACAGTTGCCTTTGAACGAGGCAGGAATTTGCCCTACAGGGGAGCAATGTGCCGCAATTTCTGTTTGTCTGTCTGTTTGTGCATGCACAAACTGTCTGTCTTTTATTATTATTACTATTATTATTATTATTATTATTATTAGTCTACTCTCACATATAAAATCAATCAAGAGGATTGGTTCCAAAACATTAGAGGTTGGATCAATGGGCATGAAGAACAGCCAAGACTTTTGAGTTCTGCACCCAAGCATTACCTGCACCCTACAGCATCAAGTACGGACAGTAATTATTATTTAAAACAAACTTCAGATTCAAGCTGCATAGTGCTAAATCCTATCAAAGATATAAAAATAGAAAGCTATTCTTGCCCCTAAGCACCTAAAAAGGCCGGATCCCAAATAACTTAATGTGGTCAAACCAACTCCAGAAGATTTAGTTTCTGGATTTGTAGGAAGTAACTTATTATCCCAGAACACTTTCTGAACCCTTCTGGGCCAAAAATTTCCCTAAACGCATACACACTCTAGCCAGCATGCACAAACCTTGTCTAATTCAGACAAATAAAATACAAAACAATCGAACGAAAACAGAGACTCATTGCGGCACAAGGTCAAAATATATGAATACCATATTCCATATACACAAGCAAGGGATGTTATTTTTGAAATCTTATAAGCTAACCACCTCACAGCTGCTGCAGATCACTCAGAAGATGCAGTCAAAAGAGGAACTGGCACAAGGTTTTCAGTATTCCTTGAGTTGGGACTCCAGTGGGAAATAAAACAAATGCCGCTCACAGTGAAGAATCTTTGTTTCTTGGAAGTGTCACACTGGGGAACTCTGGACAGCCAAGAAAAAATAACGTAAACTCTCAGGTTTCACACAGTGGCTAACAGCCGTAAAAGGAATTCGGTGGCATTTGTGTAAGCAACTGGGCTCTTTGCTTACAGTGGAATCCTTGCTTTCTTCCCCTCTATTAATGTCTACGCACCTTCCACTTCAATGTGGTGAAACAGCACACAACAATGTGCAAACCCCAAGAAAGACAATGCTGTGCGATGAGTTTGGCTTACATAAGCTGGCCCTCATTTCCAAGTGTAAGAAAAACTGTATTTTGTCTGTAGTAAGTAGGTTCTCATGTCGTTATAAATAGGTAATATGAAACATCCCCCAAAGATCCGGAATTATTAGCAACTAGACCCCACTTGCAACTGCTTTCTAAACTGTATACAACTTTGGGATTTGTAGAGTATGGCTTTTCACATGTGCAATCTGGGAGTATTTCCTTCCAGTCGGTTTCCCCCATCATGCAAAGTGTTGGCATGTGTGAATGGTAATCCCGTGTTTGTTAGGCACATACATACAATGGCAGGAAAGAGGCCTTCCTTGTTTAATAATATGTTTGAGTGTCAAATTCGTATTATGTTATCTCTGTGACACAGTTTCTGCCGGGAAAGGGATTCAAGTGAACATTATTTCCCCCCAAATTAGCTTTTTGTTGACAATGAACTTTATGCCAAGGATTTAACCACAGCAGTTCAGGCTATGACAAAAAAGACCTCTGCTGATGTGGTCAATGCTTATTTTTCTAAAAATATGTTTAGGGGTACTCTCATTTTGACTCAAGAAAAGATAGTTCAAATTGGGAAAAATAAATACAGTAAATGGACCAAAGTACAAAGATTCACAAAATGTTTAGGGGTATGCGTATCCCTGCGTACCCCCAGAAAAAAAAGCACTGGATGTGGTCAGTACATCCTGCAAATTATATGGAGAACCAGTTCCTTGCAAGCTTCCTATGTGGTTCTACAGCCATCCAGTTCCCTTTCTCGGCCAGCCATAAATTTACCCCATAAATATAAGTGGGACTTTACCTGCCAAATCCAAATGTAGTAGTGGAGAAAACAGAAAGCTGCTTATTATTTATTTTGCATTTATTTTCAGAAACTTTCCACATGGCTCAAACTGAACTGTAAGGGCGGCTGTGCAGCATTCAAAATGTACAAAACGATAACAAAGAGATTACTGATCTGGACTCATTCAAGTAGCTCAAAGTGAGCCTGAAATAATGTGACGTTCATGCAAGATAAATCCAAGAAACAGTGTCCAAAATAATAGCACCTAGCCGATCTCTTCCACTGGGGGTTATATCCCAGATGAGCAAACCCTTAACTTGTGCATATTTGTGGGGTGGGGAGGGGGAAAGGACACAAATGCAAACCGCAACATTGGTGTGTTGCATTGTTAAAAGTGAGTGGCATCCCCCCATCACATGCATGATTCTCTGAGCAGCGGAGCAAATCCCTAAGAGAAAAGCAGGGAACCCTAAACACAACAAAGCCACTCTCAGTGCCATCGGTATGATACAGAGCATATAAAACTAGGCAGAGATATATATACAACAGCATTGCCTGTCTCTCATTGGTCCTGATTCCAGTGTACATCTCAGGTTATTAAACTGAGGGAAGCACATGCTTTGTGCCTGAGCATTCCCATGTTTGCACTGGCCCTTCTTGCTTCTTGTGTGAAGTCGGTTTAAGATCCTAGCTTGTTCTGGTCCTGGTTTCGATGTAACAGGAAGCTAAAAATCCACGCAGGAAAAGTGTCGACAACTCTGGCATGCCAAGGAGGTGGGAGCGAAGAGGCCGGAGCACGCCGACATCCTTGTTCGATAAATTGAGATAAGTACACCCAAACGGCACCGTATATTTTTTATATCGATAATTTACATTCCAACTATCTGCCCAAAGGCACACTGCAGACGCAACACTACGTAAATTTTAAAACAGCTTAAAAAAATATTAAAAATTAAACGTGCATGCACAGGTTTCAGTGCAAACCCAGCGAAAACTCTGTCAGGAGTCTTTCTCTGCAAGAGGAAAGTGTCCATGGTTGGAACGTGTTGACCACTCCACAGTGCCTGCAGTCAATTGCTCTGAAGATCTGGTTTGAAGGGAGAGCAGAAGAGCCTCCCAGAATCCTTGGCCATTGGCCATGGTGGCTGAGGATTCTGGGAGCTGGAGTCCAGCGGCATTCGCAGAGCCGCAGGTTCCTCAGCCCTGTTCTAGAAGCTTCCACAGCGAGATCTTCACTGGCACGTTTCCATGTGTGGAACGGTTCGAAGACGACAATACAGAATTACTGCATACATCCACAGACAAAAGCCAACCAATAAACACATAAAAAGCAAGGCACATAGACCCCTTTTTTGTCATTTATATATTCAAATTAAGGTACCTCTTTAAACTGCCAAGTGGTAAGACTAGCATATAAACTGGACGCTGTACCATACGGAGTCAGTCGGTCAGGTTATCGATACAAGTCCACGGACTGCATCAAGGAGAATAAAACCAGCCATTATGTTATGCAAAGTAGGCAGATGTATTAACACCACACACTATTAAATTATGTAAACAAACATCTTTTTTTTCTAAATAATACAAAAGTCCATTTGTCAAAAGGAGGGGGCTACTGAAGCATAGCTCGAACTTGTTTCGAAGTAGACTCGTCGTTCAGATGTTTCGTGGTGAACCTGGAAGTTACAAAGACAGAGTCAAAAGACTATCCTGTGAATTTCAGGCTCTGTCATGTGCCTTGATAAAGCAGCAACTTTACAGAGCAATGCTTATGCACATAAAAACACACACACACACACACACACACACACACACACAACCCCCCCCAGGTCCCGTCGTATTCAGGATTGCAGCTCTGAACACGCAAAGTGCTTTAGATTATTCAAATTAATGCTCTCTGTGGTTGTCTTAGCAAGTTTGGTCCCAGAAGCTATGAAAGGCCCAACGACATTAAATAAAGGCAAGCGAAGTTAAATGAGTGCATTGATTAACAGCAACAATGAGGGAAACAGCATCCATCAAATTAAATGAATAAGGTAAATGGTATTAAATAAACAAATACAGGAAGACCCATGTATGAACATACCTGCATAAAAATACATAATATAAAATGGAAGAATGGTATAAAAAGGTGTGGGATATAGCTATTAATGATAAATTGACATGTGCTATTAAGGTAAGATGGGGAATATGCCAGAGAAGTGATTTTGAGGAGATATCCAGTCCAGCAACTTTTATTATTTTGTTACACTTCCGGTGTGGTAAATCAAACACGATGGACAATCAGATGGTCAAAATGAAGATAGGCAAACATAATGGGTACCTGAGAGCATTCAAAAGGCCTTCAACTGTGTCTGCTGGCTCTTCCCTTAAAACCTTTATGCAGCCTTTCATCTGCGAAGAAGAGAAGACATGGAAGAATAAGGGCTACTATTTGGATGCATGCATGAAATACCAAAAAAAGTGTAAGAGAACTGAACGGACCACTTTTAATCTACAGGTCAGAACGTGTGGACCTTCCTTGAATGTTGTTTCCTAAAAATGTGCTAGGTCACAGCAACACCTCCCCTGCTGGGAAAGAACAGATGGGAAAGTCCTACCCATAATATGCATAGAACCTGAACCTGGTGCCTTCAGAACTTGTTGCCTTCAGAGCCAAGATTTACCAGCCACTGTATTGTGCAAAGCCACTAAGTACACACAGTCATCGTTGAGATTTGGGAAGGGGAGGAACATTCAAGTTCTCCCAAGCCTGCTGATACCTTGCTCATGTGTGCAAATGACACTGTTTGGGTTACAACAAAATTCACGCTCACAGAATGAATTTGCTATTAGTATGCCTGATGGGACGGCAGAGTCTTTCTCAAGGAGTGCATTTCAGCAGTTTCCAGGACAGGGACAACTTGATTGCCATTGTTCATGCATTGGTAATCGTGAGACTTAATTACTGCAGTGCGCTGCCTGCAGGGCTTGTTTTAGAAGATGAAGATGCAGAACGCAGCAGTTAGACTGGTGGGATGGCTCCATTGGCAGAGCACGAGACTCTTAATTTCAGAGTTGAAGGCCCCACACTGGGCAAAAGATTCCTGCATTGTAAGGGGTTGGGCTAGATCAGTGTTTCCCAACCTTGGGCCTCCAGCTGTTTTCGAACTACAATTCCCATCATCCCTGACCACTGGTCTTGCTAGCTGAGGATTATGGGAGTTGTAGTCCAAAAACAGCTGGAGGCCCAAGGTTGGGAAATGCTGGGCTAGATGACCCTGGCGGTCCCTTCCAAGGATTCAAACTGGAGTAACATGTTCACATCTGCAAGTTAACACCTGCACCAAGGGATCTGTGCTGGCTGTCAGTAACTACCTGGACAAACTGGACATTACGTTAGCTATGTAGCTATGCCTTGAAGTGTAGTCACTCTTCGGTTTATCTAAGTTGTCAGTGTGGGCTCCCTGATCTGGATCAGGACCTTCCTTGGGGAAGCTGTGGGTGGAGCTTTAATCCTCTACCCTCAACTGCAGTCCTGATTCTGGTCAGCCCCCTGGGCCTGCAATTTGCACTGGGGGGAAACCCTGTTTACTTCAATGGTTGTTTCCACCACCCAAGTGAAAATCATAAGCCCGAGACCCTCAATTTGAAACAGAAAAAAAAGTTTATAGTCTTCCTTATCCCTACACTAGCATCCTATCTGGATCAGGGGCAAATTGTGGGTGGTGGGGAGTATAGTTGAGCCTTTGGTGGAGACATGTATTCTATAGAAGTCATTTGTGGAAGAAGGCTGATGTTTTTAATTATTTGTGTGTTTGTGTGTTGGATTTCAATGCCACATTGGTACCTCTGGTTGTGCAGGTGCGCAGCGCAATTTAGCCCTTTTGTGCATGAATGAAGCGCAATTTAGCGCTTGTGCGCATGCGCGAGCGGCAAAACTCGGAAGTAACTCTTTCCAGTACTTCCGGGTCGCCGCGGGACACAACCTGAAAAAACGTAACATGAAGCAAACGTAACATGAGGTATGACTGTATTACGCTTTTATTCAGTGTCACAGGCTACACTGAAATTTGCGCGGGACCACGTGCCAAGCTCTCCATTGCAAGTTAAATTTGCATCCTGAAAAGCAAACGTGCAAAAGAAGTCATTTTCCAAAGGCTACAAGTGTGGCTCATGTGACTGATGCCTCAAACCGCTAGTGAAGAAGACAACATGAATTGAAGTGCTTCCTTCAGAACACCCCATGAAGCTTTTGCAGGGGATTGCAACACCTTGCCATTCATTATTCTTACATCAATCTTTGAGGCTTTGGAGAACGCTCCCACGGGATGGACGTGGTCATAGAGAATGATGACGCCAACCATCACTCTCATGCAGAACATGAGGGTTTCTTCACTGGTGAACCTACTTCTGTATTCTCTGCGGAAGGGGAGAAAACGCTGTTATTCTGCCTCTATTCAAATTAAAACCTTCACTTTCAAAGCAGCACAGGAACCTCGAGACACAATCTAATAGAGTTAAAAGAAAACTGCCAATAAACACGGCTGACAGGGCAGACCATGGGCAAATCGACACATCTACTGCCCCTGACCCCATGGTACGCTGGCACAGTTGTCCCACCAGCAGGGATGAGGGGTAGCTGTTGGAAGGGGGTGGGGGTCTGGCCTTTCCATTCTAATACTTGCACCCCACCCCGTGGCTGTACAGAGACTTCCTCCATTGCTGGACCCTGGGTCCAACTGGCAGAGTCAGAGGTCTCAGCTTGCATGGTGGGCTTCCATCACCTTGTCCATCACTGTGCCTCTCAGAAACAGCCACTGCCAGCATAGAGGTGCCTGGAAGGGAGACAGGCCCATTGCCTCAGGGGATGCCAACATCAGGCTCCAGACTTGGCCAGCTTTCTTGGGACTGGGAACAGGGTAGCAGAAATCAGTGCCTTCCCTTTATTTCCCAACTGATAATGATGTCTCTGTTGTTCCACAGGTAATGACAAAGGGCGCCCGAGGATGCAATAAAAAGTCCACATCTTAGGTGACCTTTTAAAGAAGAGATTCAAAGCATGGCTGAATCTCCAAAGACGGAGGTGGGGGAATCTGTGTGTGCCCCTCTGAGTTTTCTTGTGCTCCCCACGTCTGGTGATTCCTGACAACTGGCCATGTTGGAAGCGGCAAATGGGAATTAAGAGTCCGGCAACCTCTAGATGGCCACAGGCTCCCCACCCCTCTGTCCTAAGATCAAAGGACTGTCCAAAAAATTACTTCTGCCACACATTCCAACTGAGGAGGCAGCAAAAGGCGCAATTAAAAATAAATTAAGAAAAAGATGATGATTGAATATGTTTGCATTGTCTATGTGTAACCATGTCAGCCTGGGTGATGAGTGCAAGGTTCATTAGGTTTCCCTGACAGAATGACCAATCTTCAAACATCAACGCTTGTAAAAATACACAATTGACCAAAAGGGTAAGTCATGTGGAAAGTGACCTGTTTTAAAGATATTTGACCCCTCCCTCTTTTTTTTGGTCCTGCCGTAACTTTTTTTTCTTTTTTCTTTCCCTCTCCAACTTTAAATATTTATCAGAAGGACAAAGCCAGAGCACTGTGGCCCTCAGAGAAAGCTGGGAAAAGAAAGACTTTCTTCTTCTTTTTCCAACAGTGCAAAAGCTCGTCTAAACCGGGATGGATTTGTATTTTAAAAAATAAACCATGACACATCATGGCACTATGACTATCCCTAGATATTACAAGGGAGAGAGAAGATGATGACCCGGAGCTGCTGCTTTTGGTTTAGCTCTACCACATATGCAACAGACATCATTACCAGCAGCGTGTAAAGATACACTCATTTCTTTTGTTCCACCATAGTCTCTGCTCAAACATGATTCTAAAGTCACGCAAAACCAGTTTACCAGAAATGACAATGGAGTAAAAGTACATGGAATGGTCTTTTTCATAATCTCCGAAATAATGGCTACCTGTCTCCAGCTTCCCCAAAGGTTATAAAAGTAGTATTCAATTACAAGCTTTCGTTACATTTCTTTGAACTATTAAAACAAACAAACAAACAAACAAAGCGACATTTATTTTCCCTGCTCATATCTAACTTACGGCGTTTCCAGCATGACTTTACATACACTGGCCATCGTACTTAGACAATCTGTCGTATTCTCGATTGGTAGGGTTTTGTTCTGCAGAGGTTAAACCAAACCAACAACAATAACAACAACAAAAAAAAAGGTCAGTTATTCAATATTTCTCTGTAATATGCTATTGGTTTTTGGTTTTTGAAAGAAATATTAGATCGTCACTCACTTCTGCAACAAACTGTGTTGTGGCATTGCTCAGTGTTTTCAGCACTGGTGTAGCTTCTGCATAAAACAGGGACATTCTGTTAGCCATCTCGTTGTTCACTTCGCTCTCAATGCCGAGCTGATGAAAACACAAGGGAACACTGATTTTTTTAAGAAGAAGTTGCTGTGTGCGTTTGCGCATAACACTAAGCCCCAGCTTAGTAAACAAACCACGAGTTGTCTCCTTGATGAGCAAACAAGGCACCGCCTCTTTCTCAAAAGCTTTGGTTTGTTTTCCAGCTCTTCTCCTCTCTGTAGCTTGGAGGGGCCACACAAACCATGGGTCGTGCAAGACTGTTGGGTTCAGACGTGACACCAAATGATAGTTCAAACAAGCCACGGTTTCATGTCAACAACAAACCCATGGCTTCAAACTGTGGCTTGCTGCCAGAAAGCAAACAAACCATGCTTTGTCTGCTGGGCTAGGTTCAGAGGTTGACACCACTTTGCCTCAACCAACTGTGGCTTCGCCTTATGTGCAAACCACATGTGCCCAACCTGTTGCCCGAAACAAGGGATGTGCTGTTACCAAGTTCTTGTGCAAAAAAATGAAATCTGCCTTGATTGCAGATACAGCAAGTGAACAGGAAAACACATGGCATTGCAAAGTAAAATACATCATCATCATCCCTTCTATCTCCAGACAGAACAGAGAAAGACTCCTATTGAAACCCTGGTGGGCCACTCATGCACCTGGTGGTGCAGAAAAACTGAGGTAGGTGGACTGTATTTAGTATAAACCAGCTTCCCACATTGCCAGATTGTCTTCTAGTGAAGCAGCAGCCCCAAATGGAAACCAGGTTTTTGGCCATTAAATAATCTATGGCCTGCTGAATGTGGGGTGGGGTGGGGACTATTATTATTATGATTATTTTATTATTATGCTTTTGTGCAGTGCTTTTTATTACTATGCTCCGTAAATTATGTACTGGGATCTTTGAATAAAGGGCGGTATAAAAACTGAATTAACAACAGCAATGACGACGTTTCACTTACGTGCATATTGTTTATTCTGTTGCGATTCAACGTCCTCCTATAATAGCTGAAGTCATTCTGTATTGCGGGGTTTCTCATCTTGGTACGAAAATAAAAGGGGAAAATAAAATTTAAAAATCAAGAAAAATAAGCTTCCGGCGCTCTTAACCCAAAAAAGCCCCTTAAACATTTTATGTGTTAGCTGACCATCCCGCCCTCGTCCTTACCTTGAGTTCGTCAAAGCGGAGAGTGAAATGCAAGATCTCTGCAAACTGCTTTGCTAGGGCTTGCTCTCGCTCTAAGTGCTGAGTTGGTGCATAGGGAGGGCAGGTCAAGGATTCCAGTAAACTCTGCAGCGCTTTCTCTGAAGACGAAGAAGGGAGGAAAGCAAAAACAAGTGAAATTGCAGATATATGTCTCGCATTTCTTTAAAAAGAGAGCATTTCAAACAAACGTGCAAACCTATTTTTCCACTAGCACAAGACTCATGGGTAAATATTTTTTACAAACGGAACTGTTTGGCCTTCCCTAAACTACGTAAATGTGCAAAATATCTTTTACACATGGAAAAACTTAATAAAAGTTACTTCTGGGTGAAGAAAGCCTATCATCTTAATTGAGTTGGATTGCTGGGATAGCTCAGTTGGCAGAGCACAATACTCTGAATCTCAGGGTTGTGGGTTCGAGCCCCATGGTGGGCACAGAAGGGGGTTAGGCTAGATGTCCCTCGGGGGTCCCTTCCAACTCTACAATATGGAGACGTAATGAATATTTTTTTTTTTTAAGGTATGATATTGTTAGTGGAATGGGCATCTTTAATTGCTTTTTCTTCACCAAATGATGATTGAGAGGTATCAGTCTCTTGCCTACGGACGTCTGGCAATACAGCTCCATTACAAACAATATCAAAGGGGTTTTTAAGGTTAAAAATAAGCCTCTAAGGTCAGAGTTTCCCAAACTTGTTTTTGGACTACAATATCCATGATCCCCGACTCCTGGTCCTGTTAGCTAAGGATGATGGGAATTGTAGTCCAAAAGCAGCTGGAGACCAAAGTTTGGGAAACATTGCTTTAAATGAAGGGCAGGGGAATGCACAATTGCTTCGTTCTAAGTGCAAGACATACACCAAAGGGCGGAGGGAACCAAATACCACCATCGAAACAGCAGAGCAGAGGGTTGTTCAGCAACACACTAAACCAGGTTTCCTGACCTGTGGTCCCTCCAGAGATGTTGCTGGGACTACAGCTCCCATAATCCTTAACCACCGGCCATCCTGGCTGGGGGCAGCATGTTGGGAAAGGCTGCACCCAAAACATCAGAGGTGAACAAATTCTTTGGAAACAATAGGCAGATCCTCACCTAGCCGGAGAGAAAACTCATAGAACCGCTTCAACCTCACAACCAAAGGACACACTGAGTTCCAGGCTCTCTCCTGAAGTTGGATATCATTGGGGTTTTGTATTGCCTGGAAAACAACGATACCTTGATCAACATCAGGTGGCTGGCAAAGAACAAAAAAGAGGACTTGCTGCTTGCCTCTATATTTAAATATAAAATATCTCAAAATGATGCTTGTATAACAAGAGCGGAAAGTTAGGGGCAGGTGGGGCTTGTCAACCTCGGGAGGTAGCCCATCTAGCAGAAGGAAAACTCGGATCTGCTGTCTCGCATGATATCTTTGCAAGAAGGAAAGGCTAAGGAGTGAACCCTACACAAATCCAGAGACGAGTCCCTAAGACAGCTGGATGGTGCCTTGTACGTCTCATTCCGGCAACTCCTGCAGCCAAGATGGTGCCAAACGTATTGCTCTGCTTTCCTTTGGACCACATCAGGCCAAGAGGGGGGTCTTGTCAATCTGGGAAGCACAGGTCCCCCGTGCTCCAGGGAGGTCCCTTCGGGGTTTGACTTCAACCCCAGAGGTGCATTCTTATTCTCTCGAGACAGACGGATGTCAACAACTAAGTTAGAGGAAGGGACATAGTTCTGTGGAAGAGCATCAGTGTTGCATGCTTGATTCCTGACATTACCAGGTAGGGCTGGGAATGTCCCCTGCCTGAAATTCTTGAGAACCATTGTTAGTTAGTATAGTCAAGATGGATCAATCACCCAACAGCTTCCTATGTTCCTGTAAGATATTCCAACCATTTCATCTGATTCAGCCCCATTTCTCCTTCCTTCCCCTCACCTCGATTGGGTCTACTGCCCCCAAAGAAGCTTGCAAGCTCGCTGGGGCAGGAACCTACTTAGAGGTTTATTTTCTGCACATGTTACTCCATAACACTTCATGCACGGATGGCGTCGTATAAATTAAGAACAAAACCATTCAAGAGGTTTTGTAAACGCCACACACAGACCAAAAGCCAAGCCGCTTTTAAGTCCATCTTTGACGTCGCACCATTTAGCACTGGAAAGCTTTCAGCCAACGTGTAGTCCTCAGACTCCATCATTCATCTTCGGGGTCATTAATAAATAACAGCCTTCGCAAAAGCTCTTTGCAATCTTGTCTCGCCCGCATGCAGGGGTAAACATAATCCACACCACATGCATGCGGAGATACACATAATCGTGTGTTCTGTGTGCAGATATATGCGTGCACAAGCACATCTAGAAAATCTGTTTTTAATTTGGAATCCTAAATTTCAATGAGGTTCTTGACTTCGTTCAGTAGCCTGATTGCATCGATAACCGTTTGTCTCCAGAAGAGATTTGTTCAGTAGACAGGAAAATTCTTGTCATTTTTAGTTTTAATTTCACATAATTATGACCATTTTTTTATTAAAAAAAAGAAATATTGTATGTACAGTGGTACCTCTGGTTGCGAACGGGAACCATTCAGGAGCTCTGTTTGCAACCTGAAAGGAACGCAACCCACGTCTGCGCACACATGGGTCGCAATTCGCCGTTTTTGCACATGTGCAAGACGTCATTTTGCGCGTCTGCGCATGAACAAGTGGCGAAACCCGGAAGTAACACTTTCCTGTACTTCCAGGTCACTGCGGGACACAACCTGAAAAAACATATCATGAAACAAACGTAACAAGAGGTATGACTGTATTTGCTTGGGTAGGAAAAGAAATATTCCAGACTAGTGTTTAATTTTTCCTTCCTCGGTTTTTTTTTTGGGTGGGGGTGCCATAGTATGGTTTAACGCACATCTCTAATTTCCTGTCCCGCTCCTTTGTAGGACTGCAGGTCTGAAAGCATGCTCTCCGAATCTTGTAAGACAGCATTGACTTGGTTCCATACTTCCCTCTCTCCATCTGTAGGCTGAGCATCTAGGTGAGATAAAAAGCAAATATTATTTTAAGAAATGTTGGTGGCAAATAGAGCTAGCATACACACTCCTGCGGTTTGCAGTACAACAGCCCTTTGATCCATATTTTATTATGTTGCAGACAATTCAGGCGGTGCTTCATTGATTTCCATATCTATGCTTTAGTATTTAGCTCCAATGTAACTAGGATTAAAACTGCTGCTCCCCACCCCCCATCAAAAATGCCTCATGCAAAATGTACTTACATTAAAATAAAACAACAGACCCCCAAACCAACTATATTGACTTCAGCAAATTCCATGTCAAAACGTATCATGGACTCCACTGAGACAAGATGAGTTGGATACATTTTTTAAAAAACCTGTGGAAAAAATAATCTTGCTGCAATCCTTCCCAGTTGGAATTTCTGAGTAAGAAAAAAATGAGGACAGCAATCCATAAAAGAGTTAGTCCTCTGTGCAGAAGCATAGCTTAGCAGAATGAAAAGCTGTTTTCATCCTCACCTGCTATATTAAAACCCATGAATGATCATGACTCTTTCCCCCTCTTTTCCAGTTTTAAAACACACCATAATTCTGTGTTTCTTCCCCCTTGGCCTATCTTAGACTTATATGTGAATCACTAGGAAAAGTTATCGCAGAAGATGGACCGTTGCTAGGGACACTCAACCCCCTCTGTCTTTGACCTGCCGATGGACTCATCATTTCAGTGAAACGTTACAGCCACTTTTGCTTGGGTCCTCTTCAAAACCCTGTTCACAAGTGTCCAACTTAACAAAAGCACACACATTCTGCCCTGCCTTTCTTCAGGGAGATGTTAGACCCAGATCCGTTCCAACGATTCCACAAATATTCATGGATTCAGGCGGTCGTGTTCTAGCCTCTCAGTGAATAATATTGAAATCACTTTAAGTCGGTCTAGTCCAGTTATCTTCAACCTGCTGCAGTCTATCTTACCCAAGCCAGTGATGGAAGAAATGACAGCGTGTTTCAAAGCCTTTGAAATGACACTCACTGTAACTGATGCTGACGCACTTCAGAAGTTTGTTGGAGCATCGTTCACTTGGGTTTGGATAAGAGGGGCTCCCTCTCCCTGCATGGGCCCAGGTCCTCCCCCCCCCCCCCCACTATTTCCTATTTGTTTGCCTTTCACTCTGGGCCTAATCCAGGCATAGGCAAACTCGGCCCTCCAAATATTTTGGGACTACAAGTCCCATCATTCCTGACAACTGGTCCTGTTAGCTAGGGATGATGGGAGTTGTTGTCCCAAAACATCTGGAGGGCCGAGTTTGCCTATGCCTGGCCTAATCCATCTCTCCCCAGAAGAAGACAAAAAGGTATGTATACGTTGCTCCTCCTGACTCCTCTTACTGATCGCTTACTTCAAGGGGGAAGGTGAACTGGTAGAAAAAGTAAAGCGGGAAGTCCTGCTGGATAGCTCAGCTGGTTAGAGCGTGGTGCTGATAACGCCAGGGTTGCAGGTTCAATTCCCACAAGGGACAGCTGCATGTTCCTGCATTGCAGGGGGTTGGACTAGATGATCCACAGGGTCCCTTCCAACTCTACAATTCTATGATATGACCTGAAGGGCCAGGAAGTTCCAGGGACTGGCAGCGGAGCATGGGGCCAACTGGAATAGATGTCTCAGGAGGTTATCTGGCAATGCCAATCCCTGATGCTGTCCTGGTTATCCTACCAGCCATTGGACTACTGCAATGCGCTCTACGTGGGGCTACCTTTGAAGGTGACTCAGAAACTACAACTAATCCAGAATGCAGCAGCTAGACTGGTGACTGGGAGTGGCCGTCAAAGGTCCAGCTCCGAGGGCCTTCTGGCAGTTCTCTCACTGTGAGAAGTGAGGTTACAAGGAACCAGGCAGAGGGGCCTTCTCAGTAGCGGTGCCCACCCTGTGGAACACCCTCCCATCAGATGTCAAGGAAATCAACAACTATCTGACTTTTAGAAGACATCTGAAGGCAACCCTGTATCTGGAAATTTTTTATGTCTAATATTTTACATTTTTTAATGTGCTGTAAGCCACCCAGAGTGGCTGGGAAAACCCAGCCAGATGGGCGGGGTATAAATAATAATATTATTTGTATTATGATTATGATTATTAAATTGTTCCAAGACATATTTATTTTGAGCAAGAGATGCATGGTCCAGAGAGGTATAGGAAGAGGTCAAAGTCCTGAGCGTGCTGCTGTGTAATGCTGCATTGACTTTTTAAGTCTCTACAGGAAGGCCTACCATATTATTAGAAGTCAGTAGAACAAATAACTGAGGAGATCTGTGGGCAACATTCTGTTGAAGCTAAACAGAACTGGACAAAAGTGGGACTATTCTTAGAAACTGCAAGTTGTATGAGGAGAGGAAGGGTGGAATATTATCACCTATTATGAAAGGAAACCAAAGTTTGGGGGGTTTCAGTATGTTGGCTGGTTCCACCAGCTGTACAAAAGACAGCCACCTTTCCTCTGTGTGTGCATGTGTGTGTGCATCAGGTGTTTTGAGGGTGTGTGCACACTATGCTCAGTCTGGGTACCCCCTTCCGTTTTAAACAGGAGATTAGTAGATCGGCATTGTTGTCCTCTGAAAGCAGGGACCACATCAGGCGTTTTTGAGCATGCACTCCCTGACAACATCCATCATTCTGTTACACTCTGGGTTCTCTAAATCAGGAATTAGAGGGCCTGTTAACATTGTAGGCTAGAAGGGCTTCTCTTGCATACGATTTTCCTCTTGCTTCATACACATCAAATAAAAGGCTTCTAGTGCAGCCGTAAAATCTAGCAGGACACATTTTATGAGAAAAATGCCTGCTGTAAATGGCCCGAAGTGTTCAAAATTCAGCTCACTGGTTATTAATTTAGGCAGGTACAAGGCCTTAAAAAAAAAGAAAGAAAGAAAGCCTAGAGAGATCCTTAGTTTTAAAAAGATGCATTGTGGTGAAATTCACTGCAGGTGCAAAGAAAAGGTGGGGGGAGGGCAGGGAAACACAGGCCTGCAGCACCCAAACTGAGCTAAGGTTTTGAACTGAGCTAAGGTTAGCAACCCTGGATATCAGGATTTGGCTGGCAAAATGATGCGGTTTCTTAAATCTATTTTAAATATGCAGCCAGTGCTCAGATGCACAGCCTCTGCTTGCCACACATTCACATGTGATGTGTGTAAAATCCTCCCTGATATTTGCCACGATGAGAGAAATGGTCAAGCTACTCAGTGAGTCATCTGTTTGGGTGGAGAAGGTGGCCAAGAAACAGAAGCCACAGCTGACTTATGCAGAAGGGCACTGCTTGAACCTCAATGGCTGGGATCACCAGGGACTGGGGAGTGTGCTTAGCTTCCCCCTGAACACTGTCCAAAAGTGGATCCCTTCACTCTCCCCCACGTACAAAATCATATAGCTGCCGCTCATCCCTGCAGGAAAAGTTTGAGTGCGGCGCTTGGGAATTGCTGCTGCGGGAGAAAAACCTGACCACTGCTCCTGACAAGTGGGCCAGCCATTAGAGAGAAAAACGCCTTGTGGGAGGAACTATGGTGCTCCACTTCCTTTGATTGGTGGGAGATTCAGCAACCCTCTTCTGATGCATCAAGTTTGACAGGCCTTTAATACTATTGAATTAATGCAAAGCTTTAGTGCACAGTAATCCCAGAACGACTAATGTCTGAACTCTCAAGGCTATACATTCAGTACTGCCTATGTGATTTTTCCCCCCATGGGGGAGGAGTTTCTGGTGTGAAGGGTGCTTTCAAAAAAAATCCCCTTCATTCTAGTGGTGCGGCAATAAAAACTGCGGGCACATTTGCAAAGCTAAGCAGGATGTGGAATGGTTTCGAACTGGATGTGTTGAGATTCCTGTATTGAGGGGGTGGGGTTGGGCAAGATGGACCTCGTGTTCTTCCCTTGCAACTCTACAATTCTATTATTCTCATGCGCATTCTGTAATGGGATCCTGCTTTGAGAGGACTCCACCATACAAGGCCTTGCAAGCTTGGAAGTCATTCTACAACTTGTTTCCAGGGATGCAAAACTTACGCAACTCTCCAGTTCCTCCTCATCTCTCCCTACTGACTCTTTGGAGCAATGGTTGTGGGGTATTTTTTGGGGAGAGGAGAGTCCTTCAACCAGAAGTATTCTATTAACTCATTCTGAGGTTATGCTTTTGCCTCACCTCCCAGCCACCTTTGTGGACCCTGCCATTTTCTTATCAACTTGAACGGTGCCCCTCAACATAAATGCTAATATGCAACATTTCACAGTTCTGCTGCCAATAGCGGTGTGTCTGCAGGTACGGTCCCTTGTGAAATGCTCTTCACCAGAACTTCTCAAGCCTTCTACCTCCAGGGCCCACTTGAAAGCGATGAAAGTTACTGGGGCCCGCTAGTCACAAAATTATGCTGTGGGGCAGGACCAGTTTGTCGGTTTGTGAAATGCTGCTCTTCAACAATGTGCAGAAAAAGGGTTGTGCTCTTGAGCGACGCAACCAGAGTCTCTCACGCACCTTTCAAACACAAAATCATTCTAGAATGTGGCATAGATTGCGCAACATCAGGAAATGCCTATTTCCATAATGACTCCCTCTTGATGCATGTTGTCCATGAACTTCAGGGAAATGCAGTTTTTGCTTACTGGGCCATTTTTCTTGCCTGCAATTCTGGTTGCAGGTTCGATTCCCATATGGGTCAGCTGCATGTTCCTGCACTGCAAGGGGTTGGGCCAGATGATCCTCAGGTCCCTTCCAATTTTACAATTCTACGATTCTACCTCTTCCAATTTCTTGACAGCTACCCCACTTTTTTTTTTTTGCAATGAAGTTAAGACATTCAGCAACAAACCTGGCTGACACAGAAAGGCCCTGAATGTTGAGCTAAATACCTGGAATCTAGTGCAGGTATTCTTATGCATAATTATCAGGTAGCTTTGAGAAAATACAGATATTAAGAAAGACTTATAAAAGGAAGTAGGGGGACTGGGTTGAAATTGACACAGTGGCTTTCGGAACGTTTTCCCCATGGTGTATTAGTTATGAAACACAGCAAGCTGTGCCGAACAACAACATACACCTGTCTTGTCCGTGTTTAAAGTGCTATTATGAAGCAAGCAGAGCAAAAATGTATCTTTAGTGGATGAAGGGAGTTTTAATGCATTTTCTGATCACTTTTCAAAGAAACGCTCAGACGACATGCATTTAGCCTGTAAGCAGAAGGATTATATTAGCTGTAAGATGTGGTTAGAAAATTAATGTGTGAAGTAGATTACATTTCACCAGATGATAGATCCAAGGCTAAGGGGAATGCAATCGAGCGTTTACTTCAATTGCCATATTTTGTTTCTGCAATTAATGGAGGTAATCACATTAATTCAACAGTGAACAAAGGCAATTCCACACGGAACAAAGGCAAGAAAAGTGTCGTATTCACTATGAATTAGTGCTTTCCTTTAGAATACAGATATATTCAAAATGTTTTAAGTCCTTCAGAAAGTGTTGAAGGGTCAATGGGTACATCTCAGAAAACTTTAAATTTGCTAGTGCTCTTTGGAAACAAACAGTGGTACCTTGGTTCTCAAATGCCTTGGTACTCAAACAATTTGGAATCCAAACACTGCAAACCCAGAAGTGTTCTGGTTTGCGAACGTTTTTTCGGAAGCCGAACGTGCTCTGTTTTGAGTGTTATGCTTCCTATTTGAGTGCCACACTTCCGTACTGAGTGTTACACTGAGGTCTGTCTGTTTTTGCTATTTATTTTGCTTTTCATTTTCGCGGCTCTTTTTTGTGTGTGTGACTGTGTGGAACGCAGTTCAGCTACTGGTTGATTGATTGTGTGACTGCAGTACATTCTTTATTGCTTTCATTTCATGGATCAATGGTCTCGTTAGATAGTAAAATTCATGTTCAATTGCTGTTTTAGGGGTTGTTTTTAAAAGTCTGGAACGGATTAATCCATTTTGCATTACTTTCTATGGGAAAGCACACCTTGGTTTTGGAACGCTTTGGTTTTGGAACCGACTTCTGGAACGGATTAAGTTTGAGAGCCAAGGTACCACTGTATAGGGGAAAAGAGGTGTTTACTCCCATATGCAATACTGAGACACTTTTCTGCCCAGCGGGATTTTAAGAGTTTCACAGTGCTATGCTCCTACACATTTTAATAAAGTGTAAAGGGCAAGGGGGGGGGATTGCTTGCAAGTTTCTTTGAATACAGCACAAGCCACTTATAATGACCAATTTGTACAAAGCATGCAACCTTGAGGCTCACTGCACTCTCCGTAAGTATAACTCAAGGAAGAAATTTACGTCTGAACAGTGCCATGCTAAGATTCACTAAAACCTCTCTCAACGGGCCCTGTTCTTTGTCAATAAAAATAAGAATACCTTCTAAAATGAAGGTTGTTTGACAGAGGCTGTTTGACAGAATGCATGGCAGTTCTTTTAGCCGAGCAATGCTAACATTTGCAAAAAAATATATTGTTGGTGTTTTGGTTGAACCGAGCATCTGATTTTCAGAATGAATCAGGAAAAGTATAAGTGCCATACACTGTACTAGTTGTATGGCAGATTAATACATGCAATTGATTAGGATTTTATATATAAGAAGGAGAAAAGAATGCAAGCCAGGCAAGGAGTTTTGCTCACTTTCAAAGTCAAGGAAAAAATTTGGCCCTTGATCAAAGTCTGTGCAAGTGAGAACTTTTAAAAGATTTCCCATTTGGTTCCTGAAAAATAGAGAAAAAAGGAACAGGAAAGTGGCTCAGAGAACAAATCTTGAAAGCATCGAGTCAGATCATTTGCACTGCTTGAACCTGTTTATCTGTCAAAGCAAATCAAGCTTAAACATTCCTTCTCAACCAGTTCCTAAGTCAGGGGGAAAGGATGTTCCAATCTTGAACTTACTTTCAAAATCCAGGAAAAAATGTGGGTAGTTTTCAATTTCCCTGGTAAGGACTTTAAGAAGATTACCCATCCCAGCAAACCTAGTGAATGCAACAAAATCATAAAGAGTTATATATGCAAAATTAGAATGTTGAAAAAGTAAGGGTTTGACATGCTCTGCTATTCTTATTTCAAATCGAAAGAATGAAAACACAGTCTGTTTTCTAACGCTACATTGAAAGTAAGCGCCAAAGGGGAAGACTCACTGGGAGCAGTTCACACAGCAACCAGCGGCCAAACAGAGAGAACCCAAATATACAAAAGGAGATGCCAAAATCAACCTTCATTGCTGAGATTGAGGACAGATAGTATTTCTGTGAGTTTGAAGTGGGGCAATAGAGGCAGACTTGCACTGTCTCTGGTCAGAAAGCTTTTGCAGGTTTTTAGTGCAGTGCGAAAACCTGAAAAGTGTGATTGACCGGAGGTGTGAATGAAAAATGTACGTACAACATTATGACATATTTTCCTCCCTTTTTGTTTTTTGTTTCAGTGTTACTGTGTTGCATTTCATCCAAGAAAAGCAGAACTGTAAAACTGTTCCAATTTGTCCATACAAAATATATCCAAGCAGAGTTTTGTTTCTTTCTTAACCATCTTTCTATTCGGTGACACAAAACAGTTTGCCTTATTTCTAAATTCACTTTTGATTACTTGGGAGTGCAAATAATCAATAGCTTATTTACAACCAAAGAGAGTTGGCTGGCTTGTTGGGAGTTTTTTGCCCCTTTCAGGCTACTGGTATGTCATAAATGGCTTACATTAAATACCGGGCAGTCGATCTAGTAAAATTATTTCTGTGTGAGTATCCAGATGGGCGGGGTATAAATAATAAAATGATGAGATGATGATTCTCATCTGTCCAACTGATTTAACTGAAAATTAATTTACATGTAAGAATTTGTTATATGGCCTCCTAAATAATCAGATTTCAGTAATGAAATAATGGCCGAGAAGAATTCAATGGAGCACATTATAAACAAATGCCGTTATAATACAGACATACGTTGGAGATTTTGAGGGGTTTGGTTCCACATCACCGAAATAAAGCGAGTCACACAAATTTTGTTGGTTTCCCAGTGTGCATAAAAGTTAAATTTACACTATACTGTAGTGGCTGTACAGGGGAAGGAGGGGGTAAAAACTGGTGGGAGCATGGGTGTAACCAGGATTTTTGTTAGGGGGCGTCAGGCTTTTGTTAGGGGGGCAAACCTCCAATTTGTATTGATTTGTATTGATTTTTCTTGATTTGGGGGGGCAGCTACCCCCCAACCCCAACCCCTTGGCTAGGCCCATGTCCATCCCTAGCCTGCTCCACTCCCCATAGCTGTCAACTTTTCCCTTTTCTTCCAAGGAATCCTATTCGGAATAAGGGAATTTCCCTTTAAAAAAGGGAAACGTTGACAGCTATGCCACTCCCATGGCCAGAAGAGGGGCAGTGGTGGGGATGGGGGGGCTTCCTTCTCATGGAAGCAGCTGCACCCGCATCCTTGTAAGAAGCAATATCTGCACAGTGCAGTAAAACAAGGCATTATGTTTACAGATAGAAGCACAATTTTCCTGTATTTGTAGCAGCTCTGTTCATTGCTGAAAGGGCTAGGAATGATACGGGGCTTGACCAAACCTGCGGGTGAATTTAGCAGTTGGTCCAGCGCCTTACTGAGTCTTCTTAAAAACCAATTTACCACTTTCAATGTGTTTTTAGCTCAGCACGGCTTAAAACCAGCACCTGAAAACCTTGCTGGACGTACCGCATATTCCCTCTCTAACAGCAGGTATGTCAAACCCTTTCAGTTAGTGACATTTTGCATACAATGTATTAAAACATGCAAGACCACCATCACTTTAGGAAAGCATAACCGGTTTATATGAAAGTAAAGGGTTGGGAGGCAACAGAATCACACCTGCTTCTCAAATCGAAGTTTGCAATACGTTGCAACTAGGTTAAAATAAATCAGGATAAAAAATTAACCTTAAAAACACAACTACACCTCATTCAGTAAAAATATTTATATACTTTCAATACCATCAAAAGTATTCCATTATCACCAACCTTGTCATGCATAAGGGTGAGTACACAGAACACAACATTCATGCTAAATAATTTTGAAGGACATTTACTCTCATATTATAATGTAATGAGGGATTACATGCTTCCGACTTCAGTTAAAAAACAACTTACCTCATCATAAAAATGAAATCAGATTACAATCTCAAAATGTATTTTAGTTCCAAATGTATTTTAGTCTCCAATGTACTTTAGTAACCACCCTAGTTACTCTCAAGGCATAAAATTAGAAAAGGCAAGCAAGCTGATCCCATAAATCAGCATTTCCCAAACTTGGGTCTCTGGCTGTTTTTGAACTACAACTCCCATCATTCCAAGCGAACAGGACCAGTGGTCAGGGATGATGGGAACTGTAGTTCAAAATCAACCGGAGACCCAAGTTTGGGGAACCCTTTCATGCCATATACCTGCAGGGATTCCTGTTCTCTACACCAACCAAGACAAATGCATCAGAGCTGAATGGCCCATGTTTCAAACAAAACTTGTACCACGAGGAAAAGCTGTAGTTCTCTTTCAAGTGCGCGCTTGATAGCAAACCCTGGATTAACAGCCGTGTAATGTGCAAAAGGGGGACGCGGGTGGCGCTGTGGGTTAAACCACAGAGCCTAGGGCTTGCCGATCAGAAGGTCAGCGGTTCGAATCCCCGCGACGGGGTGAGCTCCCGTTGCTCGGTCCCTGCTCCTGCCCACCTAGCAGTTCGAAAGCACGTCAAAGTGCAAGTAGATAAATAGGTACCGCTCTGGCAGGAAGGTAAACGGCGTTTCTGTGCACTGCTCTGGTTCGCCAGAAGCGGCTTAGTCATGCTGGCCACATGGCCCGGAAGCTGTACGCCGGCTCCCTCGGCCAATAAAGCAAGATGACTGCTGCAACCCCAGAGTCGGCCACAACTGGACCTAATGGCCAGGGGTCCCTTTACCTTTACCTAATGTGCAAAAGGGCCTCAAGTTGCTCTTGAGTACTTAAGAAATACAGGAACAGGAAATGGGGGTGACTCACACTTCCAGTTCCCTACATTTCTCAGTAACCTCTGCCCCCCCCAAAAAAAGCATTTATTTTTACATTTTGAAGAAAGAAGAAGAAATGTGCCAATGTTTATGCCAGGTTTGATGTTTTCTCGGAAATCTTCTAACAGCCCAAGGCAGCCTCCCCAGAAGGTGGAGCCATGTTTCTGTGAAATGTATGAGACAGATCCTTATGCTTCCACTGGGAACATACATTCCTCGCCCCCATCCTCTAAATCTGTGTGTCATGCCCAATTTATTTTCTTCGGCATTTAACGCACCAAGATAGCTTTATGACTCAGGGATTCAGAGCTCCCTTTCTTATCAAAGAGATTTCAGAGAGCGGTTGGGCTGATTGTTCAGCCGGGTTTTGAAAGAACCTGTTTTCCATATTTCCCCCATCACAATATACCTTGGAAGTCAAACGGAATCCATTCCGGAAGTCCATCCAACTTCCAAAACATTCGGAAACCAAAGCACGGCTTCCGATTGGCTGCAGGAAGGTTCTTACAGCTAATTGGAAGCCACGGAAGCCCTGTTGGACGTTCCACTTCCCAAAATAGTTGGCAAACCGGAACAGTCACTTCAGGGCTTGTGGTGTTCGGGAGCCAAAATATTCGAGAACTAAGCCGTTCAAAAACCAAGGTACAACTGTACATGCATATATATTCTGCATATATCTTTCAGTGCTCCACTATGTGACCTTTTGCAGTTCTGCCTGTACTTGGCGAGTTTGCAAACTGGGAGCCTGCCTTGTGAACGTGGGTTCTTTTACTGCAACCCTTGCCCGCTGGGAACAAGTTCTCCCTTCCTTGCTGTTTAGCCACCATCATGCTTAACAGAGTTATTCCACCTGGCCTTTGGCTTGGAATCAACTTGATCCCCTCTCCCTCTTTCCTTTTTCCTTTCTCCTTCTGTGATGGAACTCCTATTTGGGGACTTCCCTAGCTTTTTTCTGGTCCACGTAGGACCAGTCTGGATAGTTGGCCTTGGTGAAGACTTGACATTTTCACCTCCCCCCCCAAAAAAGTGTTTGATTTGAGTTCCTACTGAAATGAGGCTGCATTTTAATATTGTATTTTAATCTTGTTCTTAAGTTGTATTTCAATCAATTGTTTTATACCTGGTGTTAGCTGCCCTGAGCCTGGTCTTGGCTGGGGAGGGTGGGGTATAAATAAATTATTATTATTATTATTATTATTATTATTATTATTATTATCATTATCTAGGTTTTCATAAGGGACATTGTCCTTCAGACATGGTTTCAGATTAAGGAAAATCCTGGTTAGCCTGAACCACAATTAATATTAGAGCAGATGAACTGCACCCATCAGAACAAAACACCAAAAGGTCTGTCTGGTCCAGCATTCTGTTTGCAACTATGTCCACTCCAGTTTAAGGCCTCTGGGAAACCTATTGCCGGGGCACAAAAGCAACAGCCTTCCCCCACTGTCAATTGGTATTCAGGGGCATATACCATGGATTCCATCTCTTTAGCCCCACCTATATAGCTCATTTGATTAGACCAGGGTGCCGATAAGGTTGCAGGTTCAATCCCCGTATGGGACAGCTGCATATCCCTGCATTGGACTAGAGATGGTCCTCTGGGTGCCTTCCAACTCTACAATTCTAGGGGGGGCAGCGCTCCTGTGCTTGAGCCCTGCCTGTGGGTTTCCCCACCTGCATCTTGTTCATTTGTAAGAGAAAATGCAGTGGTCTCCTGATTAGGCATTTTATGTCTCGTCTACTTAGGCCCACAGACTAATTATAAAGGACAGATCTTCCAAGACTTCCCTTCCCAGCTTCCACATGAATATAGATGGTTCCATTCACTGTGAGGACTGGAATAGCCCTGTTCTGTGTACAGCGCTTCCGAAACAAAATGACCAAGGAAGCTCCATGTGTGCATTTGAGATCCCGCAGAGCAGGGAAGGGGAACTCCTCCATCTTCTGTGGGCTCCTAGGACATCCTGAATAACCCTGACATTTTCGTTTGCTCTGTTTAAATGTCCTCTCCACGGGCCCTCCAAACCACACATACTTTTTTTTATGGTGAACAGATCACATAACAGCTGGGCACATATTAATGAGCAAAAAGTATCACCTCTGCATTATGTCCCAGCTGAAACAGTAGAAATACTTGGGCAAGACATCAATCGGGCTTAACTACAGAAAGGCTTAAGATCAGCCAGTTCTGCTCAATCAATTTACAGGGCAGAAACTCTTATTGTGCTGTAGAACAAGGGCCTATTGCCCAGAAAAGCGAACGTAATGGCTAGTCTGCAATAAAAAAAGGCCAGCGGCTGATAAAAAACAAAAAAATGCTCTCAAATACAAGCAAGCACACATTCCAAGTTTTGAAAAAACTGTAAAATGTAAATAGTGGGCTTTTTAAAATTTGAAAAAGTGGTGCATTTAACAGTAAGCAAGTAGAAACTAATCTCGACCCAGCACTAAAACCCATACAGTAACATCTTGTTAAGACAATTAAGTTTATACAAAGTCCCACTTATACATTCAAGATCCAGTTTGTCCAAAAGCCGCTCGTTTTAAGCCATGACAAATCCACAGGATGATTAATCACACACAGAGACACCCTTTATGGCAAATATCATTTGCTCCTTTCATAATACTAGGTGCACGTGACTAAAGTGATCTATTATGCAAAGAAAACAGACATTGTTCAGCGATGTGAGCAAAGTTAAACATATGCACAGAAGTGGACATTGTGCAGTTGTTTGGACAACCCTGCAGTGCTACACAGTGGATTTCCTGTAAAGGAGACATTTAAAACTCGCAGACCAGTCTAGAGACATTTGCTCATTCAACATGGCTTCACATGAAGCAAGGGGTGGGGGAGAGAAACAGAAGCTCAGAATGGGTTTTATTAATCCCGCAGTGCCCTCTGCTGTTTGACGCTACAACTTAAAGAGAAATGTCTCTCTTGCACATGCATACAAAAATGTGCATGCATGCGAGCGCGCACAGTGCTTTTCGTTAAGCATTCTGCATTTCAGCAAGAAATTATTTTTACATGTCATGCTTAGAAATCAAAAATGGAAAGGATTTCTGAGTAACTTCCACATCAGCAATGTGTAGCATGGGCAATTTCATAGAAAAATTCAAATCGACTAAGGTTGGAATTTGAACCAGATCACTAATGAAAATACAAAATTCGCACTATGGACAAATATGGAAAATGAATAACAATATATAAAATGGAAGAAAATAATGCGATAAAATTATATGTGATATAAAAAACCAGAAGAAGGAAGGAGGAAAGTCAGCTCTGAAGAGCAAGTATAAATGTAAAATGTAATACAATATGTGTATGTGGTGTATCTAATTGAAAAACTAATAAAGATTATTTGAAGAAGAAGAAAAAAATTCGAACAAGTCTCATGTACCGTATTTTTCCGTGTGGTAGTCTAAAATTGGGAGTCATACACAGATGGTGAATGCACAGGGGCTCAAAGTGGTTCTGTTTGATGTTTAAAATATTGATTTATTTGGGGTTCAAAAAAAATAGGGGTCATGTCGTAAATGGGGGTGTCTTATACAGTGGTACCTCGGGTTAAGAACTTAATTCGTTCTGGAGATTCGTTCTTAACCGGAAACTGTTCTTAACCTGAAGCACCACTTTAGCTAATGGGGCCTCCTGCTGCCGCTGCGCTGCTGCTGTGCGATTTCTGTTCTCATCCTGAAGCAAAGTTCTTAACCCGAGGTACTATTTCTGGATTAGCGAAGTCTGTAACCTGAAGCGTATGTAACCCGAGGTACCACTGTACATGGGAAAATATGGTAATATCCATCAGGAAAAACATCAAGCTAAAAAAAAAAAAGGTGAGAGGGTGTGGGCTAATTGGCGCATCCATTTTAGAAAACTAGCCTACAGAACGAAAGGAATCATAGAACCACAGATTTGTAGAGTTGGAAAGGACCACACGAGCTACCTAGTCCGTCCCACTGTGATGCAGAAATCTCTCACCCAACATGGGGCTCAAACCCACAACCCTCAGATTAAGAGTCTCGTGCTCCACTTGTTGTTGAGGAAAGTTGTTCCCTGTTGTCTATTCACACCCACTTATTCTGTGCAGCGCTGATAGGTAGCAGCCCAACACAAGTCCTCTGTTTTGTTTACCACCCACCGCTGAAGGATTTCGGAAGCAGAATGCCACCAGTTGTACTGGCAAGGCTAAGAGACATCAGCCCGGTTGCAAAAAGGATGCTGCCAGGTCGTCTCAGGCAGCTATGATCTTGCAAATAATGGGGCCTGAATGGCAGAACGTGGGTTCGAGAGAGGGGGGCAGAATTTACTAAACTACTCTTGAAATTTTCCTGTATTAATAGCTGTAATAATAACGCCCAGCTCCCCAAGGGTGTGTAAAGAGCAAAACAACAGAAACAAATGCTAGCCTATATATTCATGCATTCACCTGCATCTCATATGAACAGTGTTAGAAACTGAGATATGAAAGTTAGGAGCTACCGGTAAATGGCAGCTTAAAGCTTAGTTGTGGGTGCAACAACAGAATGTCTAGATGCACTTTTTAATGACAAAAATACAAAGCTGAAAATGAAAGAACTGCAGCTAAAATATTATGTTCATTTCCCACATGCTCTAGTCTTTCCCCTGCCCACCTCCCTAATATTCTTAAGAGGGTCTCTTTTCCCGTCTTTGAAAAGCAGCTGGAAGTGGGGAGGCAGAAAAAGGTCCTCCTTTCCTTCCGCTCTGCAGTTTTAATCTGAAATCTTAGGCGCAGTATTGCGCCCAGAGCTCAGAAACGACTCGCGCTAATGAAATTCCATGTCACAAAATGCACCTAGAACAATGGGAGTTTCGAACACTGCGTATGAAGTTACGTCTTGGGCTCTTGCTGTGCACTTGCTATCTTCCCACACCGGCAGGCTCCCCTGCAAACATCCACATATTGGCGTCAGGAGGCCCCTACAGCAAAGGCAATGAAAACCTCAGATTTGCCTCCTGAAATTTGGTTTTATATATAGTCTACGCTCTCAGATGTCTAGAGATGGGAGCAGTGCATCTTAGATACTCACAGGAAAGTGATTTTAGAAGTGGTTTTCGTTGTCATTGCTTCTATCCCATTGGTCCCCATTCCTTCTATTACAGGAGTATTTTCCCCCTCTAGGTATATTCTTGGGGCTGTTGGGTGAAAGTGTGTAGGGTTGGGGTCTTTTTTTGTTACATTGCTATGGCTGAATCATGTTTGCATGATTATTCTTTGAAACATTTCTTAATCTAATGATCTAATAAAATGTTAGTAAAAAGGCTCCTTAATCTTGATTTTTCTATATTTGATAAGGAATCCTTTTTCCTTCCCTGTTACACATTTATAGCTTTTTATACGACAGTGGTACCTTGGTTTGCAACCGTTTTGGATTACAACCACGTGTAATCCAAAAGTGCGTGTCCCTTTTTTTGGATTACAACCCTTTTTCTTTTTTGGAGGACCCATTGGCGAAAGCACGCCTTAAGTTACAACCTGCTTTGGTTTACAACCGGACCTCCAGAACGGATTATGGTTGTAAACCAAGGTACCACTGTATTGTTCTAATGTTGGACATGTCGTCAAGACATGCATGAGATTTAGTTGAGATTGCTGCATGGCAGGGCGTTGGACTAGATGAGGGACACAGGTGGCGCTGTGGTCTAAACCACTGAGCCTCTTGGGCTTGCCAATCAGAAGGTCGGTGGTTCAAATCCCCATGGCGGGGTGAGCTCCCGTTGCTCTGTCCCAGCTCCTGCCAACCTAGCAGTTCGAAAGCATACCAGTGCAAGTAGATAAATAGGTACCGCTGCGGTAGGAAGGTAAACAGTGTTTCCGTGTGCTCTGGTTTCTGTCACAGTGTCCCACTGCGCCAGAAGTGGCTTAGTCATGCTGGCCACATAACCTAGAAAGTGCTGGCTCCCTCGGCCTGAAAGTGAGATGAGCGCTGCAAGTCCATAGTCGGTTTTGATTGGACTTAACCATCCAGGGGTCCTTGACCAACCTTTTACTAGATGGCCCTTGGTGGTCCTTTCCAACTCTATGATTCTATGAGTTTCTTTATAACCACATAGAAATTCAATATGGACATGTTGGGCAAAGTCTCCATTTAATTTAAGAACTTTGGCAACCAAGGCCAAACATGCCGATCAGCAACAGGCCTTCCATTTATCTTTTGAAGATACTGCAGTTAGAGGAGTCATCCACTAAGTGGCAATATTTGCCTTCCGAAGAGCAAAACGGAAGCGGGGCAAAAAGCGCATTGCAGATACTTGCATTCTCAAAAATGTAGGTAGGCAGGACAGCCAATACTTCTCACTGTAGGTAGCGATCTATAGCAGGCTGTGTTTTGTACAAGGATCAGCAGGACTCAGCCACAGACTTCCGGAATTAATTCAGTTATGGCAAGGAGAAAAATGTAGTGTCCATAATGCACAGCAACACAAAGGAAATTCCAGAGCTTTTTGACAAAGAGGAAGCAACTATGTTTTAAACCCAGGCCTTATGAGTGTAATTGGAAGGTTGAATAATAGCTGTGAAGACAGATGATAGATAGATAGATAGATAGATAGATAGATATAGATGATAGATAGATATAAATAGATAGACAGACAGACAGATAGACAGACAGAAAGACAGATGATAGATAGATAGATAGATGATAGATAGATAGATAGATAGATAGATAGATAGATAGATAGATAGATAGATAGATAGATAGATAGATAGATAGATGATAGATAGATAGATAGATAGATAGATAGATAGATAGATAGATAGATGATAGATAGATAGATAGATGATAGATAGATATGATAGATACAGATGATAGATAGATGATAGATAGATGGATAGATGATAGATAGATATAGATGATAGATAGATAAGATAGATGATAGATGATAGATATAGATGATAGATAGAGATGACAGATAGATGATAGATAGATAGATAGATAGATAGATAGATAGATGATAGATAGATAGATGATAGATAGATAGATGATAGATAGATGATAGATGATAGATAGACAGATGCTAGCTGATAGCTAAAATGATGGCAAGTCCACATGAATTTCTAGTTCTCATGTTTTATTCAATATTTTAAAAATTGATAAAATGTTAGTGCTGGGGTTCTTTTTACTACACAGCAAAATGAATCAATAATCTGTCGCTGTGAATCAAGGAGATATCAAGGTATTAAGTGCACAGCTCCCATGTTTACGTTATGAATGCAGGGATGCTGCCAATGACTGCCCTTGCCAATAATGGGGGAGCCCTTTTGATGCTTTGCTCAGGATTGCATCACAAGATGCCGCCCCCATTACCATCAGGTGACACGACTCAAGAATCAGTAAGCGGCAAATAGCTGGCGACCAAAGGGGAGAATGTTTGCCTCATGCCTGGTTCCTCCACACGTCACAAGCTTATTAAATCTGTGTGGCATTTGTTTTCAGGGCACACATTCAAGCTTTTAAGGCTGCAGTAGATGAATAGCCCCTCTTATCTGTTGCATTTCACACCAACTGGCAAACAAAAAACAAAAAAACCAGTGCTAATGTCATGAACAGTTGGAGCTGACTATAAAAGCTTGGGCACCTCAAATCATAAATTCCTGAGATCATTTTTGATCTACAGAAGAAACTGGCAGCTTAAAAGAAATTAAGATCCGAGTGCTGGTCTTTATTGCCAGCATTAATCTGTAGTTCTGTCTAAAACCCTCTGAAGTACTTTTTGCTTCCATGTTTTTGGGCTTTATTAGATTTTTGAATTATGGAAAACTTTATTTACAAAGTTCTCACTGGTTTTCTTAATTTTTTCACTGCTGCCTATTAGTTCCAGCAGATAATTTGCTATCACTGTTGTCTGGCATTACATTTCTTGGCATTACATTTTCGCTCTTCTGCTCCCTCCACCCAAAAATTTTGTTAGTTGTGTCACACACGCTTTGGAAATCCCAGTGCTGGGGTTCTTGGATGGGTGGAAAACTATTTAAGTAGGGGTCTGGTGGCTATAGCTTTCTGAGGGAGGACCAAGGGCTTCAGAATACAGAGTTATTTTATTGTACTGTGACAGTTCAGGTTTTTAACAACTGTGATGATGACGGCAACTGCTTCTACTAATAGTTATAGGAAATGGAGATCAATTAAATTTCTGCTTTTCACCTTCTTAATTATCACTGCTATTTAGCAAAAGGCTTTCAGAGCTCACCTAAAATGCTCACAAACTAAAAACCCAGAGATGTCTCCAGTGCACATGGAACAGTATACAGCCAGAAAAACAAAACAAAAAACCACCCTAAAAATTGTTTACTGTTATGCATGGGGGCAGGGGGGATTCACAGAAGGAAAAGTCATTTTTTTCACTAGCTAAATGTCTGAGTGACATTTTATAACTGCGGTATTCAAAAGAGTCCACTACTCAGTATTAAGAGAGCCTTTATAAAAATACCACAGTGGACATTTATCTACTTATAAGCAAAACTGTTCTCCATCCCCCTGAAAGAAGCATCAGGTCTATGCTATTTCCAGATGCCGTTCGCACACAACGGAACAGCATCCTGTTTTTTAACTTTGCCTGGGTGTGGCTCCAAGTACATTTCTGGCAACATGTCCTGCAATAGTAAGCATCCAGATTTGTTCCTGCTACTCAGGAAAAACAGACCGGTCTTTGGCTCATCTGCTTCTTTTAATGTACCATATAGGCTAGTTCTCCACCAGTCTACAAGCAAAATGCTTCCCTGCAGACAGAACCCTTTGCCTGAGGGTCTCCAATGTGCATCACTGCAGTGGTACTCAAACAATGAGCATTGCCAAATCAAAATGTCAACAAATAAGGGTCCATTTGAAGCTGCGCTGTCCGAGATAAAGGCAGCCATTATACAATATGGAAATGAGAGGCACCCCTAATATCTGAGAAGACTGGTGCTCTGAAAATAAAGGGATAACTTTTGAAAATAAGGATAAATGGGACTACCTATTTATTATGGATGGCACAGCATGATAATACTGTTATCTCATTGGAGACAAATGTCCAGTTACTGGTCTTACAATTATGTCTATTTCTCCATTATATCTGAATCAGGAGTGGCCATATAAGTTCTGGACCAGGGTCCAGATGAATGAGGGCCAATAAACTTAATTCTAGCAAGATAAAGGCCCTGTGTTGCTAAGTCTAGGATATACATCCGTCGCCTGTTCTGGATGGGTTTTCACACCAGTTTCATAGTCTGAGGATATTCCTAGATGCAACTCTCATCTCTAGGCGGCCAAGGGCCTCAGGGGCTGAAATTGTCTTTCTACTAGTTTTTTGCTGCTTCACCAGCTACAACTTTCCCCGGGCCAAGATAACCTGCTCAAAACGGCCCTATAAGAACACTGAATAGGCTATGCGTTATGTAAATGTACATTCTCCTCCTAACTTAAAAATGACTTTTTGGTGGTTCTGAGGAGCACACAAGTTTCCAACAAACTGAAAGGGCACCATGGCTTCTGGCATTCCCTTTGGTTGAAGTCATAATTATGTAGCGCTCCTCGTGTGATTAGGTCCCTACAGAACTTTAGCCCATGGACAAGTGTATTTATATATAAATGAAACACACAATGCTAGATTTACAAAACAGACCTAAAAATATTAATCGGTATGCTACGTAAGAAAGCATTTGATACACCGAGTAATTTCTTACCTGGAAATGTGTTTGTCTTGAATCTGGTTCAGTAATCTGCAACAATGGAATCAGGGAGTCAGTAATCATCTTATGCGATACTTGAGGTTTACATATACACAAACCCTGTTCAAGCAACTTCTCCTTTAGCGTCACAGTTTAGACTTTCTTCTTTGTTCTTAAAATCCCAACTGCTAACAGTCAATGAAAAGGGACTGCAATTTCAACATTCATCGAACGTATGGAAGTATAACATATATGGGTAGAGAGAGAAAGGCACAGAAGAACCTTCTCACATTTAACACCAAATAGGGCAGGGGGATGGGATGCGGGTGGCGCTGTGGTTTAAACCATTGTGCCACTTGGACTTGCCGATCGGAAGGTCGGCGGTTCGAGGCCCCACGGCAGGGTGACCTCCCGTTGTTCGGTCCCAGCTCCTGCCCACCTAGCAGTTCAAAAGCACACAGTGCAAGCAGATAAATAGGTACCACTCCAGTGGGAAGGTAAACGGCGTTTCCATGTGCTGCTCTGGCTTCGCCAGAAGCGGCTTAGTCATGCTGGCCACATGACCCGGAAAAACTGTCTGTGGAAGCGGACAAACGCCGGCTCCCTTGGCCTGTAAAGCAAGATGAGCGCCGCAACCCCAGAGTCATTTGCGACTAGACTTAACTGTCAGGGGTCCTTTTACCTTTACCTAGGGCAGGGCAATATAGCGATATATAGTCCCAAACCAGTTTGAAGTCCATATCGTGATTTTGATCTGACAATATATTGTGAATCATGATGTGCCTGAGTGCTATGCAAAAAACTCACAACGTGGGAAAAAGCATGAAGCCAGCCAATGCCTCTACAGAGCTCCATCCTTATTTCAGACATTGTGATATATTGGTATATCACGATGTTTAGCTGGTGATATACTGAGATGTTGATATTGCCCAGCCCAAATACAATGTTGGCTTAGAGAGAGGCCAAGGCACAGAACACCAAACCTCAATCTCATATCACAATATCTCACCTATATTCCTAGCCACTTGAAACAAGCAAACAAACAAAACCAATTACATTAACAATGTAAAGAGCACCAGAATCAATGCAACTTACTCACAGGTAACAATGTTTAGTGACCCGCAGTCACTATGCCCCTTAGTACCTACTTCCCCGACATTATGTAGGTTTTAGTATTATCTCTATCTAACCAAGTACATCTTTGGGACTCCCGTCAATTAAATTAGAGCTGCACATTTAAAGCAGCAATTACAGCCTACCAACAGTAGGCATGTCCCATTTAATCAGAAACCAAAGTACAGCGATACTTTTAAAGTGACACTTCATTTCAACTTGTCTTAGTCATCCTCTTATGGCATCCATCTGCAGACACCTGTGTTATTTTGCTCTAAAAACCAGAACACAATTGTTACATGATTTGCCATGTAACCTGCCTTCTGTTTGAGTGACCTCAGAGACATCAAAAATTTTATATGGAGTAAATATATTGTGAACATAACTCTGAGTGACCAGCATTTTTTAAGGCTGCTTCTCATCTGCGTGTAAGTGGGTGTGAAAAGCAATCATAAAAAGCCATTTCCACAACTTTTCCGAAGGTCGGGCCAAACCATTCAGCCTATAATTCAGATACTCTGAATGTCAGATGCCTCACAGACAAGCAGATTCAGACACTACTCAGCCTTCCCTTGGGAGCAGAATAAACTCAGTGCTGCAGTTAGGGTGGTACGATGAATGTTGCGATTATATTATTTATTTAGTTTCAGGACATTTCAGCCTCTTCTTTCAGCCCCCGAGGCAGTTCCCATATTTAAAACACACACACAAAAACCAACAAAAATAAATGAGGGTGGAATTCAATGTATCAATGAAGGCTCCAGGTCTTAACTGAGCAAAGCATCCTTGAACTCAGTGGGAATTACATGCCTAGGACTGCAGTGCATATCATTAAGATAGCAGTTTGGGTGAGGCATAAAATAACCATGTCAGCTTCAAAATACACGGTCAAAACAGGAGGTTGAAACGGATGCACTGTGTGATCCTATGCATGCGTACTCAAAAAAGAAGCGCCACTGAAGTCAACGAGCCCACCTCCAGCTAAGCGAGTACAGGATTTTAACCTAACAGCACAGTGGAATAAACAAAGTCTTCGCCGCCTCTCCTAAAACTGAAGAGAGAGGGAGCCAACCAAACCTCTTTCAGGAAAGTTTTCCACATTCTGGGTGCCACTACAGAGAAGGCACTCAATGCTCCCCGCTTTCCCTTGCAGAACGTTAACGGCGCACTAACCTCAGACTTACAATTTGATTTGATTTGACTGATGGTATCGCTATGCTGCTTTCAGAGCTGGGAGATATGTTGATAAATTGCTTAAATGGCATTCAGATCACGATACTGTTTCAGACCACTTGAGTGGGCAATACATTGCGCCAGGTCAAATTGCCTGCAGATGGAGTCTGAGAAGGTTCTGGGTGCGCACCTTTCAGGTTCCGCCTGCCTGCCTTTGAGGAAGCCTCCCACCCCTCCAGCTCACATGAGCCAGAGCGGTATGGGGGCTCATTCAGCTGAGGGGCAGGAGGCTTCTCGCCCCCCCCAGCTGAAGAGTACAACAAAAACCCCAATGCCCCTCAGGCTCGCACGTGAACCGGAGAGGTATCAGGGCTTGCTCACTATAGGGCTGGGCGATGTATCTCGGCTGCTTCTTCCTCCTCTACGGCGAAGGAAGCGGCCAGGATACATTTCAGACATCGTGATATATCAGCATTTCAAGGTATTTAGCTACTGATATATATCACGATGCAGAAAGCCAGATATCACCCAGCCCTTAGCTGCTTTTCATTCAAATGACTCCCAAAGCGGCTTACAAGCAATAAATAACAAATACTTAACAGAACATCACAATTGCAGCACAAATCATATGAAATAATCAACAAATAATCATCAATAAAACAATTACTTTATATAAAACACCATTTAAGAGACGCAGACTGATCTTCCTACAACAGGGATGACGAATCTCCAGCCCACAGGTGCAATTAGCTTCACCAGATCTGCCCCAAGCCACGCCCATCTGCCTTACACCTGGCGTCATCTAGGATGTCAGGTGTGGGGCAGGTAAGGGTGGGGCTTGGATGAAAGGGGCTTTTCAGATGCTGATGAGCGGCTGCCCCTTGAGCAGAACTTCCAGAACTGCCAGCTATCAGCTGACAGAGGTGGAAAAGCACTGTCCCTAGGGCTTCCCCAGCGCGGAGAATCGGTCAATCGCCAGCGCTCGCAAAGCACTGCACACACTTTTCAGCCTATACAGTTTGACTGCAAACCAAGCAGGTGAAAGAAAACCTGACATCACTGCAACATCAGATGATTGACAGCACTGGCCCACAGGAGGGGGGTGGAGATACGGATTGGGCCCACCAGCCAGATCCCTTTCCCCACTCCGGTTTTGCAAGGCGTCCAATGAAAGGACAGTTCCAATTGTGCGCACGATGAACCATGCACATGGTATGCTATTTTGCAATTATCAAAGGATTCCACGTCCCCTCAGGTTACCAAAAGTCATCAGCCTCTGCTGTGGCAACGTCTTCCCAAGGCATGTGGCAAGTGATGCCCTTAGTAAGCCGCTGACTACGATGCAAATTTTAAGGATGACTTCACTGTACGTTATTTTTTTTCTCCCACTTCTCAAAAATGAAGCAGTTTCCCCCTCCTGCCAGAAAGAGGAAGGGTGAATTTCTTTATGACTGCTACCCCAGTTTGAGCCTGCCCATCAGCATTCCCTATGAAGCGAGTCGCAATGGAATCTGTGAAAGTAGCTGGAAGCAAAGCATGAGAAATAGAGAACTGGGCTGAGGAGGGGAGCAAGAAATCAAAGTTTTCACGTCTTTGTGCACTTTCAAAGTTCCCAGAGCAGGGATTCCAAAATAGTGATGACTAACTATTCCAGTTAAAACAAGTGGTGGAGGTCAAAAGCTTTCTAGGTACTGAAGTAAGCAACCAACAAAAATAGATAGATGATGATAGATTAGACAGATGATAGATAGATATAGACAGACAGACAGATGACAGATGTGATCTTACCTCTTCAGGAATTCTCCAAAGTCTCCTAGAGATCTAAGCGAAGAGCGAAACCTGCCAATTTTAAATCCAGAACATTGTTATTAAATAATTGCACTGTAAGTGGAATGCTGCTCAAATAACCTGTCATGTACTACTACTGCTACTTATAATAATAATAATAATTTATTATTTATACCCCACCCATCTGGCTGAGTTTCCCCAGCCACTCTGGGCGGCACCCTATCAAGTGTTAAAAACAATACAGCATTAAATATTAAAAACTTCCCTAAACAGGGCTGCCTTCAGATGTCTTTTAAAGATAAGATAGCTGCTTATTTCCTTCACATCTGATGGGAGAGCGTTCCACAGGGCAGGCGCCACTACCAAGAAGGCCCTCTGTCTGGTTCCCTGTAACCTCACTTCTCGCAATGAGGGAACTGCCAGAAGGCCCTCGGAGCTGGACCTCAGTGTCCGGGCTGAACGATGGGGGTGGAGACCCTCCTTCAGGTATACTGGGCTGAGGCCATTTAGGGCTTTAAAGGTCAGCACCAACACTTTGAATTGTGCTCAGAAACGTTTGTTTGACGTTTCTGTTTTTCCATGCAAAGGTGGACTAACGAAGAGGCCAGAACGCCCCATGGGGGTCCCTCTCATGCAAACTGTCTGCTGTGTCTCTTTTCATCATGAACCGTGGTACACATTTGCACCTGCACCAAGATTAATGCTCTTCGTAGTTAGCTTTAAACCGCAGTTTGAAGACAAGGCTGCAAGGCAGTTTACAATCCTTGGTTCAAGTTACAGACAGCCCACCCTCTTTTCCTCAGCTGAGGAGAAATGGCTGCCCCCTCTCTGCTCCTCAAATGATTGATATGTATCCTGATCAGGGAACCTCAGCACGGCTGGGCCCAGCCACTAGACAGGGTGAAGCCACTGCCTTGGGCAGCCCCACTTCCCCCTTAGAGGGGTACCAGTGCTTCAGCTGCGACCGCAAATGGGTTGTCACCTTTCATATCCACATAGCTGAATTGAAACAACCAGGTTCCTCCTTTGTCCTGCTTGGTTACATTCTTGATCAGCCTTTCTCAAGCTTGGGTCCCAATATGTTGTTGAACTACAACTCCCATCATCCCTAGCTAGCAAGGCCAGAGCTCAGGGATGATGGGAGTTGTTGTCCAACAACATCTGGGGACCCAAGGTTGAGAAACACTGTTCTTGAGAGATGGTGCACCCCCTCCATCAATGCCACACCTATAAGAGCCATGGGTGAACCAAAGCATGCCCAATAGGTTCAGAAACGGGATATTTTTGAATACAGTCTCTTTTGCAAAACAGCCTAGCTTAAAACCCAAATTGAACACAGCCACGTTGAAGTCCAAAGCCTCTGAAAACTGAATCTGTTCAAAAACATGAAGTAAAAGGTTTCTCCTCAGAAGGACGCTTTCTCGTGAGGAAAGTTATCTGACCTTTGGGGTCAGCCATGGCATGAAGCACGTACACCATGGGCACACAGGTATTTCCATTGCAGCAGGAAAAACTTGATGTATGTATTGTATTAAAGTAGAAGTGATAAAGCCAGATTAAACTGGGGTGGGGAGATCTGGGATGGCATTTTGAAGAGGACAACATCGTGGAGAAGCTGTGAAAAAGCTGCAGGCCTGAGCAGCATGGATTCTACAATAAACTCCCATGTGGAAGCTCCCAAAGATCACTCACAGAAGCCACCTAGATAGTCTTGGACTCACGTTTTCATCGTCTACATACAGCCTGCTGAATATGTATTACTTCCAGGCCAAGAAGACAGACCTTTGTTTTCCATCTCATGGAGGAATACCATGTCCCCCTGCCGCTCTTGCTTTTGAAAGATTCTGTCCATACAGCCTTCAACTACATTTAGAGTTTTGTTTACCATCCTCATAACTGATGTGTGGGATGCAGGTGGCGCTGTGGGTTAAACCACAGAGCCTAGGACTTGCCGATCAGAAGGTCGGCGGTTCCAATCCCCACGACGGGGTGAGCTCCTGTTGCTCGGTCCCTGCTCCTGCCCACCTAGCAGTTTGAAAGCACGTCAAAGGGCAAGTAGATAAATAGGTACCGCTCTGGCGGGAAGGTAAACGGCGTTTCCATGCACTGCTCTGGTTTGCCAGAAGCGGCTTAGTCATGCTGGCCACATGACCCGGAAGCTGTACGCCGGCTCCCTCGGCCAATAAAGCGAGATGAGCGCCGCAACCCCAGAGTCAGTCACGACTGGACCTAATGGTCAGGGGTCCCTTTACCTTTACCTTTTTACCCAAACATGTACTTTAGTCATGCCCAGCAATTTATTTATTTTTTTTTAAAAACTTTTTTCAACGAATAGCAGGTCCCCATGCCACATTACAAATTGCTTTTGAAATTCCCTAGGATTTCAAAAGTGTTTGGCAGTGTAATAAGAGAGAGAGAGAGAGGCTTGGGGCTGAGAAATGCACAGCCCCTCTCAGATGCATAGCTTTTGTTTCCTAATCAATATATTCCAGTAAAGTAAAGAGAATTATATACGTTACAGTTTAGGAGCCATCTAACAAAATTGTTTTAGCCATAGATAAAGCACACTTCTTTTTTTTAAGGAAGCTAGTTCAGTACCTATAACTCAACTGCCCAACTGTATGTTTTGGGAGAGAAGCTTATCACACATGCCAAGTTTGAGCAATCGCACTTTACAGTCAATTTAACTTAAGGCAATACACAGCTGCTTGCTTTGGAAGTTTCCTGCTGAGGAAGAAATAATGAAGGCCATATGATCAGTCTTCCAGCTTGCATTAAAAATTAAGTCATGGGAGTGGGAAGAACTGCGTAACAGCATGGTTAAAAACAACATTGACCACAGACCAGCAAGATAAAAGGCTCCAGTGACTTTTCTTTTTTAAAAAAATCCGGTCCTCCGCTATTCTACTCTTTAATTGTTATGATGACATGCTGAACGGTGGAAGGCAGAACATAATTGTCCTGCAAATGGGTCTTCCAAACGTACTGACCACTGCTCACGTCTCATGAGGAAATTGCAACACTGGCTGCACAGAGGAGAAGCATCCGGGAACCTTTAGCTGACACTGGAGGCCCACGTAGTCTAGCAATTACAGTGTTGGGACTTGGGTGATTTGCAAAATGTTATGCAAAATCACCCTGTAGAACTCTGAGCCGTGCTTCTTCAGACTGCAGGTGAGTAGGCACTTTTCGTTCCTGAAGGCAATCCACAGAAAATACAGTGGTACCTCGGGTTAAGTACTTAATTTGTTCCGGAGGTCCGTTCTTAACCTGAAACTGTTCTTAACCTGAAGCACCACTTTAGCTAATGAGGCCTCCCGCTACTGCCACGCCGCCAGAGCACGATTTCTGTTCTCATCCTGAAGCAAAGTTCTTAACCCGAGGTATTATTTCTGGGTTAGCAGAGTCTGTAACCTGAAGCATATGTAACCTGAAGCGTATGTAACCCCAGGTACCACTGTACTCATAGACTGCATACCATAGATTGAAAGCACTTGGCTTTCCCCAAAGAATTCTGGAAACTGCACTTTGTTAAGGGTGCTGGGAATCACAGCTCTGTGGGGAGTAAATCACAGTTCCCAAGCTTCTTGGGTGCTGTGTATGAAGCCCCTAAGTGCAGGAAACCAGAACATCAGGGGAATAGAGCTGCAATAACCTATTTTCCTTGATGTCCTGGTTTTCTACATGCAGGATTTCTAAATTATTACTATTAACTAACTCCAATCAGAAGTGATACTGCCCGACAACTCTGCAGTCTCATTCTATCCTCTCATTTTAGGCAACCTAAAATTAATGGTGAAGGATGAAGGGAGATCTACAGACCTAGATCATAGAATAGTAGAGTTGGAAGGGACCCTGATGATCATCTAGTCCAACCCCCTGCAACGCAGGAACATGCAGCTGTCCCATAAGGGGATCGAACCTGCAACCTTGGCATTATCAGCACCTCTCTCTAAGCAACTGAGCTACCCAGCTGACAACGAATAAATTATACAAATAATAAATACATACACACACACAGCAGTCTGTTGTTTTTGTATGGAAGTGAGAGCTGGACCATAAAGATGGCTGAACACCGAAGAATTGATGCTTTTGAATTATGGTGCTGGAGGAGCCTCTTGAGAGTCCCATGGACTGCAAGAAGATCAAACCTATCCATTCTTAAGGAAATCAGCCCTGAGTGCTCACTGGAAGGACAGATCCTGAAGCTGAGGCTCCAATACTTTGGCCACCTCATGAGAAGAGAAGACTCCCTGGAAAAGACCCTGATGTTGGGAAAGATTAAGGGCACAAGGAGTAGGGGATGACAAAGGACGAGATGGTGGGACAGTGTTCTCGAAGTTACCAACACGAGTTTGATCAAACTGTGGGAGGCAGTGGAAGACAGGAGTGCCTGGTGTGCTCTGGTCCATGGGGTCACGAAGAGTCGGACACGACTAGACGACTAAACAACAACAAACACACAGCAGCAGATGGCATGGTAGGCTGCCACCACTCACCTGACCTCCGGCCTGTTGCATAGTTGCTGCTTACTGGGAGGGAGAGGGGCAAATGCATCAGCGGAACCAATCTGGCGTTTCTGTCAATGTGTTTGACATCAACCTCGCCAAGCCGTCCACCACTACATTATAGGCTGGCGATCCCTAGCAATGTTTCAAAGTAGAAGACCTGGAAAAATGACTGACACCTCCTTGGGAGTTTCTGCGTCATCATGAAATTTAAAAAATGAAGTGAAATGTCTTGAAGCGAAGGTCTCAGATGAAATTATCTTCCTGAATTTCTGCCAATAGTATAGAATCACAGAATTGTGGCGTTGGAAGGAACCATGAGAGTAATCTAGCAATGCAGGACTCTTTTTGCCCAACATGTGGCTCCAACCCACAACCCAGAGATTAAAGAGTCTCATGCTCTACCGACTCCACTATCACAGTAATTCACTAGTGGTCCAAAACAAGCTCAGCAGTCATTCCAATCATAATTCCAGGAGGAACGTCTCCCAAGTAAAAAAGAAAAGAAAAGGTTTGACTTTGCCTCGTCCCCCTGCACCCTAAACTACTCCCTAAATCTGAACACCTCCTAGGCAGCATTTGAAACTCCCCTTGTTCTAGGCGCATCTTGCAACAGGGAATTTCATAATTAGCACAAGCAGTTTCTGAGCTCACCTAAGATTTCAGATTAAAACTGCAAGGTGGAAGGAAAGGAGGACCTTTTTCTGCCTCCCCACTTCCAGCTACTCTCCGAAGACTGGTGAAGAGACCCTCTTAAGAATACAGTATTAGGGGGCTGGGCAGGGGAAGGACTACAGCATGTGAAAAAGGAACATAAGGTTTTAGCTGTAGTTCATTCATTTTCAGCTTTGTATTCTTGTCACAAAAAAACTCACCAAGACATTCTGTTGTTGCGCCCATAACCTCGGTTTAAGGTGCTGTTTAGCACCTAGCTTTCATATCTCTGTTTCTAACCCTGCTCCTAGGCTATAGCTCAGTGGTAGAGATTCTGCGTGGCATACAGAAAGCCTCAGTTCAATCCTCGCCATCTACACAGAGAGGGTGGTTTAAAACCCAGAGATGTCTGTCTAAAACCAATGGCAGCTAGATGGACCAATGGTCTGATTCGGCATAGAACACGGTCTAATTTTTGCATGCAGCAGATATTTGCCTGGACTCAGGATAAGTAACAAAACCTGCTTGCAAATCAGCTGACTAGACCTACCAAATCGGGCCAGCTTGCCCCTGTGACTTAAATACACATGCAAGCAGGCTAAATAAAGGGTCCCACCCTCACCCACCAGTGGTCTTAAATAATTCCAGAAACACGAAATTATTTCATTATGCTTCCTCATCAAGATGCCTTTCCCAGAACTGAAGGTTACTCAGGACTGTTGGTTATTATGGCAATTCAGTGGAGCCCTCTGCCACAGTACCAATAAAATATTACATCAAAACAGTCAGAGCAAAACCATCGCTTATGGTAGAAACAGAAAGGCCGTGTGAGGAAGGCTAACAAAGCTGGAGAAAACATCTCCGAGTGACAACATACCCTCAGAGACTAGCACAAAAACCAAGAGCAACAGCTCCTAAACGCCAGCATCAATGCCTTCTGAAATAAGACAGGGTTTTGATCTTGTGACTTTTTTTTCTTCTTCCACGCACTCTGCAAGTCACATGGTGCTGCTTTTCTCCTTTTATGGGCAAAAAAAGCAGAAGAAAGCCAGTGCAGTTCAGTGGGGGGGGGGGTTGGAGGCTCACTTCACTTTTAGCCGCATGAATTAGAAACACGGCAAGTTGTAATGCAAGTCACCCTTTCGCACCTCGGTGTGAAAACACACACACACACACACACACACACACACACACATATCCTGAAACGAAAAGCAAACTCCTTTGCTTCTCTTCTCAAATGTGAGCAAGCTACAAATCGATATTCATCATCTGAAGCGTAAAAGAGGTTTTCTTTAAAAACAAAACAACCCACAAGTGACACATTCGGTGCTGATATATGCATGTGCCTTCTTTTAAATTCATTGTCGAGCAAATGTGATGATCACTGCTTATATCACTGGTCTCGTTTCCCCCCACCCTGCCGACTGTCACAGAGCAGCAACAAAAAAACTCATGCTTGCATAATATGACATTTCCATCGGTTTTCTACATATGTCCTAAGTTTCAGCATCTGCCTCCTACTACTGGTTGGTTAAATTTTGTTTTCCTGCTTTTTTAAAAAAGAAAAAGGAGCTCAGCGCAACTGGATAATAGCTGGACAGCTTGCTAAAAAGCTACCATTCTTCCAAGCTGTCCAAGGATATGTATTTTAGACTGGCTGGGATTTTATTTTATTTTTAAAAAAGATTTGTGTACTGCTGTATCAAAAAGGTATCTATTGTGGTGGGTTTACAACAACATTAAAAAAAACCAAAAACAAACAATAAAATATTAAAAACAAGTGAAACGCAAAAAAGAAATTAAAAACAAAAATGATGTAAGAATGACCTCGGTAAATTTGTGATGTATAATCCACACCATCTTATTATGATCCTCAGCTTTTATTACATATACAGTCAAACCTCAGTGGTTGAACGTAATCTGTTCCAGAAGCCCATTCGTCTTCCGAAATTTCGGCAACCGAGGCGCAGCTTCCGATTGGCTGCAAGAACTTCCTGCACTCAAGCAGAAGCCACGTCAGATGTTTGGCTTCTGAAAAACGTTCGGAAACCGGAACATTTACTTCCAGGTTTTCAGCGTTCAGGAGCTGAAATGTTCCAAAACAGAGCCATTCGGGAAGCAAGGTTTGGCTTGCAGAAAAATTAATCTCAATAAAAGATAGCAAAAATCCCTATGCAGCCCATAGTACAAGACAATTTACTCAAAAGGAAGTTTCTTACTGATTTGGTATTTTTTAAAAAACACAAACATCACACCCACATAAGTAGCTTGATCCCATTCCTTCTGGTCTCCTAGTTAACCCAAGGAGGACTTTTAATTTATTTTTAAATGTGCATGGTGCGTGACAGAATTGAAAGTATTATGTTCATTGGATGGCAAGACGGCGACTTTGCAGGTTGCTGCATTTGCCTGGTGACTGAATACTGTGATGTTGGATTTGATCACGCAAGGTTCAGTGGCACCAAAGGACCATTCATTTTGGAGCAGACAGCAACAATTTATTTCTAAAGAGTTTTCTTTACCCACTTCAAATGTCGCTGGATTTGGCCATCACTTCTCTCCATTGAGTCATACATTACGGACTCCACTACATTAGGAATAAAACAGCAATTTGAAAGCACTATCCACATGCCACACCAGATGGCGTCAGAGAGCAGCAAATTTTTATACGCGATTTTCCGTAGGGATTTTTTCTTTCATTATAACCATCTAATTTCTGACTTATTTATAGCGTTTTCCCCCTGTGTGTAGATCCACCCTGTCTCAAACACTTGCATGCTTGCAGACCCCCTAGAGTAAGATGGAGGCAGCACTTCAAGACTGTCTTGAGGACAAAAGGTGCTGGATGAAGGACAAAGAAGAACTGCTCCATGCAATACAGTGGTGCCCCGCAAGACGGAAAACCCGCTAGACGAAAGGGTTTTCCGTTTTTGAGTTGCTTCGCAGGACGAATTTCCCTATGGGCTTGCTTCGCAAGACGAAAATGTCTTGCAAGTCTTGAGATTTTTTTCCCGCTTTTCGCCCCCTTTATCTAATCTGCTAAGCCTTTAATAGCCTTTAATAGCCTTTTAGCAGCTAATCCGCTAAGCCTTTAAGCCTTTAATAGCCGCTAAACCGCTAATAGCGCTAATCCGTTAAGCCGCTAATAGGGTTGCTTCGCAAGACGAAAAAACCGCTAGACGAAGACTCTCGCGGAACGGATTAATTTCGTCTTGCGAGGCACCACTGTATATCAATTCCTGTCTGATATCCCTGGAAACCGTCCAATAGCACTTTTAAAAAGGGGTTTAAAAAATACATCGAATTTTCCATAAGGCTCGCCATCTAGTGTCAGATTGTATATTGCACTTAAAACACACTTTAAACATTTTATTTGCAACTGTATAGCTGAGACCCTTTACCCTAAAGGTAAAGGTAAAGGGACCCCTGACCTTAGGTCCAGTTTCGAACGACTCTGGGGTTGCAGCGCTCATCTCGCTTCATTGGCCGAGGGAACCGGCATACAGCTTCTGGGTCATGTGGCCAGCATGACTAAGCCGCTTCTGGCGAACCAGAGCAGCGCACGGAAATGCCGTTTACCTTCCTGCCGGAGTGGTACCTATTTATCTACTTGCACTCTGATGTGCTTTCAAACTGCTAGGTGGGCAGGAGCTGGAACCGAGCAACGGGAGCTCACCCCGTTGCAGGGATTCAAACTGCTGTCCTTCCGATTGGCAAGCCCTAGGCTCTGTGGTTTAGACCACAGCACCACCCGCGTCCCTTGAACATTTAATAGTATCTGCTATATGGACAAAACAGCATAGGAATGGAAAACTAAACAATCCCCCCCCCATAAAAAAATGGATGACAAAAAGCCACTTGAAGATGAAAGGGAGTCTTTAAACAAACCATTCAATGATTCTACGACTCCTGGAGTTTCCATAAAGGCTGTGACTTTGCCTTTCAAAGTCCACCTACACAAGTTTGTGCAGCACATTAGCTACCTGCGGTCCAAAACAAAAGAAACACCCTTTTTTGTTGTTGCAAAGCTCCCCTGCCTTCTTGCTTGAAAGTAATCCCTGCTCACCAAAGGTAAGAATCCTCTCCAAATCCTCTGGTATTAAGCAGTTCTCCGCGGCCACCTTTTCAGAGGGCCTGCCTCTAACTCTCCAAGCCTGTTCAGCAGCTGAATAGCTAAGTGGGGAATAATTTCAACTAATGATTCACTCAGTGTTTTTATTCGTGCAGTTGGTGTTCTGCAATGCTTCAGTCAAGGGCTGACTTACACAAAACTTCACGATTCTCCATGTCGGAAGGAGCATGCTCTTAACGCTTAAACTGGTGGCAAAAGAGACTTTTTGGTGCAAGCTTCAAAATCCGCATCGTGCAGGGGGACCCGAAAGGAGGAAAAGGACGAGGCAGGCTCTCTAAGCCAAGTGGAAAAATAGGACACAGTTTTGACGCTTATAGCTTTCTTACTAATTTGGCGTAAAATAAGTTGGGACGCTGCAACGCTGCCGCCGCCAGCCTGCCTAGAGGCAGGAGAGACTGATCCAGCTCATCCGCTGCGTAAAGCTGACAGGGGAACAGATGATATAAGCAGCTCAGGTACCTGTAGCCACCAGCCAAATATGTGGCTGGAAGCCAGTCCTCAAGTGGTGGCAAAAGATACAAGCTACACCTCCTGAAATAATTCATAGAAACATAGAATTGGAAGGGACCATGAGGGTCATCTTCCTGCAAAGCCGGAATATTTTGCCCAATGCAGGGCTTGAACCCACGACCCTGAAATTAAGAGGCTTGTGCTCTACCAACTGGGCTCTTTATCTCATTCCTCTTCTATACAGTGGTACCTCAGGTTAAGTACTTAATTCGTTCCGGAGGTCCGTTCTTAACCTTTCTTAACCTGAAACTGTTCTTAACCTGAAGCACCACTTTAGCTAATGGGGCCTCCTGCTGCCGCCGCGCTGCCCGAGTACAATTTCTGTTCTCATCCTGAAGCAAAGTTCTTAACCCGAGGTAATATTTCTGGGTTAGCGGAGTCTGTAACCTGAAGCGTCTGTATCCTGAAGTGTATGTAACCTGAGGCACCACTGTACAACTTTTAAAGGTATACACTGTCCTAAGTACCCATGTTAGATTAGCTTATAGTAGGGCTGCCATACATTTCAAAGATGGAATTGACGTTCAAGGCGGCGCTTTGTCTTGGATCTTAGACAAGTCAGCCGAACAATTTATTCTTTAAAAAAAGCTTAACAATTTTGGTGTCTTCCTATAAAAAGCTTAACAACTTTTGGGGTACAGTTGTACCTTGGATCTCAAACACCTTGGCTCCCGAACAAATCGGCACCCGAATGATCGAAGTGAGTGTTCCAGTTTTCGAATGATTTTTGGAAGCCAAACTTCCAGTGCCTTGGTTTTCGAATGGTTTTGTGAGTCGAATGGACTCCCAGAACACATTCTGTTCGAGAACAAAGGTACAAATGTATCCTGGTTTTTACCTTGTGAAATACGGCAACCTTAGCTTATGGCATCCAAACCCAGCATTCTTTTAAGGGACTCTTCTATAGGGTTTCTAAAGCATCAGTTCATAATGTGAGTCCTTTAAAAGAGGCCCTTGAAAAAACTCACCCTGTACATAAAGGTAAAGGGACCCCTGACCATTAGGTCCAGTCGTGGCTGACTCTGGGGTTGCAGCGCTCATCTTGCTTTATTGGCCGAGGGAGCCAGAGTACAGCTTCTGGGTCATGTGGCCAGCATGACTAAGCCGCTTCTGGCGAACCAGAGCAGCACACGGAAATGCCGTTTACCTTCCCGCCGGAGCGGTACCTATTTTTCTACTTGCACTTTGACGTGCTTTCGAACTGCTAGGCTGGCAGGACACCCTGTGCATACATACATACATACACACACATAATTTTATTAGTATGCTGCCTTTCCACAGTTCAAACTATGCTCAAGGCAGCTTGCAACATGGAAAAATACAGTACATAACTGCAGCATAACAAAAGCAGTCGTGAGCAATAAATATTTTTTTAAAATGCACAACCAAACTGAACAATTTCCACATAAAGCAGAACAAGATCTATAGTAAAGATACAAAAAAAAAGAAAAACCCAACAGCAGCAGCAGCAACCACCCCACAACAACACCCCAGTCCAAAAGTCTGTTCAGCAGCCTCAGCTTTTGCAGCTGGAGTCAGTCAGGGCTCCCAGGCAAGGTGGAAAAAGACCTGCAAGGCAGGGAGCAGGTCTTCCAGGACTCACAGCCTCTTCCACGAACCCCTACAACAACCCTGTGAGGTAGGCTGAGAGATATTGACTGGCCCAAGGTCACCCAGTGAGCTTCATGGCTGAATGAGCTTCAAACTCTGGCCTCCCAGGAGTTTTAGTCCAGCACTGTAGTCATGACGCCATGCCAGCTTATGAACATTATGGTATCATGAAGAATCCAGCAGCATGCAGTGAAATTCTTCATAGGGAAACAGTTCGGGTCACAGTCATCAGATTGTGAGGGGGGCAACATCGCACCAGTGATATCGCGATGTCCTGATGTTGTGCGCATGAGCATCGTGCTTCCCTCCCTAAGCCAAGCAGAAGCTTCCCAGGCTTAGGGAAGGAGGCACCGGGCTCCTAATTTATTGGGAACATTTAGGGGACTAGCCTAGTCCACTGGCAGCACACGGCTGAGAAAGTAAAACGGCATAATAACTTGAACCCCCTTTAAGAAAAGCCGCTTTGCTATGAAGAAGGCAAGAACTCTAAGCCTGGTTGGGCCAATCTGAAGGCTTGATAAAACTTCATTCTAGCTCCATTAACTGATAACCAAAGAACTCAGCAAAGAAAGAGAAGCACTCTTACTAAACCGGAAGTTAAGAGTGAGTGGGTAGTTAGGTTAGCCAAAACACATCAGGGACGAACAGATAAGTCTATTTCTGGTTTGTGGCAGATCCAAGCATGTTCATTCACAAGTTTGCTCCGTTCTGCTTCTATTCACTTTGCTTTTAAAAAAAGAAGAAGAAAAAGTGCATTATTTTGGACCGGTCTTTTTTCACCGAAATATGAAATTTACTTCAAGACGCACACATTTGTAGACATTTTTACCCTAAAAAGGCACTTTTAATATGCATTTGGGCACGTTTATTAAGCCAAGAACAGTAAATGTGCAGAACTGCAAAAACTGAAGGATCATGATGTTTTGATCCGCTTATTCGTTCAGGTAGGGTGAATCAGGTTGGTTTGCACAGACTCAATGAAACCCATAAGAATCCCTAAAACATATACAGTCTGTCTGCCTAGATCGGACCCTTTTGTCATTTTAACTGGAGGCATGGACTGATGGGGGACAGTATCCAATCTGGGTCACCCTGTTAGTCCCACTCCCACCCCCGCAGAGCTAAAATGGCGCTGCTGGCTCAGCTGCCAATAAGCCCACAGCCAAGATGCCATGGTCTGCACTGTAATTTTCATGTCACTCACTGCACCCACAATTTCCACCTGTTGCAAGAATGACAGCACAAAACAGCAGTCTGGTAAGTGGGCTGCTAACCATGCTTCTTGCAGCCAAGCTGACACTCATGATACAATTCAGATGTTACGAAACCCAGGACCAAAGGAACATGCTCGGAGGCCTCCTGCTGCCGTCGCGCCACCGGAGCACGATTTCTGTTCTCATCCTGAAGCAAAGTTCTTCACCCAAGGTACTATTTCTGGGTTAGCGGAGTCTGTAACCTGAAGCGTATGTAACCCAAGGTACCACCGTACTTTTGGGGTGGGGCAACAGGGGGCTGGTGGGGTTGGGGCCCCTGAATGGAGTAACTGTGCCCCCGAAGGACTAGGTGCACAGCCAGGAAGTCATTTGGGACTCACAGCTGTCCATGGAGGCGCAGGTCAATTCTGTGTCCAGGGCAGCTGTTTACCAGCTCCATCTGGTATGCCAGCTGAGCAGTGTTCGAAACTCCCATTGTTCCAGGCGCATTTTGCAATAGGGGATTTCCTTAGAGTGAACTCTGAGCCCAGTACTGCACCTAAGATTTCAGATTAAAACTTCAGAGTGGAAAGAGGACCTTTTTCTGTCTCCCCACTTCCAGCTACTCTCCGAAAACTGGAGAAGAGGCCCTCTTAAGAATATTAGGGGGGAGGGCAGGGGAAGGACTAGACCCTGTGAAAAATGAACATAATATTTTAGTTGCAGTTCATTCATTTTCAGCTTTGTTATTAAAAAAGTGTGCCTAGACATTATGTTTATGCGTCCATAACCTAGGTTTAAGGTGCCATTTAGCTCCTAGCTTCCATATTTCTTTTCAATTTACCTTCCTGGTTTTCAAATGACTGAAGATGTTGGCAGATTCCCCCCCCCCGACAACCGTTGTTGAGACATTTCATTCCGAATCTGCTAGACAGAACTACGCAGAGGATGACGACAGGTGGGGGTCCTGCTCTCCCAGTGTAAATCCTGGCTACATCCATGCACACCCACCATCAATTTGGAGACCACAACCACTTCTCCCTGAGCAAATTCAGCCCTCAAGGAGCAAAAGGTTCTGCACCATGAATTCACTCCAAAAAGATGTGGTTTTCTTCTCATCTTCCCCCCATCCCCCAACTCTCTGGTCCTCAACCATCCCCAAGTAAGATCCATCCCTTTGAAAAAGCAATCCATTTCTTTAAAAGGTAACATGTAAAAATGCACATGTCTTAAAATATACAATGCTAAAAAAAAGCCCCAGCATGGTTGCCCTTAAAGAGGGGAAGAAAGAAGGGAAACAGTTCACTCTGCAGCAAGGAGGCAGGGGTCACAGGAGTCTTGCCATTTTCTCACCTCCTTATTTTAAAATGCTTCGTTCCCAGAGGCAGAAGTGCTACTGGATCGTCTTGCTCACAATGCATCACAGGCCACAATTGTTTAAAAGTCTATTTACTACAGCGATAATGCCAGCTTAAATGTCTACACATGCTAACATGCTGAGCAAGATGAAAGGGGATGGGAACATTTAAGCCCACATTATTACTTGAGTCACCGGCTAATTTAAATGATGACCCATCCTTTTAAGCTCAAGGCAGCTTCACAACCTAATGACAACATGCTTGGGATGCTGCAAGATGACCAGTCCCCTCTCTGGTCCTCAGCGCTGATTCACCCAGGGATGTGCTACCCTCCTCATCTCATATTTGGATGACTTAACCACTGAATACATTTACTATCTTGAGCCAAACGCAGCTGCTGCAAGGTCTGCCTACAGTGTTCAAGATGGGAAGCTTTATTCACAGTTGCGAGTCATCTTTCTCGCGACCCTGCAGTCATCTTCTCGTGAACACGAAGAACTATGGGTGGATTGACAGAACGCATGTTCATGACTAGATCCCTGCAGCATCCCAAGAGATGACTTGCATGTGTGAATGAACTCTCATTTGACAGATAATGCTTACAAGGGACATTTTGGCCCATAACTTTCTCTGTAGAAGGGCTAGAGAATGTGTGTGTGTAATGAAAGCTCAGCGCACCTTCCCAGGGGCACCACTGGAAGCTGTAATGGGAGAAGCAGAGCCCATGGGCACCAGGTTGGTGAGCCCAGCTGTATCTGATAGCATATGTTGGATTAAAATAGCATTCAATTAACAAAAAAACCTTTTGCTTTAACATGTTGTATTAAGGGATTTCCAGTTCACACAGGCTCCAAAATGCTGGGAAGTTAACCTAAGGGCAACTCCTTTAACAGATGCATTATTTAGGTGTTATTGATACGGTATGGTGTCTAACCCTGTGTTTAGTTCCAGCTTCACCAAAATCGTGGAGCTGCATGGCTGTTGCAGTGGACACAAGTCTTAGATTTTCTGTTAAGTGGAATAAACACATGGAGTCTATGCAACTGAAGCTACCATTCAATATTATCAAAGTGGCAACCAATATCATCCTCATAGAATGATGGGTGGCTCAACAAATCAGGATTCAGTTCTTGAACACAGCTTCCTGTGGCATGCCAACCCGGCGGTGGGGAATTAAACCCTTGTCAAGTTAGCTATTAATCCATATTAAACTTTTGGCTATTAAACTTTTGGTTGTGGATATTACTCAGCAAAGAGTTCCAAAAAAACAACAACACCCCAGGTCTCCTGGAAGTTGTCTTTTTATGTTTAGGAAGCAGAATATTTGCTGCCTGCTAACTGCAGGAAGTCTTGTATCCAGTTTTCTGAGCTTGGTATGGTCCATGCTTTCCAATGCTGTTGTTTGTTTGTTTGTAGAATTTGTAAGCCACTTGATAAAATGAAACTTTCCCAATGGATAAAACGTTGCAGATTTGTCAGTTTCGCTGCTAGCATGGCTCAATGGAACCATCCTGTAACAGTCTATGTATGTCCTAGGATGCTCAAACGCCCCCCCCCCAAAAGAAAATACTTCATTTTTCACCAACCACGTTTAGTTATTTTCAAGGGTTAGGGGATAATGCCTCTGCTCTTCCCAAATCAGAAATTCTCACCACTGTTTAATCCAGGAGTGAGCAACAGGCACACTGGGCTCTGCATGGAGAGCTCTGGGTGATTTGTGGTAGACCAAGGGTTTGACACCCAACTGTTTAGCAACAGCAAAATGCCTTTTTGCACCTAAATTGGGCTGCTGCAAAGAAGAAGGCTAACCAGAAGAGGACTTTTGTGCAAAGGCCCTGTGGGCTCAATCCAGTTCTGGATCTGAAAACAAATTCCTAGGTTCTGAATGTGCCTCAAGGCACCCCGTTCTTTAATTCTAATTGGATGTCTTTTGCACTTGGCTCTGAACAATAGATTTGGGGGTTTTAGTGAAAAATATAGCAGATACGTCAAGAAGGAAGTCTGCCTAACATATTCAACATCCTTTCCATTCCACATAATGAAGACTTTGCTACTTAGGACTAAGCCATCATACTCCTATAAGGCTTGATGAGAGGCCAGTTCTGCGGTCCGACCCCACCGGCTGCTGCTGCTAGCAGATTGCCATCTCTTTCATGTCTGCATGAATAGGTGCACAAACTTGCTTCTAAGGAGAAATATTCTTGCAAAGACATTGCCGGTCTGAACCGATGTTCACTGGAAAGCACTCAACAAGACATTAAAAGCTGCTGAACTATAACCGCAGGTACTCTTCAGAAAGTACAAAGGGAGCTTTAGCAATCGAGGAATTCTGAACTAATTAAAACATGGTTTCGATATGCTGAAGCAAGGATGAATCCCACCACAATCTATCTCTCAGCATACTACGATTAGTACTGCTGGGATATTCAAACTACAAGATTTGGCTTGTATCTGTGCATTAAAAAATAAATAAATCCTAATCTGTTTCTGAGCTGTTCTGTGCTTTCTTCACTTCCATCTGTAATCTGGATTCCAAGCTGCTCAGTATAAAATGGATAAAATGTGCTTCCTTTTCACTATAATGGGAAATCTAAAAAAAGGACTGTAACTTTTTTCTCTTTTAGCCAAAGCAGATTAAATTTACAGGCATGTGAGCCCCGCCCACCTGTGGATTATCCTGCTAGTATCCTGCAAACTAACAGGTCCAGGGGCTTTTTGTGGGAGAAGTAAAAGGCACTTATTTTCCACCATAATCCTTTACAGGGAAGGGAGGAGGGGCTCCTCTCTTGTTCTTTCTCACCTTAAAATAAACAAGAGGCAGCAAGTGGTGTGTATTTTTGACTGCCCGTTTTTATAGCCTTTCCAGTGGTCGCTTGTGTTCTCAGAATTAGACTTTACAGGCCTCAAATAAGTCCTTAAAATATGAGGCTGTCTAGAACTCTGCCTGCGAAGTTCTGAAGAGATCTGGGCTTTGTATTTTTATTAAAGCAGAACTTTAATAAACACAGAAATTTTTTAAAAAACAAAACAAAACCACACACACAAACACAACTAAGCTTTTAACATGTTAGAAAGTCATTTGCTGCTGTGGTTGAACAATGAACAAATTGACAGCTCTTGCAGTGCTCCCCAGCAACATTTTGGGTAGCCTTATCTCTTGGAAAGAACCTGGAGCTAGAGAAACGTAGAAATATAGGAGAAACAGAGCTACACAGTGTTCACAATTACAGAAACAACCGTGCCACAAGGCTTCATGGAGGCCCTAAGCTGACTTGTCTGGGTGTGAGTGTGGGTGACCTTGCAATCTCCAAATAATCTCCAAATAACCCTGATGTGAACACTTAGTATATTCACATTATCAACGATGCTTGATAGAGGGAACCTTAGAAATGGCCTTAGCACTCAGCCATACGGACCATGCGACCACAGTTTTAGAAAACAGAGACTGTCAGAAGAGGTTGGCTTCGGTGAAGTGTAAGCTCAGAAACCGCAGAAATGAACAGCAACCAAGCAACAACCCAGAGCATTCATTAGAGAGATGGTTCCCTCTCCTCACTGCCCACCCTCTTTAAAAGCTTTTGATTAATCTGACATGCTGGACTACATTTTTGACTGCTGGCAAAATGGAAGCGGTGGCAAAACAATTAGTCCGTACTTACCAGTCCATTAGTGAGAAGACTTCCCCCCCCACACACACACACAAATTACCACAGTTACAGATGCTTCAGAGCAAAGGGAGCAGTAGCTAGCATGACTCTCAATTCTCTCATGTTTAATGATCACTCTTGTACCATGAATATCCAATGACCTAAAAGTCTCCATGAACAGAGACAGTGTATAAAATTATTGTAGTCTTTTGGGGGGATGAAAAGTGATTTTATAGCATGATACATAAACACACCGCAATTAAAAAGCGCTATAAAGATGTCTGCAAATGTGACATGGAGCCTGGCAACATCAACCCCACCATGTGGGAATCCCTTGCAGATGACCGCAGTGCCTGGAGACAGTCAGGTTGTACCAGCAGTCACCAGAGGAGAAATAACTGCTGGGAGGAGCACAGACAGAAGAAACATCGTGGTGCGTCTGTAACAGAGAAACCGGATGCCTTCATCTGCCCCAGCTGCAATAAAACATGTCTCTCCTGTACTGGCCTCTACAGGTACAGCAGGCGCTATAACTCTCCAATGGTTTGACTTTAACCCTGATGGAGCATTTCACCATTGTCTCAAGAGAGTGACGGATGCCAACTAATGAACAAGCCTAAAGGTTTACGGTTCCATAACATGAGCCACGAGACACGGGTGGCGCTGTGGGTTAAACCACAGAGCCTAGGACTTGCCGATCAGAAGGTCAGCGGTTCGAATCCCCGCAACAGAGTAAGCTCCCATTGCTCGGTCCCTGCTCCTGCCCACCTAGCAGTTGGAAAGCACGTCCAAGTGCAAGTAGATAAATAGGTACTGCTCCGGCGGGAAGGTAAACGGCGTTGCCGTGCGCTGATCTGGTTCGCCGGAAGCGGCTTAGTCATGCTGGCCACATGACCCGGAAGCTGTACGCCGGCTCCATCGGCCAATAAAGCGAGATGAGCGCCGCAACCCCAGAGTCTGTCACGACTGGACCAAATGGTCAGGGGTCCCTTTACCTTTTTAACATGAGCCACCACACTTGGAACAAAAAGGAACTTTGAGCGAAGCAGGTTAACTCTCTGAGAAAATTCTCAAGGAAAATATTGTGGTTTTCTAAAGATTACCTCTCATGACTAAAGTTAACTTCAAAACAAAACCAGAGCAAAGCCTAGCATACACACAGGGGGGGGGGGGGAGGGAGAGAGATCTTGTTTTCATGTTCACATATATTAAAATCAATAGCACTACATACCATAAAATATACCTCAACGATAACGTAAATACAATAAAGGGGAATATTGTTTAAGATTATAAATCTAACCATTAAGCATAATAACAGCTCGATACCATTTTGAATTTATTTTACAGTGAATATCTAATCCATATATATTCCTCTTAAAGTTTATCAATCATGTCATTGTCATACAGACCATTTTTTCCCCTGCCATCCCATAACTGAATGAACTCTGTAACCTTTGCCATTTTTACAATACTCTGTTCAGATTTTAATCAGCCACAGTTCCAGCATACCCTGTCGCCTCCAAATTGTAGCCATGAACTTTTCTGGAGACGATCATAGTTTCCATACTAGCTTGTAAGCAGAGTACAACCTAGTTAGAACACTCGCTGCATTAAGGAATACAGGGAAATAATTACTATGACCCTGTAAGTGTTGCTATGGACCCATCACCATTAACTTCAAACTGATGCAATTTCCAATCGTTAAAGCATTTCTAAGGCAACCTGCTTCCAGAGAAAAACAAGAGAGCCAATACAGCCCTAAAGCTATACATGCCATAGAAGGCGAGACTTCACTAGAATTCACTTCTATTTATCAGCTCAATACTTTTCCATTGGAAAGCTTAGAGGTGCATCAGTCATCTGAGCTCAGTTTGCTTAAGTGTAGCACCAGTGTGCTACGGATGCTAGGCTAGGCAGTCTAAAGATGTGCATAGCAAAAGAAGGGAAATGTGTTAAAAAGAAAATGTGTGTCCTGACTTTTGAGCAGCTTCATGTTTTTATACAGAGATCATTCTCCACATAGCCTGTGATGAGGCTGCATTTTAATGTTTTAATGTTGTATTTTAATCTTGTTTTTAAGTTGTATTCATTCAACTTGTTTTTATTATTGCTTGTTAGCCGCCCTGAGCCCAGCCTTGGCTGGGGAGGGCGGAGTATAAATTATTATTATTATTATTATTATTATTATTATTATTGCTGGAAACGTATAGAATGCAAAGTTTAAAGTGATGTGGCCTATCGCGATATTGACATTGGAAAAGCATTCCCACCGCCAGATGCATTTCCAAGCAGCCACCACAAGGTAAAAGCAGTCTTGTGATTCAACCTTTTTTCCCCTTTATGGCATCAGCTGATGTTGCCCTCTTACAATCAAAACCACATCTCAGTTCCACAATGATTATTACTATGCTAGCACAGTACTGTCTAAAGTTCAAGGGTGCAACAGCTGTACTGTGGCACTGCACAAGCTCACAGAAAAGCTGTCCTACCTCAAATTCAAAGACTAGAGTCTTAAGTATGCTATTAAAAAAAATGCAGAAACAAACTCTATTTATTTCCAAGTCACCATTTGTGTTGGACCCTGAGGGCAACTTGCTTTGATTCACAAAAGCTGAAAGAAAGGTGGATCCCCAATGCTATTTAATTTTATAACAAAGTAAAACAGCCCATCCCAGATTTACAACTTGTCTTTCAAGCTTTATTCACACATGGATTTGCCCTCCTATTCTTACATTACACAGTAGTTAATTGTAACCCAGGCATTTTAATATGCTTTCTACATTTGCCGTAGAACAGGTATGGGGAAGCTTTGACCCTCCAGATGTTGCTGAACTACAACTCCCGTCAGCACCAGCAAATTTGGCCAATGGCCACAATTCACTTGAACCTATACTCTTATTAATAAGAGTGGTGCAACACCCAACAGTTAGGGACGCGGGTGGCACTGTGGGTTAAACCACAGAGCCTAGGACTTGCCGATCAGAAGCTTGGCGGTTTGAATCCCCGCGACAGGGTGAGCTCCCGTTGCTCAGTCCCAGCTTCTGCCAACCTAGCAGTTCGGAAGCACGTCAAAGTGCAAGTAGATAAATAGGTACCGCTCTGGCGGAAAGGTAAACGGCATTTCCGTGCGCTGCTCTGGTTCGCCAGAAGCGGCTTAGTCATGCTGGCCACATGACCCGGAAGCTGTCTGCGGACAAACGCCGGCTCCCTCGGCCAGTAAAGCGAGATGAGCACCGCAACCCCAGAGTCGGTCACAACTGGACCTAATGGTCAGGGGTCCCTTTACCTTTAACATCCAACAGTTATACCAAGTATGATTAATGTAATGGCCCTAAGTTCATCAGAGAGAGTGGAAATCATGGAAGAAATTGGGTCACATTAAAAGAGGCACTGATAACTTTGATCAGCAAGATGGCAAGCACGCAAATGCCTGCAAGAGAGAAACCAAAGCAAGGGAAACGAAAAGATGTGAAAAAGGAAACTGATTATCAGTATGTATCAGTATGAAGAATTGGTTTTTGCGGTGGTGCTTTTTTCATCCAGAGTTTCCAAAAGAATCACTTGCCTTCAACTATTCATTATTTGCATCAACAATGGCAGCTGAATATTTAGATGCGAATGCAGATTGTGATTGATAAAAAGAGCTACTCTTCTCAGGCTAGCTGTTCATCCGCACCTTAAAAAAAACAAGCACAATATTAAGATGCAGGGAAAACCACGTTTATGTACTGTGTAGCCTGGTTCTCTGAATATTTATTTTTAGTAACCACTTTGCATAACATTTGGGTAACAGAACATACGGTTTTGCAAGCATGCAAATTTGGAGAAAATATATTTTGAGCACAGAGCCTGGCAGCAGGAAAGCCACGTTTTAGGTGCATCTTGTCCCTCTGAACACACCTCAATCCATCCTGGCTCAGCTACTGCACTAATAACCATTGGGTAAGCCTCTTCAAACAGGGCTCCAAATAATTCTTATATTCTACCATAAGTAGGCAAAGTCAAGCAAGTGGCACAGAAATGTGATTTACAAAAGGCAGATGGGAAAGGAGCAAAAGCAGCAAAAGTCTCAGTAAAAATTACAACATGGATTTTTTTTGCACATAACTGACCACAAGTTTGGAGGATAAATTTGTTCCATGGAAGTCAAAAACCAAACCCTCCATCATTTTGTTTTTAATATTCAGGGTTTCAGTGACCAGCTGCACCCACCCAGTGCCATGATGTCATAATGAGGCATTGGCAAGGCTTAAAAAGACCAAATGGTGCCTGCCTGTGTGAGAAGCCTTCAAGGGCGGAGTTCACACAGCAGAGGTCCTCTCCTACAAGAGATGCTAGGAGACTTCGTACCAGCTCAGCAACTGCAAATGAGTACGGCCACTGCAAGTCAGATTCAGCCCAAATATTTAAAGCACACCTATTATGTAAACCACACTGACAGTGTGATGCAACAGCAAATGAAGCTAAGGCTATTCTAGGCTGCATCAACAGGATTCTAGTGTCCAGATCAAGGGAAGTAACTCAATTCTGCCTTGGTCAGACCACACTTGGAGTGCTGTGTCCAATTCTGGGCACCACAGTTTAAGAAGGGGGTTGACAAGCTGGAACGTGTGCAGAGGAGGGCAACCATGAGGACCAAGGGTCTGGAAACCAAGCCTAATAATAACAATAACAATAACAGCAATAATAATAATAAATTTTATTTATATCCCGCCCTCCCTAGCCGAAGCCGGGCTCAGAGCGGCTAACAACAGTAAAATAATACAGCAGTCTAAAATCAATTCATTATACAGTTCAAATCAAATTAATGGCAACCATTGGGCCAGAGTTCAGTGAGGATTACCAAAGGAGGGGGTCAGGCTGTGCCTTGGCCAAAGGCCTGGTGGAACAGCTCTGTCTTGAGGGCCTTCAGAAAGATGTCAAGTCCCACAGGGCCCTAGTCTTTTGTGACAGAGCGTTCCACCAGATCAGGGCCACAGCCAAAAAAGCCCTGGCTCTGGTTGAGGCCAGCCTAACCTCCTTGTGGTCCGGGACCTCCAAGATGCTTTTGTTTGAAGACCGTAAGGTCCTCCGTGGGACAAACCAGGAGAGGCGGTCCTGTAGGTACGAAGGTCCTAGGCCGTATAGGGCTTTAAACCAGCACCTTAAACCTGATCCTGTACTCCACCGGGAGCCAGTGCAGCTGGTATAGGAACAGTTGAGGGAATTTCCTATGTTCAGCCTGGTAAAGAGGAGACTGAGAGGAGAGGTGACAGCCATCTTCAAATATCTCAAAGGCTGTCACAGGGAAGATGGAGCAAGCTTGTTTTCTTCTGCTCCAGAGGGTCACACTCGAACCAATGGCTTCAAGTTACAAGAAAGAAGATTCCGACTAAACATCAGGAAAAACTTTCTGACGGTAAGAGCTGATGGTCAGTAGAACGCTCTCCCTCAGGAGATGTGGACTCTCCTTCCTGGGAGGTTTCTAAGCAGAGGTTGGATGGACACCTGCCATGGATGCTTTAGCTGAGATTCCTGCATTACAGGTGTTTGGACTCAATGACTCTTGGAGTACCTTCCAACTCTACAAATTATATGCCTCTATGAAAAATACAGCGAATACTACCAGGACTGGCAGGACTTGCCCACAATTGCCTATGGAGCGGTTTGTGCCCATTATCCTCTGCTTTCACATGGTCAACAATTAACATAGACAGCCGCGCCTGTCATTATCTGAATGGCAGTGCAAGTGAGCAAACAATTGGGTATTTCTGAAACTTTGTGCATGTTATGCATGCACAAAAGTGAAAACAGAGCCCAAAGAACAGGGAAAATGTGGCTTTCTAAAAATTACTTTTTAATCTTGGAGGATGCAGTTCTTAATGTTAGGCCAAGTTTACAAACCTCGATTTACTTAAGCTAAACAAGAATCACAGGGTAAACACATGAGAGAAATTTTATTTTGACCTGACCTGTTTTTATACTTCAGAGACACAAGTGTAAAGGTAAAGGTAAAGGTACCCCTGCCCGTACGGGCCAGTCGTGTCCAACTCTGGGGTTGTGCGCCCATCTCACTTAAGAGGCCGGGGGCCAGCGCTGTCCGAAGACACTTCCGGGTCACATGGCCAGCGTGACAAGCTGCATCTGGCGAGCCAGCGCAGCACACGGAAACGCCGTTTACCTTCCCGCTAGTAAGCGGTCCCTATTTATCTACTTGCACCCGGGGGTGCTTTCAAACTGCTAGGTTGGCAGGCGCTGGGACCGAGCAACGGGAGCGCACCCTGCCGCAGGGATTCGAACCGCCGACCTGACGATCGGCAAGTCCTAGGCACTGAGGTTTTACCCACAGCGCCACCCGCGTCCCTGACACAAGTGTAGCCCATCACAAAAGGAAACACAAAATGGAATTTCATAGTAACACAGGGAAGGAGAGTATGAGGTTAACAAGTTCATGAGGGGGTTTGTCTTTTTCCTGCTATGACACCAAAGGTGTATGTAAAAAGAGACACGCTGGTGTGAAATGTATTAACAGCTTTTTTTTCTGCAGCAGGTGGGAGGGGTTTACCACCAACTTTTGTTTCTGAGGAAGAAGGTGGGAGCATCTGAAAAAGGGGAAAGGGGCAGGGAGCGACACAAAAAAAGGAGACACAAAAATAGGAAATGTTATTTTCGTTTTTTAACATGTGGCTCCATGCAGAGGTGATTTTTTGCACTCACACTTATTCTCACTGTACAACAATGGGGGGGGACACAGAAAAGCACTCTCTTAACAACACAGGAGTGGGATGCGTAAAACTAACTTGGGCAATTAGAAAAAAAATGCTAAAAGTCAACTTCAAGTACAACGACAGTCCAGTATAAAATACAGTGGTGCCCCGCAAGACGAATGCCTCGCAAGACGGAAAACCCGCTAGACGAAAGGGTTTTCCGTTTTTGAGTTGCTTCGCAGGACGAATTTCCCTATGGGCTTGCTTCGCAAGACGAAAATGTCTTGCGAGTCTTGAGATTTTTTTTCGCCCCCCCCCCCTTTTTCTAAGCCACTAAGCCGCTAATAGCCTTTTAGCAGCTAAGCCGATAAGCCTTTAATAGCCGCTAAACCGCTAATAGCGCTAATCCGCTAAACCGCTAATAGGGTTGCTTCGCAAGACGAAAACACCGCTAGACGAAGAGACTCGCGGAACGGATTAATTTCGTCTTGCGAGGCACCACTGTATATAAATGTAAGGGAAGGAATATGGCGTACTAGCTAACAGAGCTAATATTATGGAGAAGCTCCCACAATGTGAACTGTTATCACTTATGGCAGGAATGGGCAGGTTTGCAGGGCTTACTTTGCCTTTACCGCCTCTCCCCACCTAAACCATCCTGGGCTCTGCGTTGATCACCTGAGGCCCTTTTTTGTGTGCCACCTTCACATGAGGTCCAGAGGGTGGCAACACAAGAACGGTCCTTCTCTGTAGTGGCTCCCCGTTAGTGGAATATATATATTTTAGACGCCAAGTGAAAACATTCCTCTTCAACCAGGCCTTTGGCTGATTGATATTCTATAGACTTTTAAACATGCAAGTAAGGGATGCGGGTGGCGCTGTGGGTTAAACCACAGAGCCTAGGACTTGCCGATCAGAAGGTCGGCGGTTTGAATCCCCACAATGGGGTGAGCTCCTGTTGCTCGGTCCCTGCTCCTGCCAACCTAGCAGTTCGAAGCATGTCAAAGTGCAAGTAGATAAATAGGTACCGCTCCGGCAGGAAGGTAAACGGCGTTTCCGTGTGCTGCTCTGGTTCGCCAGAAGCGGCTTAGTCATGCTGGCCACATGACCCGGAAGCTGTACGCCGGCTCCCTTGGCCAATAAAGCGAGATGAGCATCGCAACCCCAGAGTCGGCCACGACTGGACCTAATGGTCAGGTGTCCCTTTACCTTTTACCTTAGGAAGTGAGTGGCTATTGTTTTGCTGTTTTGTTTTAATGATTTACTGCTTTTTATCCTGTGTTTTTATTCTGTAAACCTCCCTAAAATCTTACAATGAAAGGCAGTACATAAATCTAACAAACAAATAAAATAAAAACAAATAAAATAAAATAAGCCCTCCTTGTGGACCAACTAGAGCCTGGTGCAAATGGAATATGCTTAGAAATAATGAAAATTCTGAGCACAGGCATTGGTTTTGAGTACAGCAGACCCACAACTTACACATACTGGTATTTAACTTGTGCACATTCAGCTCTACATGCTTGGACAATTAAAAAGAAAAATAGAAAGGGGTCAGGTGTCCAGGAAAAAGGCTCTGGCAATCCTACTAGCCATTGCACCCAATGTGTTTTGACTATATGGGGTTTTAGCTTTATGCGCTATCCCTGGAACATAAACTGAGAGTCTCTTGTACCCAAACAAATCGAACCTACAGTCCTTCTACACAAAAAGCCAGTCCTGCTACCCCAAGCTTTCAGCAGTATAATTTCAGGAGGTGAAATCACATGTATACTATACGTGCCATTTTGTTGCTGCTCTTGCTAAACAGCTGGAAGTCAAGATTCCTCCCTGCGAATCGCGGCCCACCGTTGTGCTTCAGGACAAGGAGAGGTTGGTTTGTGCCCACAGCTAAATTCTAACAGCTGCCCAAAGAGAGAGGGAGGGACTAGGAGTCAGACTAAGATACAGCTGTACATTTTAAAAGAAAAGTGGGTACAGTACACAGCTAGTGAGATTTCTCCTCCTTCCAGGAGGAAAGTGAAACACAGCAAAAATACTGAAATCTTACTGAAGCACACGAGATCCATATAACATGAACAGAATCCATATACATGAAGAAAACTGAAAGTCGACACACCCAACAAGAGTTTGGGTCCTCCTACTGAGGACACAAGAGGAAAGAAGACCCAGTGTTTGAAGCAGGCAATGGCTCTCTTTTAAAGTGAAGCAATTCTAATTGTGCAGGATTTGATTGCATTGCTCGACCATTCTCTGTTTGCCTTGTCCCTCTAGTATGGCCTGGCACAAGACAGTAAGCTGTCTGGGAAATGGATTTTTCCATCTCTTTGCCAATATATTAATGAAGATCCTGGAACACAAGAGCCCTTGTTGGCACCGCAAAGCAATACCATGACCCAAATAAATAGCAACCATTAGGAAGGATCCCAGCCACATTACCAGCTCATGACACCCCTTCCTTGGGGGGGCAGCCTCTTTTTGTATTTGAAAACTTCTGTGAAGTCTTAACTGCCGAATCAAACCTTGTTTTGAAAGCTAAGGCGATTTTAACCCTCATGACTAAAAGGGAGAATGCAGGTTATATGGAGGCAGAATTAACTCTGCCAGCTCCTGTCTTTCTAAAAATAATTTTCAGAAAACGCTTTTAAATCCATCGGAGCTTCTAAAACATAGCCATAATTTGGAGTCATGCTGTAATTAGTGGCAATTTGCTCCATACAGTGAGCAAGAGCAATGGGAAATGTGTCGTGCATACAAGCCTACACAGTAGTTTCAGATGCTTCTGAAATTTTTGCTACAGCCTTAGTGTAATGACAGCCATACACTGCTCTCATCCAAAACCTGACCACCACTTTGAATAGAGGACAGAACCACTGAAAGTTAACACAAATCGCTATGTACACAAACAGGCCCTTTCCCAATTCAACCAGCAAGCTCAAGAAACCATCTACTGTGTGCAGCTTAATTTCACGTGCAAAACATCCGAATTCCAAAACTGAGAATGGGGAGGGGGGGCACAAAATGTACAGCAAGTGCAAATATTCAACTTATACCTAGATCAGGCATCCCCAACATTCGGCCCTCCAGATGTTTTGGACTACAATTCCCACCATCCCTGACCACTGGTCTTGTTAGCTAGGGATCATGGGAGTTGTAGGCCAAAACATCTGGAGGGCGGCAGGTTGGGGATGCCTGACCTAGATCTTTCCATATGCATTAAAAATGTCATGTGAAGTAGGCCCAATCACAGTATCCAATCTTGCAGCTGAGTTGGAGCAGTGCTGTTGGTACAGAATACAAGGCGTTCCAACCAGCTCCAGGCGGGGAAAGGTTTGGATGACGGAAACAAAGCACCGCCTCCTCACCAGCCACCACCGTCCAAACTGAACTTGCATGCACACACCCCTGCAGCTGATTTAAAGTAGAAACAAAAATGTATCAGGAATCATGGATTTATCACAAGTGGCCTTTCAGATGCAGTTGGACTAAGACTTGGAACATCTCTGACCACTAGGCATGCTGGCTGGTGCTGATGTGAGCTGCAAGTCCCTTGCTCTGGACGCAAGGTGCACTTTTGACCACTTTCAAACTGCTATCTATTTTTTTTATCCTCACCCTCAACAAATACCGTATTTTTCGCTCTATAACACGCACCCGACCATAACACGCACGTAGTTTTTAGAGGAGGAAAATCCGTAGGCATGCCACCCGTAGGCATTTCCTCCATAACACGCACAGACATTTCCCCTTACTTTCTAGGAGGAAAAAAGTGAGTGTTATGGTGCAAAAAATACGGTACTTTTATTTGTGTTAATGCTTAAGCTGTATTTATCTTTTCCCAATGAGTGTTTCAAGAATACTCATTCCGGAAGACAGCAGGTCTGTCATCAGAATACAGATGGAACATCTTTCTGAAAGGACTGTACCATGTACTCATTCTGAGATGACTGCACCATTCGCCCTTCCTAAATACAAGAACTGGTTCTTCTTCCCCAAGCTTTGTACGTCCATTCCTTTTGTGTTACCTTGGCATTCTCTCTTACCTACTGCCCCTCACAACATTGCTTTAGGCACCTGCTGACGAACACTTTGCTGTTTGGGAAGCAGGTTCAGGAACACATGCATTTAGCTACCTAAATGGGCTTCAGTTTTTTCCACTGATTTGCTATTTGTTTCTTCATGATGATGGTTTTACATATATTTGTTTTTGACGGGTTCGTGGATTTCAGCTATGTTTTATCTTTGTTTACATAATTTCTAAGCAAGGACATTTATGAACACCTATGCAATCCACCCCTTTTCCATGGTAGGTCCTCCCCAGAGTTTGGTGGCATCATTACGCGGGGTTAACACAGGAGCCACATGGCTGCCACTCAAAAGAGTGCACACAGAAAGAGACGCATTGGGCGGCCAACAACCATAGCTTGATTGCAATGATCTGAACGCAGTTTCAAATGCATGCCATTTATTTATTTATTTTGCCAGGTCTGAAATATCTCCACAAAGAACATCAGCAGGGTCAAAGCTGCTGGATACCACCAGTCCACACAATCAGATGCCGGCAAAAAAGCTATCCAACCGATATATGACCTCCTTATGTCGCAGAGAGAAGGATAACAAAAATGAGAATCGATACCAGCAAGAGGGCATCCTAGGCTGCACATGAGGGGAGAAAACCAGGCAGAACAGAAACCAGATTTTAACCGATAAAAGGACAATCCACCCTCAACAGGGTGGGGGGTGGTAAGGAAGGAGTATCAGAGGCAAAACAGCAAAAGTCCGCCTTCCCCAAGATCCACAACAGGCATGGACCCCCAGTCCCATATCATAGAATCATAGAATTGTGGAGTTGGAAGAGTCCCATGGCTCACCTAGTCCAACCCCCTGCAACGCAGGAACTTGGCTTAAAACTAGGAGCGGGTGGGTTGCCGGAAAGGCACGTGAGAAGGCATCGCCATCTCTTTAATCCCTTTAGCAAGCCTTCCGTCCAAATCACAGTTCAAGCCGAGGTCACGGAGGAAGGAAGGAGACGCGGCAGCAGGTGCCTTTCGCCACCCGGGCTCAGCAACGCCCCCACCGCCCTGCGCGCGTTTCGTTTTGGAGGAACGCAATGGGGGCTTACTCGCGAGTAAACGCGGCCGCGCCTGGGATTCACGGGCGGGGCGCGGGGCAACCAAATAACCCCCGGGGTGCCAACTTGAATAAAATAATGGAAGGAAACATCGCGCCATCGATCACATGACGGGGAGCACGACCCACACCATTTGGGGACCCAAATTTTATGGGGGGGGGCAAAGGGCCCTCGGCCCCTAGGACTTAGTTCCTACGATCCCAGGGAAAGAAAGAGCAAGGCGAAAAAGGATAGAAACAAAAACAGGCCCGGGAGGAAAAGGAGAGACGTTGGGAGATGCCCAAACCCCGCTCGAGGCAAGAGCTACCCTGCTGGCCGGTGGCACCCCAGCGCGCGCTCCCCTCAGCCCGCCTTCCAGCGCAGCTCCGCCGCAGGCCGGGCCCCTTCCTTCCTCCCTCCCTCCCTTTCTTCCTCCCTTCCTTCCATCCAACGCAGCGCTTGATTCCCAGTCCGGAAAGCGGTGGCTCCGGGTGCGCCTCCCCGCGCCAAACCTCGCTGCGCTGTGCGCCCCGCGCGCCCTCACCGGCTCCTGGCGCGCTCCGCGCTCCTCCACGACACCGCAGCAGTCAGCGGAGCACTCAGCAGCCGTGCCCAGCCAGGCTCCTCGGAAAGAGGAGCCCACCCAGCTCCGCCAGGGAGAAAAGGGAAGAGGAGGCGGCCGAAAGAGGGAGGAGAGGCGGGCGGGACACTCCCCGCGAGCCGCTTCTCCTCGTCCTCCGGCGCGCTCGTCGGCGAGGGGAGGCGCTCCGGATTGCCTGTCAGCGATGGAGCGCCGCCGCAGCCCGTTGCCAAGGCAGAGTGGGCTTCTCCTCCTCGGCAGGCGATGTTTCCGTTCTCCCACTCTCACGCCCTCACACACAAATACGGACAGCTAACACCCCCTCCCCCACCTGGTGTCCGGGTTTCTTGGCAACAGAAAGGCGCAAGGCGGCAAACTCCATGGGATTAATTTAATTAACATTCAATTTATTAAATGTGTAGGTAGGTAAAGGTAAAGGACCCCCCGGACTAAGTCCAGTCAAAGGTGCAGCGCTCAGCCTTTCCGGGTCATGTGGACAGCACGACTAAACTGCTTCTGGTGTGACGGGATACCTGACGAGTGCCAGAGTGCACGGAAACGCCGTTTACCTTCCTGCCACAGTGGTATCTATTTGTCTACTTGTGCTGGTGTGCTTTTGAACTGCTAGGTTGGCAGGAGCTGGGACAAAGCAATGGGAACTCACCACCGTCACAGGGGATTCGACCCGCTGACCTATCCATCAGCAAGCCCAAGAGGCTCAGTGGTTTAGACCACAGCGTCCCCCACATTAAATTTGTATACCGCCCTATACCCGTGGGGCTCGGGGTGGTTCACCACACAAAGCAGGGCCAAAACTAGGCTTTATTTCACCCAGGACAAAGACCCAGTTTGGCACCACCCATGTGCGCATTTTATACCCTCCAACATTTCTCTGATGCAAATAGGGAGTCCTATTCAATAATAATAATAATACCCCACCCATCTGGCTGGGTAGCCCCAACCACTCTGGGCGACTTCCAACATATATAAAACATACTAAAACTTAGGGTTGCAAATGTCAGGAATTTAATGGAGATGCTGAAGCTGCAAGCAGCGCCTGGGCAAAAATCTTCAAAAACAGCTCAAAAACGTCCGGTTTTGCAAAAAAAAAAAAAAAAAAAAAAAGCTAAAGAACTTTTCTGTCCAGATTTTCAGTTTTTGAAATATGGCAACCCTAATTAAACATAAAAACCCCTTCCCTCGGGGGCCACATGACGTCTAGTCAACATTTCAATGAAAGGGAAGATGTGACCAGTGAATAGAATGCCGATTGTCAATATTGACCCCCTTAGATTGTCATATAGTTCTGGCAGCCCACGGTTGAAAGCAAGTCTGACAGCTGTTTACAAACCCCTCACTACATGGTTTCGCTGGGAAGGACTAGGCAGATATATGCCGGCTTGTAATATGTCAGATAAGAGGAGCAGCCTCCAGCATACAATGGGCCCAGAGCCAAATGCCATCTAGCTCAGAGATGATTACGCAGCTCAACATAATCTCCTTATACAGCCTAAGATCAGAAGAAGAATGGGGCAGAAGAAGCGCAACTCGGCTGATTTGGGATGTGGGACTGGTGTGCTGCATTAGGAGCAGGAGCCGGGAACCAGCATATGAGTGTGTGAACATCGCCAGCCTTTTCTCCCCAATTATATTTTGTTAAGTTTCAACCCTGGGCGTAGCAGCTGCCCCCCCTCCCTGATCAAGTAAACAAATAAAAATACTTAACAAACCAGTTCTGTGTTGTCTGTTATTTTACCTGTGCATTCTTCTTTGGTTGGAACTTCTTATTCCTCCCATTTCTGTGCATATAGAATCCTAGCTGGTGCTGTTACATACATAAACAACTTTTGATTTTAAATAAATAAATAAATTCTGCCCCTATAATCCCTAACAGAAGTACTTCGGGCCCTTTTGATATACAGTGGTACCTCGGGTTAAGTACTTAATTCGTTCGGGAGGTCCATTCTTAACCTGAAACTGTTCTTAACCTGAAGCACCACTTTAGGTAATGGGGCCTCCCGCGGCTGCCGTGCCGCTGGAGCACGATTTCTGTTCTCATCCTGAAGCAAAGTTCTTAACCTGAAGCACTATTTCTGGGTTAGCGGAGTCTGTAACCTGAAGCGTATGTAACCTGAGGTACCACTGTACTCATTTTAAACATCTTTCTTTCTTTTCTTTTTTTGGTCTCGTCATGTATCATTTCTAAAAATACCCTTGCTTTCTTGCAAGTCCACCACATGTGTGTGGGGGGGGACCCCCCTCAGCCTGTTTGCAGAACATCAGCAGCCTAAGAGGCCTAAAGAAGTGAGGCAAGTGGCGGGTGCTTGCAGAAACTATTTCCCTGCTATTCGCATCTGCATTAATCACCCGTGAAAGGAAGTTCCAGTTCTCCACACATCAGCAAAGTTTTCCTCATTTGGTTCTGGGGGTTTCTCCCGGGTTTCTCAGCCTGGGTTTCCCCCGAGTTCCTCATTCTGTATTCTTCTTTGCCTGGTGTGGATTTCCCCTGGATTTCCTTGGCCAGGAACTCCTTATCACGATTCCCATACATCTGGCCCTTTGGCAAGTCTTGCATGCCTGCGGTTCTGGCTGATCCGCTCTCCCCTATTAACATGTCAGAAGTGAGCTCTCTGTAAACTTCACAGAGTAGGCAAAGGCAACTCTTTATTAGAAAAAAACAACAGCCCCAGGATCTGCTCAGGTAACCAGGTCTAACAAACACAGCAACTCTCTTTGGTAGGTCTTGCCCCGGTGAGGCAGTTGCAGAGACTAAAGGTCCCACAAATGCCTAAATCTCCTCCTCTCCAGGGTTTTCCCCAAGCAATCTGAGACTATGTCAGCATGCCTACCTGCCTGTGCTCCTCTCCCTTCATTCCTCTGGGAGAGGGGAGGGGAGCTTGTCATAGCAGAAGGGGGAGACCCCCCTGTGCTTCTTCATCAGCCTCTGGGCATCCCTTCTCTCCCGCTTCCGTTTCTGATTCTGGACTTCTCTCTAGCACAGACTCTCCCTGCTCACTAAACCCTGTCACCTCTTCAGCTTCAGATACCTCCCCCTCTCAGTCTTCTCCCTCTGACCATTCATTGTCGTCCCACCCCCTGGGCTCTGAGCCTTCTTCCTTTGGGGTTTCCCCAGCTGATGCCTTCAACCATTCCTCTGCGTCCAACCAGTCCATGACGTAACATTTCCCAGCCGTCAGCACAGTAGGTTGCACACTTGCAGCAGATAGCTGTTGGCAACAGCGTTTGTTTAAGCATCTCGTCTCCCACACAAAACCATTACCATGCACCATGAAGTGATCACAGCAAACCTGTTTGCAGAAATATAACATCAAACCCCACAGATGCCATGGAACGTACCTATGGGAAATAACAGAGACTAAAATAAGATGCCTTCACAAACAAACAGAGAAGGAGCTAAAAATATTGCCTATCGGAACCTTCCACATTGGAACCACGGGAAATAATTGTGCCCTACGAAGGGCTATTTCTATATATCCCACATTAAGCAATGACAGAATCTCTATTGTATAAGTAAAGTGCACTTGACCAAAAATACAATTATGCAATGCAATGATAAGGACAGCCATCCTGGGCATTTTGACATTTCACAAAATATATTTGGTTACAGGTAAAAGAGATTTCACAAAAACTGGGCAACATTCTTAATACGATCACCAGTTGCCGAGGTCTCATATTTACTCAGATCCTGTTGATATTACTAGGCTACCAAAATGATTTCAGCTTCTTGGTGGAAACGCATTTTCAGTTGCATGGTAACCTTGGCAACAGTATTATATTTTTGGATCCCTAACAATGTATTCTGTTTATTGTAATCAAGTGATTTCAAGATGCTAGCTCTGGGCCACAAATATAAGATCAGAGATTTGAGCGCATGGCTAAAATAGACTTTAGACATATGAATATTTTTAATGGGATTTGTTTGTGTGCATTCCTGCACACATATATACAAATCTTACATACCCATTAAAAATCAGGTCACTTTAACAAGTTCTTCTCTATTTGAGCAGGAATAAATGTGAATATTTACTGCTTACCGTACCTTCTTTTCAAATACAGGACACCCAAGCAACAGATAATTTAGATCCCATCTAGCAACCCAGCCAAATGGGCAGGGGATCATCATCAGCACAATTTATTTATTATTATTCATATTGTTACACTGGTAGTTGCAAAAAAGCGTGTCAGTGCTTTATTCAGAGAACCATCTGTAGAATTAATAGAAGTATAAAATTAGTATGTGAGCATGCAGATCCTTTTCTTAACCTATGGAAGTTTGAAAATGTCTGCCTTTGTTAGAAACACAATGTGACCACAACATCAGAGCCATGGATATTCCAGCTGATAGCCAACACTGCAGTAGAATGATCTCTGGTGGGATTGTACGTCTGCCGTCTTGCACTGGGGGAAGAGGAGCATTGATTTAGGGTGTGCTGATCTGACATCACACCACAATGCCACAATGAAACAATGGCAGAGAGAAGAGCAGCACCTTTTGAAAAGTAGCTGCCCAAAATGATTTAATAATATCTTGGCTACCTTGCCTTACAACGACAGATAATCTATACGCCATGTGTGCTTTTGAAAGAAGAACTCTGTGTCTATTTCTGATTCCATTTTATATTTTTAAAGGAACATTTTGCATGCTTTTAATCCTAGCACAATAGATTAAAAGGGTTTGCTGGAACGATGTTTTCTACCTCTGAGAGATCTACAGACAGAAAAGACATACTTGACGGAAAACATTAGCCAAAGATGGAGAATTTCGGAAAGTTTGAGTTATGCAGTAACATAACTTGTTCTTTTGATGTTGCAACAACAAAGTAATTTGAGTTTTGCCTCCTTGCAGGCGATCAACCTACAGCCTTCTCACAGGTAGCAAAGTGAGGTTCAATCACTGGTGAACGTTCATAAGTTACCAAGCAAACGAGGGAAAAGGCAGAAAATAGCTCTATTATTTTTCTGAGCACCTGCCTGGTGTCAGCTTCAATGGAAAAGACCCTTTCAGTAACGGATACCCTAACTGAGACAGGTGGTAGCAGCTTCTGGTCGTGCAATTGATACAGGTGCTGTCAAGAACTGCACTGCAATGTTTATTCAAGTACCATGGAATTGGCAGGATAGCACATCTTCTGATGCAGCTGGGGACTCATATATAGGCCATATGTTGTTCTTCCGTCAAGCTGGGTCAGGGCCAGAATTTCCACATGGATTGCAAACATCTGCGCCACTTATAGCAGCTCAAAACCTCCACATTGCAATGCCTGAATTCACTTCAGTGTAACTGATATCAGCAGAGGACCTGGAGAATTTGATGGTGGGAAACATGGCCGTAACGTGGCTATATCTATCATAGCAAAAAAC